GTAAGTGCGATGAGGAAAGCCCATTACCTGATAGTAGAAACTGAATATATTGGGGTTTTATATATTATAATAAGGGTAATTTTTTTTTCATTTTGTTGCAAGTTTCACCGTTTGGAGAATAGAATAAGCTGAAAATATATAATTGTATTGTATTTACAGGTTTTGAACCACAAAATTTTATCTTTCTCAAAGTCTCAGCCGGGGGTTTAGTCTTAACATACTCTTCAGCTCGATATTCTTATAAACACCTGTATAAAGTGTGTTGTTATAGAAAAAAAAGTGAAATCCTAACCCGCGGACAATGTCAGACTCTTATGTCCCAGATATTCTCTGGTGCAGAAGCAATAGATAAAAACCTTTCTGCTTTCTGTCTAAATGTTTTTTAACTTTCTCCATCCGTTCCTCTACTCTACATGTTATTGCTTTGTTATTTATACCCGCTTTTTCATGTTTTGAGCAGTTAACTTTTTTATGTTTCACTCAATTTGGCGGTAAATTTCGCGACACAGCTCTTTTAAATAGTGACTCTAACTCATTATCAAGTTTTTCGAGACTCCCATAACCGTTAGTACTCTCTATCCCTCTTTATAAATAGTCTTCTGTAATCATTAGAAGGGGGAAAAATAAATTTGAACGCAAGGAGAGAAAGCGCATGAATATTTATGTGTGCAGTTAGTTGCATTAAAGTCGTCACGGTAATCTTGAAATAAAATGGAGAAAACCATCAACACCATTATCATTCAGGTTACAAAACTGACAGGCAAGAAGGCTGACAATAAAATGAAATGAAAGGTGTCTATAATAATAAGAACAATGGATTTCAAATGTCTGAAATAAAAAAATAAAAAATAAAAAATAAAAAAACTCGTCAACACAATTCGCAAAACAGATGTCCGTCACAAACAACCGTGACTAGTTTTGGGATTTATTCCTGGTTATGACTCAGAATAATCTCGTCGAATCATCTTGCCTCGTCGAGTGATCCTCGCCGTTGTCCTCTTCGAGTCATCCCCTCGTCGAGTCACCCTCGTTGAGTCGTCCTCGTCGAGTCAACGTGTCTCATGGAGTAATTCTCGCCAAGTAATGGTGCCTCATGGAGTCATCCTCGGCGAGTCATCGTGTGTTATAGAGTAATCCTCGTAGGGTCATAAAGTGAAGTCGAGACAACCTCGTCGAGTCTTGAAGAGGCATCGCGTCTATTTATTTATTTTTGAGCGTTGGTAGAAAGATCACTCCGTTCCCAGAAACGGTGAGTGATCCGTCATCTTCAGAGTCAAAGCGAGAAGTGTCGTTAACGAGAAATGTCGTTAAATGTCTGAAAAGAAGGCTGGCACTGCGGCAATGGGCTGACTTTATTTATTAGGCCAATATTTAATGATCAGTTGGTTTACAATATTACATGTGATGTTAGCCTTCCTAAGGGTCACAGCTTACGTAACTGTATAATGATAGATGTGACATAACACGGGAAGTCATAAAACAAGGGAACTGAATAGAAATCAGCTTTTTCTTCAAAATATGATACTTCGTCTTGTCTCAGCCAATCGACGAAGAAGGCAAAAAGGAGTTAGAAATATACTTAAATTTCGTCGGTTCAAAATAGAAGTGCGATCAAGTTCCTTTCAAAACTGTCCTTAATGAAAGGATCTTCAAGACAGATATTCTAATACAGAACGTTAGAAACGCACTTGTTTACGGTTTATGCCATAAAAATTCCGGGTTTCAACAGGCTAGGACTTGTAAGTTCCGTTTGACCTCACACGGTGGGAAAGAAAAAACGCTAGGCAAGCGCATTCCTTTTAAAATTTTCATAAAGAAGCTTCAACCTTAGCTCGATACCCATCCCCCTGAATCTTTGGACAATGTTAGAATGTATTGCAGCAGTGGTCGCTGGGAAATGGCCCAAGCGTGGAAGAAGGCTTTTATATGCAGTCTTATCGCTGTTCCTTTTCATGGCAAGTGCAGCAGCTTTTACTATTGGATTTATGATGTTTTGTCCAGATTGTGCATTTCGAAACACGATTTTACTGTGGGTACATTTGGTAGGTGCCTTTCTGTTATTCGCCATTGGAATGAAGACACTGTTGACGATAATATTCAGCAGAGGAAGGCAAAACACTCCTCCAGCTCGGGTTCTCACTTCTGAAGTTGCCACGGAAGTCTTGGAAAATTCACCACCAATACTTGCTTCTCATCGCATGTCACGTCGTCTACTGTCTGTTGTAAACTATCTAGATAATTTAACAAATTGGGATAGTTCTCAGCAAATGAACCAGGCCGCTGAAGATCTTTCTTGGAGAGAGTTGCCTGATTATTTTACTGCTCTACAAAGTGACTCAAATGCTGGGGAAACATGTTTTAATGAAGCATTTTGCAGAGAATACGCGCCTACAACTCCACCTCCATGTTACGAAGAAGCGCTTGAAATGACACTGATGGCATTTTCTGCTTCAGGAGAGGAGACAAATGGACATCTCGGAAATGTGTAAAATGCTCATTAATTATTCCGGTAAACGAATCATCTTTGAAGACTTTTACCCGTAATCGAACCCACCAGAAGACATTCTTGAGTGTGAAGATCGATCTTTGTTTGAGGAACGTTATGTACTAATTTTTGCTGGTGAACTGACTGTTAGTCTTTTCACCATTAATAATGTAAGCGTGCTGTCTCTTTATGTATTATTTTTTTTGTAGGCCAAGTTCTTCAGCTTTGCTAGCCATATTCATACTGAATAGACTACAACTCATCATCTCAAACTTCGTATGATTCAGATCCTAGAAAAGTTACACTTACCGCACGATTCTTAAAGTTTTATTACCCGAGGGAGTTTAGGAGGTGACACAAGTAAATCTCTTTAACAAATTAGGGTGGCTCCCATTTTATGACGAAGCTAAAGTTGATAAGTGTTCGCTAGTTCTTAAGCACCTACAAGGACGCAGTGGGCGCTACAGTGCCTTAAACCTCGTCTGCCCCAGATATAATAGTGAATCTGACGGAGGGAAAACTTTTAGTGTGTCCGCGACCAGGCTCTGGAACTCTGTGCCCATTGGAAGGGAACATGTGTAACCTCATTTAAAAAGGCTATTTATAGTCATTTTTAACAAGATACAATTACGTTGATCATTTTAGCTTGAGTGATACTTAATTTTATTTCTTCCCCTCGCTTGACCCATCCTAGTTGTATTCTTATTGTAATTATAGTTTGTAGATGTTCATTGTGAGGATATTTTATAGTTGCAATATAGTTTTTACTCTTTTTAGTCTTATTCATACATATACTTATAGTTCTTTTTCTTTGACGATTTGTATTTTTGGTTGCGGCAAAACAGACTAACATCCAATATCAGATGGGAAAACCGAAGACAGAATCGGGTTTCCTATTTTAGCCAAAAAGCCCCTAGAAGGCCTAGAAGAGACTGGATGTCTTCTGACTTGACATAGTGTACGCCTAAGCTAAATCTGCGGTCCCAAAATTTTCTCGCGCTTTGGTTAAAAATTTCACAGCTGCGCCTCTTCCCTTTCGTAAATCCGGCCAAACCTTCGATATTTGCGATCATCATTATTTTTAGTCCTAAGGCGTTTAGTGTTGAATGTAAAACTCCCTGAAGAAGTCCACGTTCAAGTTAAACGAAACGCGTAGGGAGTAAACAAGTTTTACAGCTACAGTTCACTAAGTGCTGCTCACTAGTTAAGTACAAAAAATTAAAAAAATTAAAAATAATAATAAAAAGAGATTACAGGAAACTACATCTTTAGTTCTTGGTTGTGACCCGGACTGTTATGGGTAAAAATATTGGTTTTCCGTCTTCCGACTGGCGACTTGAAGCCTTAGTGTAATCATTCTTTGGAAATCTGTTTTGTTTTGGAGTAGTCTGTGTAACATGCTATTCAGAGCTCTATGTTTTTTGTTTGATCCTTTTCCCGTGGATTCCCAGGGAGCCCTTTTTGTCTCGTCGTGTACAAGGGAGACTACTTTCAGGGCCCACGGGGCAGTTTCCAAAGTGCGGGGGCTGACACTCGTCCCCAGGTCTTCTCGGTTAACGGTGCATTAACCTGTAGAAGGCTCCATTTTTGACGTCATTTCCTCGTGAAACACATAATTCTTCCAAATTTGGGCATCAGTAACTGGTTATGGTGAATTATGCGCGTGCTTTTAGCCAGTCAGTATTGGGGAAGTATTTTGAATGAATAATAATGTATATTACAATGGAACTCTCTATAACAAAATCCTCGGTCTAACAAACCATTTTTTTTAACTCCAGTAGTAGTAAGGCAATATGAAAAAGAACCTCGATATAAGTTAACGAACCTCGTTATAACAAACATATTTTGCCAGTCCCTGGGCCCTTCGTTATAAATTAACGAACCTTAATTCTATTTATTTATTTTCAAAAAGTCAGGGGGTCATATTTTGCCAGACTTTCCTGAGAGGCCATTAAATCGCGATGGAGGGTCAGAATTTTAATTTCAACTTGCTAGCGTGATTAGGGAGGTTAAGATGTCACTACAACGACGGCAACTAAGACCCTGTTTACACGGAGTGGGGGACCCCGGTCTAGTGGGGTAGATTTCTTTTGTTTTGTGTCCCCCAGAGCGTGAAAACAAAAGAAACCAACCCCGCTAGACCGGAGTCCCCCACTCCATGTAAACAGGCCCTAAAACGTCAAAAAACCAATAGGTTTAGACAAGCAAAACAACAATTTTGCACGTGCATCACGCTTTTTTGTACATTTCTTTGCCGTCACTGCACGACTACTGGGTCACGTTTCATCGACCACGTGAACATAAGAAGACAAATTTCTCTTCCTCTCTAACTTGAAATTCTTTCTTAAGAATTCAACTCCAGGAAAGTTTGCCCACATTCGACAAAGTGAGTGAGTTGGGATTATCACACTGAAGTTTTCAAGCGCGCAAGTCACTTTTTAAAAAGTCGCCGTCTTATGAGGAGGGAGGGGGGATACAGCACTCGCCCGCGCGTGATTGCTGGCTCAAGTTTTCACAATATTCTGGTTGCCGGAGTATGCGGTCTAACAATCTGTGTAACAAATATACTGCAAATAGCTTACTAAATATTCCTATATGTTGATTTGATTTGAGCTCTGAATATGGAAAATTTACGCTAAAAAATAGGAAAGGCCGAAATATGGAAGAACTGTCCGAATTATTCGAAAAGTTGAAGCTCAACTTCGAGCAGACGAAAGAAGTTGACTTAGGAACCGCTGATTCAATCATAACTGCTCTGCAAAGAAAAGAAGGTAAGCCTAAATTTCTTATCTATAAAACTTAAAATTGTTTAGGACAAATTATTGAAAGTTTCAAGGTCCTTAAAGTATATTCCTTTTGATTCCTTTTCAAAGAAAAATCGAAAATCGAAAAATGTCTAATTCTCGACATTGTTTCTATTATGTTTCTGTTTTACCATTTTTGTCATAATAAGCAGAAGTTTGGAGTTTTTATGCTTGAATTTGAAAACATTTAGGGGCAAGCAGTTCTGTTCAGCAATTTAAGTTGGGGAGTAATGTAGAGTTCTTAAATCTTTGTAGCCACTTTGGGGTGGGGTATAAGTAATATAAGGGGTGGGGCGGTATTAAGTAAGTCTAAGATTATTTACTTTCTGCAAGTGCTCGTACTTGTCACCGAAAATGTACACGTTTAGTTACTTTTATGTATTATTTCTTTATATTGAGGCTTACTGATTATTCATCTCGGCTCAAACATTTACATAGTTTTTTGTCGTGAAAATTCAGTATTGAGATGAAATAACATACTTAACTCAGATCATTATTTTATTGTATAGAGAACTATACATGACGATGTTATGTCTGAGTAAACATTCCTGGAAGCAACCATGTTCTTCTTCCTAAGATACCAAGTCCAAGATTGTCCTCTGTTTTATTTTATTAATTTTATTATTATAATATTTTCATTTATTTTATTCAAATCACACTGAACGTCCTTTATGGTCTGGGGGGGGGGGGGCAGGGGAAGGGAACTCTCTTATTTGGACTCAACAGGTATGTGCTGGCAAACATGGCACCCTGCCCCTAAGCTTTATGAAAGCCCATTTTTTTTAGTTAAACCCCACAATACTCTCCTGCATGTTGTTGATCTTTTAAGAGGAGTTGTTGGTATATAAATTTGTTATATATCTTTGTTATATCTTTATTTTAGAACAATTTGATGAAGCAACAATCCAGAAAATTCTTGAAGCCATCCAGGTGTTGATGGAAATAGATGTACCTGAGAGCAAAGCTAAAGTGTTAATGCTGATTGCAGAGCTTGCAAAAGCAGGTCAGAACAAGTTATGGGGGTAGACGAGCTCTTTTGTTTGGGTGAGCGAAGTGAGCTGCGCAAGAAAGCGCAAGGGTGCGCAGATTCATGTACTAAAGTCCCTTGTAGCCGATCCCTCACATGGCACAAAACTGCCGTGCTGGAGAGCAACAGATGCACTGGGATAGGAAAACAGGAAATAACCATTTTGAAATAATGTAAGCCTTTTGCTTGTCTTAGTGCGTCACTTGCTCTCTTGCTCTCCTGAATGACGATTTTGTACCATGTGAATGACTGTAGCTGCAAAGAACCTATTGGTTTAGAGGGCATTAATCATGAGTTCAAGCAAGGTGTCCAAGGAAATAATTTGCAAACAAATTAATGTTTTATCCATGCTAAGGTTGAAACTCAGTCAAATCAATGTTTATGGTCAACTCTCTTTAATGTGCATCTCTCTAAAATGAAAAGCTCAAGCTGGTCCCTACTATTTGTGGGTCAGTTTTTGGACTCTTTATGAGGTGGATCGATAAGATGGATTGTTAAAGGTTACATTTGATCTCAGGTTAAAATTTTTTAACCTAGGTTGATTCTCAATTTCCTTTGCCTTCTAGGGCTAGGAGACATTGGAAATTGAGATTTAACCTCAGTTAAATCAAAATTAACCTGAAATCAAGTTTGACCTTCAACATGGACAATAAGTGTGAGTCCCTACATTGTTCATCTGCTGCAGAGTTGACTGAAAAGTAACAGGTGCTTCCTAATAGACAGCATACAGTAGGGCTTATTTTTTTTTCACCCCTCAACTACCACCAGGCCATCCTCTTTTTTTCTCCCTTAGTGTTGTCTGACGGACCCAAATTTTTGTGTTCCCTCATCCCCCAAAAGATTTTGAAAACAGTCATTTTTGCATAATTAATCATACAGATTATTTTACAGCACTTATTAATGCTAAATGTCAACGAATAACTTCTCTTTTGGTAAAAATTTGTGATTTCATTTCAGAGGAGAGCAGAGTTCCATGTGTAAAGGTAGGGCTTATTACTACGATCTTATCCCTCCTTGAAAGTGAGGATTCAAATGTTGTTTTGCAAGCCTTAAGAGCCATTGGAAATATCAGCTATGAAAATGGTAAGTGTACATTTTGTGGGTAAAATCCATACTCGGGTTAATCCAGAATTTTTTTGTCTTGAGTGAGTAATTAGGGCTAGAAAACAAAGCAATTTCTTGTCTTGAAAGTTAATTTTCTAAAAAATTACATGTAGCACTGAACATTTGTGATCATCAACCTCTCCCAGTACAGTTTTGCCTCAGAAGTCCATTACTTTATCTTCAAGTGTATTTTGTTTTCCTTGGAGATATGAAATCATTATATTTCTTTAAAACCATCAGATGGCCAAGGGTTTATTAGGGTGGAATATGAGTGTAAGTGCAGTGGCAATCAAGTGATATTTTTTGTTGTAGAGCAAGCAAAATCAGTGTTATTAGAGAACAAAGGAGCTGAGAAGATTGTGAAGACTCTTGGAGTTCTGGAGAAGAGCTTTGATGAGAAAAGTGATAACAGAGTAGAGCTAGCTGCATGTGGCTCCATGCTGAACGTGGCAAGTGATGATGGTATGGAGAAAAAACTTCAGTTTTCACCAACAGTTTATTTTGCAGATATTTTTGGGAAGTGTGGAAAAATGGTTAACTGTATCCAATGAAGAAAAAAAGGGTGGCCAACAATCCAAGCTTAAGGAGGGTTTGAATATCATCAAGGGTTACGTACAAACTGTAACATCATGGCTACCGTCCTTTTATGGGAATACTTGGATTTCTATCTCCTGCCTGGGCCTGCTGGCCGATTCCTTCCCTCAAATCATGGAAAAGTGTAAGAAACAGGTTTTTTGAAAGTGTGAGAGTTTGCTCATTGTCATCATAGAGCTCATAGATGAGATGACATCAGTAAGCATGCTGGTTTGGGTTTTTGCTACTTTTTTCCATTTTTCACCCTTTTCAGGTTTTCTTTCATATCCCTCTTAGAGGGGAGTGAATAGGCGAACGGATTGGCAGATTTTGAAAATATTTTTGCCCGGATTTTGGATTCAAAGCGAGATTTTAATGGGTTTCCGGATCCTGCAATTGCAGCAGATTGCGGATTCTTCCTTTTTCTGGACCCGAATTTTGGACTTTGCGTGTAATAAAAGTATTTTTGCCCGGATTTCGGATTCAGGCGAAATTTTAACGGTGGATTTGCTTAATAAATCATAACGGATCGGTGGATTTGCATACCCCTATTCACTGCTCTCCTCTTATTCCTGTCCCATTTTTCACCTCTTGCCCACCAACACTCTGATCATAACATTATATTTTGATGCATAATGCTCGGTATTTATTGTTACAGAGGCTCTAGCCGATGAGGCAGTATCCTTTGGAGCAGTTTCGTTTCTGTTTGGCTTTGTTAAGCAAAGTCTTCATTGCAATCCATGTCTCTGTAGGATGGCTTTGTCAGCATTATCTGTGCTCGTCTTGTCAGGTAAATGATAACGTTTTGAAGGACCCTGTAAAAAATAAGTCAATTTTAGAATGAAACTCTCCTAGGGGGTTACATATGCCCTTAGTCTGAATTTCAAACCTGTCGTTTTATTGTAGTTGCGCTTTTCTCTGTTGCTGCCACAGTTTCAAGCCATCTTTGTGTGGTTTTTCCCCAATTCTGCTGTCCTAAGCCACTCTTTCAAGGCCATGTTGCTAGTTGGAATACCCTAACAGGGCCTCCAGAATAGCTATGGACTCTGTTAAGGGGGCCTACAATTTTTAATTACATATTCGAGGAGAGGAGCTAGAAAGGAAGAAAAAATTGTTTCCGTATTTATTTTCCCAAATTATGACAGCACAAAGTTCAGCCAAATTAAAAAGATGTAGTTCATTTCCCTAAACTTTTGTGATTGGATACTTATGTTGTTGTTAGTATATTTGATGAAGACCATTGTTATTTTGTTTCTATAGGAATGGTTAAAGTGAGAGAGAGTAATAGAGGAACATAAAAGTTTTTATAGCCCAAAAGATGGAGGCCTTTTTTACTATTTAATGCTGTTGTCAACTAGCTGCTGGCTCGGCTAGCACTGTTGGTTATTCTAGGCAGCCAGTACTCTAATTTTACTTTCAATATTTTCATTTTTGTAATTTATTTTTAAGCAAAAGTGAGTCCAAATAAAGATTGTTGTTGTTGTTGCTGAGTAGATTATTTGCTTGCCTTCACAGATAAGGGAAAGGCAAGTTTTTTGGAGAGTGAAGGTGTGGCCATTTTAAAGAAGGTTGCACAGGAATCAGATGACAATGAACTGATTGACTTGGTGTTTGAGATTCTGTCCTCTGTTATAATTGATGGTAAATTTGGTTTTTTTCTTGCAACCCTCTTTTGGAAGGAAAATAGACCTGAGTGAGCAGCTAAATGTTAAACCTACAAGCAAGATTGAATTAGTGATTTTTTTGTGTTTGAGTAAGTTCAGGCAACTCTCTTGTAATAGACATTTCTATAAGATGGACGCCTTGGTAAAACAAACACCTAGAGTTGGCCCCTGCCTTTCTTTACCCCTTTTAGTTGACTATCTATAAGACGGACATCACTCTTTGACGGACACTTAAAAGTATCCTTCTTAGAGAGGGCTGACTGAAATTAAAAGTACTGGTAACAAGAGGAAAAACTATTGGTAGTTAAAAATGTTTTTAAAATGGGTATTTCAGTAAACTCCCCAAATTTCCACTGATCAAACCTTCCATGGAACATCATAATGCTGATGTAATCTTTTGTGAAAAATTATTATTCTTTTTTTCTCATCAGATAATGTGAAGAAAGCCCTTGCTCAGCATGGGTTTGCTGAACATCTGGCAAATGTTGTATCTTCATTGCAAAATGAAAAGGATGAATATTTACAGCAAAGAGTGCAGTCATCAGCTGACTTCATTGTAATGCTACTTATTGAAGGTTATAAGATTGTCTGTATTCTTAATCTGTTGTACCTTCCATCTGAGCTGTAAGCCTCCCTCTGCCAGGACTGCAAATAATAATTTTGTCTTTTAGAAAGGACATACATGTATGTCAAACAAAATTTACCAATGAATTCATTTAGTCAGACAAACCTGACAAGTTGTTAGATGTACCATATATTGAATTTCAGTTCCTTTAAGTACTAGCCTAACGTTAGTCTTCAGCTCCAAAATGATAGTCATTGACATTTGACCTGTCTGTTTATTATGTTTTACTGCATCTAGGATTTTGCAGGATGTTTGCAAATTTTAAAGGGACTTGTCCAATGTCTGACTGTGATTTGCAACTCTCCCTTTTCCTGACAAGACTCCTTGAGAAGAACAGTTTTTGAATGGCTTTTCAAAGAACAAATTATCTTACAGGTCAAAATTAAATCCAGGTTGCTGAAATTATTTAAACTAGGTCGCCTCTCAATTTCCTCTGTCCCGTAGCCCCTATTAATGAATTGTTAAGTCTAAGAGACAGAGAAAATTGAGAAATATACTAGGTTAAAAAATATTAACCTGAACTTAATTTTGACCTGTAACAAAATAATAATATTATTTTGTATTTTGTTCTTCAATGCAGATGAAAGCATGAAAATGTTGTTCAGTGAAGGCAATGGTCCTGTTTTAAAAACATGTTTATCTTGGTTGTCATCTGGAGATCAACATCTTGAGATTTCTGGTTGTCTGGCTCTTGGAAACTTTGGTAGATCAGGTATGAAGCAAACGTATACCACCGTTATCATTCAGGGGATGTCATCATAGATAAAATGTATATGGGGTTTTCTATCCAACAGGGTATGTTGAAGCCCTGTTAGGGTAAAATTTGGACAAACAGCATAGCCTTGAAAGGGCATCAAAAGACATTATTTTGAAATGGTGATAAATGAACAGCGGTGAAGACATATACCAACAGGGTGAAAGGAAATTTGACCCTCCACAAAACAGTACCCAAGAAATCTTAACCCTTGCCCCCAAATTTGCTAGCTCTCCCCCCATGGAATTAATGGCCACTCCCTAAAATTACACCAACACAGACATGACTTCCTCTTCAATACTCAAAATGACAAGTTTTGAAATACTTAAGACGAGGGACATACCTACCCCTCTCCCCTTAAGAGGGCCTCTGTTTTGTTATTTTGACATACAAAGCTCTACTCTTGTCTCTCCATAGATGAAAACTGCATCAAGCTTGTGGAGCAAGGGGCTCATAAATATTTGCTGCAACTACTTGCACGAACTTCAAACAGCGAGGTAACAGGGATGAAATAAATAAATAATGATTTGGAGGTAGTACATCCACAAAGTGGTTCTTCGTCTACCTGATTCCTGGTCGAATTGGAATTTGGAAAATGCTGGTTTTTGAGGAGAGGGGAAAACTGGAGTACCCGGAGAAAAACCTCTCGGAGCAAACGAGAGAACCAACGACAAACTCAACCCACATATGGTGTCGACGCCGGGATTTGATCCCTGGCCACATTGGTGGGAGGCGAGCGCTCTCACCACTGCGCCATCCCTTGCTTAAACAGCTGTGTTATATCTATCTTGTATTGAATTGTTGCCTTGCTTTTTGTGCTCATTCCTTTCCTGGACTGCAAAAGAAAATCAACTCCAAATGTTGAAAGAGCGTGGCACTATTATACGTGATCTTTGAATATTCCAGGAGGAGGCACTAGAGAAGCAGTATTTATTAAACTCCACATCTCCTTTGCCACTTTGAACATTGCACTGCCGAAAGCAATATAAAATGAATTTTTTCCCACATAAATTGCCAATGAAATGACAACAATAGTGGTATTTTTGTCTCTGTCCTCAGAACCCTGGTAGACATCAACAGGCCGTTTTTAGTGCACTGAAGAATCTTTCCATGCCAGGTGAGTTGGCCATGTAGCTGATAAAAGTACACAATGGGTGATGATGATGATGATGAACTTTATTCATGTGTCGATGTATTTAGCTGACGCTAATTGGGGACACTACATAAAGATAAAATAAATAATAAATAATATCATAAATAAAAGATAAGAAATAAAAAGCTATAAAAAAAGCTATAGTATAATCCTATATATATTATATATACATTTACAATATGCTAAAATAATCAAAACAATTCTAGGAACACGGGCACAACTTAAGAGGTACAAATTACGCACGCAGAGCAATTGTTGCCATATATCAGTTCAGTAAGTTCCTTACATCTAATATGAAACTTAAACCAAGATAGGCTGCTCGTTTCAGTGATGTTTGATGTGACATTAGCTTTATAAGATTTAATGTGCTTTTGGCATCGGCTTGGTTGACATCAATGGGTTGGACATTCGACACATGATCAACCTCGTTTCCAGTGTCTCTTGTCGCGAGCTGTAAGAGTAGAAACACTGGCAACAAGATTTTTTTCACTCAAGCGGCTGTTCATCTTATGTACATCTAGTCACACAGTAACATGAGCTTAGTAATCGCATGCACTACTCGAAAGTGAAATTTGCACAACGTAAAAAGCTCTACCTTTGAATTAACTCAAGACTAATTTTGACTTCACTACAGACTTTTATTTTTATAGCTCTCAACAAGGTGAAGCTTGTAGACAACTCAAAAGTGAAATTTGCACCACGTTTTCAGGCCGCTAATTTTGAATTCACTCCAGAGTAATTTTGACCTCACTCCAGATTTTTAATTTTTTTAGCTGTCAACAAGGTAACGCTTGTAGAGAGTGGATGTTTGGATGTCATTCTTCCTCTTCTGTCCACCCAGTCTCCCTTTGTTCAGTTTAAAGTCCTTGGTACACTGCGCATGCTCCTGATGGGTCAATGTAAGTTTACACTTTATAACCTTAGCAGTACCTGATATACCACCTCATATATGATGACTGATACACTCAACCTTTTAAAGAAGGAATGATTGTGACCTTATTTAAGGCATTGAATTGTGTGATGAAGAGGTTACTCAATTTTTTTCTCAATTTTTGATGCCCAGTTTCGCCAATGTCCCGGTAACCTTTTTATACCCAGAAAGCTCTTTTTACATTTAAGATTCAAGTTTTAACTGTTTGTTTACTTAGGTTTTAAGGTTCAAGTTTTAACTGTTTGTTTACTTAGGTTTTCGAGTAGTCCCCATTTTTGTAGTCTTATATATCGCGCGATAAGGCGACACGCGGCGGGCTCATTTTTCTCTCTCCCCGCCGCGTGTCGTTTGAATGAGTGTCATAATGTTAACTCTTAGGTGTTACGTGTATAAATATACTACCTACTTAGTATTAAAGCAACGTTAGAACACGCACTACAGTTCTTTAGTTTTTAATTCTATTAGAGCAACGTTCTCGTGAAAACTTTTTATCATCAGATCTGTGGGCACCTTTTGAGGGGGTGCGGGGGGCATCCTCGTTAACGTGTGCAGGAATCAAGGTCTTCCTTCACAGTAATCATTTCTACTGTATTACGTCATAGCTGCTGTAGCCAATAGGATTGCTGCGAGTAACGAGCACATAAACACCTTAGTTCGGTGCTGTGAGTCCAGCGGTCATGAAGGAGTTAAAGCTGAGGCTAGCAGAATGTTAGCATTGATTGTCAAGGAGTCAAAAACTGCAGGTTAGTAACAGATTTGTAGTACAGAGGGAAAATAAGTTTCGTGAGGGTGGGGCAGCGGATGTTCATGGAAGCAGATGCTCATGCAAAAAATAAAGAATGACTATTTTCCAATGGCTTTTTGAGCTACTTCCTTTTTCTTTTACGTTGACTAGTATAGGGTATTTCCTGATTGTTTAGTAAACGCAGAATGTTTATACCGTTTATGTTTTACCGTTTATGAGAAATCATTAATATTATCATCAGATTTAAATAATTAATATCTTGTTTGTATGTTGACGCATTACTCTTCGTTGTCACCTGCAGAAGTCGCAGAACAAATTATAAAATGCGGAGGACTGGCGCCCATCGTTGCCATGGTATCGTCGGAACATGACGTCATGCAGAATGAAGCCTTGATAGCTTTGACAATAATTTCGTCCACAGTTAAAGGTTGAATTTCTAGTTCCATTTGTTTGCGTGTGTGTGTGAATGTGATGTGTGGAGCCGGAAGTACAAGGCTGTGGAAGTAACTGTATTTGTGAAAAAAAAGAAAAAACATACTTGTCCAATACTCCAACAATTTTATGCATGGCTTTGTTAAATTTCTCTTTGTTTTCACTTTTGCTTCGTTCTTCATTGTTATGCTTTTTTACAGTGTAGTAATGTGAAGACAATACAATGCAATGCCACGCATAAGTTTGTCTGAGTATTGGACGACCCTCACAAGAAAGAAATCCCAGGGAATTTATGACATGCTATCAGGCGTTTATTTTGAAGGGAGGGGAAGAACTTTCTTGGGAGAGAGACTTAAAGAAAAATTTAAGGGAGGACATGTTCGCAGGCCAAGGAATGGACCAATTCCTGAATAAAATAAATGAAAAGTTCACGCCGTACTCTACCACCAGTCTGGGGCGGGTAATAGGCTTCTGCACCTGTTCAAACGAAAGTATTAAAAACTAGTCTGACTCCTGTCTAATCAAGCTCAGCCCTAAAAGAAATTTGAAACTCCATCTTAAAACTCCATCGCAACACGTGCCACTTAATTACGTATAAACAGTCGTTGTATCTTCCTCGATCGTTAACGAGTAGAAACTCGACTAGAAAACTTAGATTACAACTCATTCCCAATCTTACTTGTTTTAGCGCGAATTTGTGACTTAAGACTACGGTGCAGTAGACACGAGTCTTCATACCCAAGCCCTTGCGTACGCTTGGCGCTCGTCTGTGAAAGAAGGAGGACGCCTGGGTATTAGAACGTACTATATGTTTGCTATGATAATGATATGGTTATCGCTGTGATTTTGCTTTGTTTATTTTTTCAACAGCCGACTTCTATCCTAAATTCAGAGAAACTGGAATCATTCAAACACTCATTAAGATTATTAAAAAACAAGGCATCAATCCCCAGACCTGTTACAATGCGATGGCTGTCTTGGAATCATTTTCTCTCAGAGGTTTGTTGTGTTTATCTGTTACTTTAGTTTCTTGTCTTTTACACCGAAAAGGAAACAAAGAAAAGAGTTTTTTTTTTTCGTCGGTGGGGTAGTCCTTGTTGTTGTCATTAATTCCGAACATTACCGAAGGCCTTCCGAGGATTTATCGTAGTTTCTAATGGAAGGACTGGATTTTCAATTTTGTATCCCATTCTGCCTGTACATGTAGCTGTCGTTCAATTCGACCATGCAAATGAACGTTAAGTGACTTATCTGAGGAAAACAGCGAGTTTTGTTCAGAAATTGGTGAGAAACAAAACTAACCAGTTATCTGAGAGATCAGTCATGGATTGTTGTAAGGAAGGGGTCTGAAAAAAAATTAAAGGTTAATATTGGCGGTTATTTCACTGGTACCTTCTGAGGTCATGTACGTAGTTGTTGACTCTTTGGCGGGAATCACTTTCCTCTTTAGTTATCATGTGACATCGAAGTAGCCAATGAGGACCTGCGCTTTCGAGAAAAAGATTTTAGGTGTTACACTAATACAGGTGGATACTTACAAACGCTCTTCTTTGCAGGTTATTTCCGTCGGGACTTAGAAATAGCCGGACTCAATCAGGCGCTGGATGATCTCACGACTCACGAAAATCTAAACGTTAAGAAAAGAGCTTTGATTATTCTCACAAGGATTAAGGCTCAGAAGATTGCTGCGGAGCAGGAATAAGCGATTGGATTAGAGACTCGTCGATGAAGTTTTCTTCATATTTCAAGGTGACATGTTGTTATGGAAAGTGGTAGACCACCCTCGTAGCCAGCGTCTTCGTTCCCCATGACCAGCGGTCGGGAAACACTTGTTTCTTCAACTCAGCATGTGCAATACGGGACGAAGATTCGAGGTACACGGTAAATGAGAGACGCTTCACATCGAGAATTACTACCCACGACGTGCTAATTTTCTTCACGTATCATGGTGCCTAATTCTTGTGAGAACGAGAGGGAAACTCTGCTGGGGTGTCGTGCAGCTCTTCAAGAGATTTGTCATAAAACAATAAAGAACCTTTAAAATGGAACTAACCGTAGTTTTGATAAGCAATGGAACTGCATACCACCAGGGACCTGTGTTAGATATTACATTGCGTGGTATTGAATGCGACACGTCATATCAGCTGAAAGGCACCCTCGTTCTCAGGTTTTCTTTCGTTATCTTACGTTATCCTACGTCACATGAGGATCGAGTGACGTTGGAGGACGCTTAGCTGGAAACGAGGCTGAGCAAAAAGCTTATTTGTAGGATATCCCGGTGTTTATTCAAAAGCGCGATAATATATTATGAATTTCTAACAGGTATTATATAGAGTTCCCTGTGTTGCTGGAAAATGTTTTTTCGAAATTTCAATTATGCCTATTTTCTTTAGATAAGAGAAAGAACGAGACGTACCATATGACTGGTTTTCAATAGCAAGTCCAAGGTGCGATAGTCAAACTAGAGAAATTTGCCTCAGTGACTTAGGTATTTAATTAAATATATCTGTTTATGAAAATAACTGTTAGGGTTAAAACAGGAATTTTAATTTTTAAAGAACGGAAAAGAGTTTGGTCATATTTCACAGAGTTCCTTGTAAGTAAGGATACGAGATAATTCTAAAAGCTAGCCCAACCCTGTAGTATCTGAAAAAAAGCGTTAACCTGTAAAACGTCTCGGATAAGGTTGTATTATTTTAACGTCTCAATTAAACGTTAGTAAAATTTCAAATTGAAGATATTTGAAAAGTTTCATTTTGTCTTTTTGTTGTTTTGGTGTGAATGTACAAATAACAGTGTCAAATATTATCGTGCTCTTTTACAGGAGTGTAAAAAAATAATTATATTGAAAAAATGAATTAGCGACGGTAAAAGTCAGAAAGAGTCGCAATCCTAGCTGTATGAACGTTAAGCTTTTTTCCTTTATTTGAAACGTACTTAAACTGATGTAAGCTGAAGAAAGATTAATAATCTTAGTGTACGTGTCATTATTGCACAGTATATGTGTCTTACTACTTGAGTAATGAAATATTAACCGGTATCCACCACAAGAGGTCCCTAAATACCTCTATCGCATGTGTCTTGATGTTTTCTTTCTCTAATCGCAATCATGGGCTGAAACGTTTCTTACTAATTGGTTGCTTTAGACGTTAAGTTATTGCAATGAATATCACTGCCTAACACAATCTCCACGCGTCAATAGGAGCTTACACAGTGAATATTAAATCGAGTCGCATAGTTAAGATTGTCTGAATTTGGAAATTTGTATTCGAATTGGATGTGTTGATTATTTGGAACAGTTACAGCACAGAGTACTATAGATCTTTAGTTTCTTTTATCTTTTTTCTTTTTAGTTAGAAAGTCCTCGACGGATTTTGAATCTTGAGACGAATTAAAGTAAAGCGGCGATGAATAAATTATCCACCTGTTATATCTAACAGATATGTTGTTTTCTACCTTTCTTTTAAGTAGTTGTCGATTGGAGACTTGCTGGCTTATGAAAACTCAGTGACGTCGTATGCAATTTTAAGTGCATCCACTGTGCTACAAAGTGGCTTCTAGCGGTTTTTGAGCTGTTGGGTTTTATCTTTCAACTGAAAATCGGTAGGCGGTTGGTTAAACAATTTGTGTACAGTATTAAGACGTACGCTTGAATCGCAGCAGCTAAGAATGATTTACAGGAAAGAAGGAACCAAAACAAAAGCTCTCTGCCCCTGTGTGTTTTAAAAATTCAAGTCCGATCTCTGCGGATAGAACTAGAAAGGTCATGGCACACTCTTCGAATAAAACGAGGAATTGGAACTTCTATTCAACACATTACAGCCCGGCAAACGCCTCAGACACTTCCAACCAGACTGTTAATTCCGATCAAGAAGATATTGCCCGGTCCAGAAGATCGAGCTCAGAGTATTTACCTTATGGGCGACGACGATCTGTATTTCCTTACGGGATTGTGAGTGAAGATGACCTTAAGGACACCATTGGTGCTGAAACTAACGATAACAGTTTTTCCGAAAAGCCAGATTCCAGAACCGGAAAGTGGAGGAGTTCTCCTTGTTTGGATTCTTCAAGTAATTCGAGATGGGGAACGAGGATTTTGCAGACACCATGTCGTGGTTCTAAGAGCGCAGATGGCGAACCAAGTTGGGAAATAAAACCGCGGAGTCGACTCTTTCGTGAACGATTACACAGTTGTCCAAGTACTCCGATGAAAGATTTTCTTCGCGTTGAAATTCCTGTGTTGTCATCAATTATGGTCCAAGCTCAATCGCTGCCACTTGTCAGTCGGCCTACACAGTCACACATACCTTCGAGGCCGAAGCCCTCGTCTGCACCGAAAGAAAATACACGTCGACTGCGGGCGGAAAGCGTCGGCCCTGTAATCGAAAGACCAAAGAAAACAGCTATTGAAAGCCAAATGCAGGGCAAGGAAAGAGAGATTTCTAAGCGCGTATCAGAAATAAAAATTGAGGACGGCGTTATTATAATCGATAACGGAAAAGTTATAGATCTGAAAGAGGATAAACGTAGCAAAAAGCACAAGATGAAAACTTCCGAAGCTGCTGCAAAAAGCAGAAGCTATCGAGATTTTCAAGAGGCCATGCAGAAATTTGAAGATGCTCAATTAAACTTAGAGGGAGAAGTGAAGTGTAAAGCTAAAACGTTTGAAACGAAAGATAAAGAACAAGATTTTTTCAACGAACATGTTCAAACACAGTTTTTAGACTTGCTCTCGTCCGTGAAAGATAAACGAAAGAAGAGCAAAGGGAAAAAGTATCGATGCTGACCAAGTCGTAAAAATCTTAATTGTTTTGGGTCGTTATATTGCCGTACTTTTCAAGATCCAAATCAGAATAATTAACTAAGTCCATTGAATGAAAGCTTTGTTTTTTATCCTGCATCATCGATTACGGCGAAAAAATATTGTGTTTAACTGTTCAAGTGTTTGCAGGAAATCATAATCTGAAAGTGGCCAGGACTTGGCCATTGTCTTTCGCTATTTCTATGTTTGTCCCGAAAATAATATTTCTGTATTCTCCGCAGCATTCTCAGATATAAGTAATGTAAAAATTTCACACACAAAAAATGAACTTCAAACGAAATATTTTATGCAAGTGTGCGGTATTTTTAAAATAAGTGGCTTACCATAATTAGTTCATATATTCCCCCATATCAGAATTTTCCTTAAACTCAGATTTCCAAACAATTTCGATATTTTATTGAAAACAATTGTTCTAGTTATTTTTGATTTGGGTGACCTTTTACAAGTTTGTTATGTAGTTTATTGGCTATATTTAACTCGCTTAACGGCAAGGAGCTTATATTCGTAACAAAAGATTTGAAGTATCAACCACAGCGAGTGTATAAATATAGTGTTCCCAGGGGGTACTCCGGATTTCAAGTGACGGGCCGGATTATCGAAGAATTTTTTGGGGTTTGAAATTTTTGATTCCGGGATTTTTTTGGGCAAGAAAATTTGGCAAGTATTTTTTCGGGTGGCTTGATTTAAGTAGGGATTTTTGGGTATTCAAAGCAATCTGACGATTTTTGGTAGTGCCCGCTTATCCTGACCGCTTAGTTCTGCCGAAATAAAGTACATGTTATATAGTTTATGCTTTCTGGAAATTTTTAATGCTCGCAAATTCCAGGGTTTGTTGTGGGGGTTTTGTTGGAAGCCCTAGGGATTTTTTTTGGTTTTGAGTTTTGCCTCCATTCGATCATCCCCGTCACTTGAAATCCGGAGTGCCCCCCTCCGCTGGGACAGTGTTAAGCTATAAATTATTAAGGTTGGAGTTGTTTAAGAATTATTGCAGCTTCACTGCTTTACATACTTCGTTTCAGTCAATAATTGTTGGCACTGTAGAGCGAGTAAAAACCTTACTCCGTTCCTTCAGAGCAGTATTGATCTGTAAATTAATCCACTTTTATTTTCACAAGAATTAACATTTTAAATTTAAAAAGAAGGTTAAAAAGGGAGATTTGATTAATGCCTTTATGTTTATCCAAACAATTAATCTAGAAAATTGCAAAAACGTTAACCGTTTATACCAGAAAAAAATTTAAAATAAGTCGCGGCGTCCTTGACAACTGGGATCTTCCCAAAAGAAGGGACTGAAGAGCAATCATGGGCGGCAATATTGGCCTTTTTTGCGGGGAGGGGGGTGGGGGGGGGGGTACAGGAAAATGAGAATGCTATTTTTGGAGGTGACGTAATGCATTAAAGAAAATTTGGGGCAAAGAAAATACTAAAAAAATGGAGCACCCTTTCCGATATTGCCCTAGGATCATTGCATTCTACAAAGGAACGAGTTAATAAAGATTTACCGCCAGAGAACTGGGTATGAGTAAAACAGTCCCACTCCCACTCGGTAGAAATCAGAGGCGCGAGAGAGGAGACGCCTTGTCAATGTTATGTTTTACATGTAACACGTTCCAAGATTTTCAGTGGAAATTTCTAATCCACATGACTAAAGAACGGGTAGTAATCGTTCCCGGAAATGGTAGGGGCGATGTTGAACATAGCAACTGGTATGGATGGCTTAAGAACAAGCTTTTGGAGGTAAGCTTGCCCGAAGAATTTGGATTACAAACTTATGTTTTTATTCGTTAATGAACTACTAGAAGCTAAAGGACTAACTGTTGCTGTTTTGTTCATAGAAAAACATTGACTGTCTTCTGAGGAATATGCCTGATCCAGGTAATTAGTCAGTGAAATAAACAGAGAAGGGGAATTCCCCACGCAGACCAACTCTCCCCCATTAGTAAAAGGGGTATAGGGTATTATCTTAGAGTGCGCAACATGCAGCCGCAGAAAATGGGCGCCTCGGCACTTAAGGCCCATTGAAATCAATTTCCAATCTTCCTAGGTGCACTACTAAGGTTACAAATGGCATTTTTTTAAATGCTGAGTAATTATGCGCCAGTAAAGCTTGACACTTCACGGTCCAGGAATTTCCAATAGACCTTCTATTCTATCATCTACAACCCCAGTACAAAAATGAATTATTTCATATACTTCACATCAGACTTTATAAGCTTTTTTTCCCAATTCAGACCATATGATGTTCTCCGCAGAATTTGCCTTTTGTCTTTTCATAAATTATACGTATATATGCACATGCTTAAGATAACATCTGAAAGAAACAGTTCTCTGGGGGTATCACCATGTGGTCTGAAATGGGAAAACAAAACATACAAGCTAAAAAGGTCTATTGTGCACATCTTTGTCCCTTGGGCTTTTATCAGGGTGCCAGTTCCTGCACTGGGGCCTTTGTCATCAAAGGTCTGCCCAGAGGTGAGGCATTTGTTTTTTATATATATATTTTCACTGTTCTCTTAAAAAGAAAAATATATGATACACATAGTATAAACAGTAGATATATATTACAGGTTAAATTTGATTTCAGTAAAATGTTTTAGCCTAGGTTAATTGTTAACTTCCTTTGTCTCTTAGAGCCAGGAGACAAAGGAAGTTAAAATCAGTCTACAGAATCTAGGTAAAATCAAAATTAACCTGTAAGATACACACCAATATGGTATGGGGGGAGGAGGAGGTTGTGCCCCAAGGGGGTACTTTGGATTTCAAGTGACAGAGATGATCAAATGGGAGCAAAAATCAAAACCCAAAAAAATCCTTAGGGCTTCCAACAAAACCCCCCAAAATACCTGGATCAAAAATTAACCCCCAAAAATCCCATGCCGAATTTTGGAGCCTTAAAAATTTCCAGAATGCATTAAATGATATAACACGAAAAGTAAAACATTAGAAAACATTAGAAATTGATACCTAAAAAATCCCAACTTAAATCAAGCCACCCCAAAAAATACTTGCCAAATTTTCTTACCTAAAAAAATTCCTGGAATCGAAAGTTTCAACCCTTTCAAAATCCTTTGATCATCCCTGTCACTTGAAATCTGGAGAACCTAACCCCAACCACCAATTCCCCCCCCCCTCCCTCCCCACTGGGGGTTGTGCATGCTTAGAATTGACAGAACCATTATCTGAAAACAGTGTTGGCACGTGAAGAAATATGGATTCCGTTCATGGAAAAACAGCTTAACTGTGATGAGCACACAGTGATTGTTGGGCACAGCTCTGGAGCTCAAGCTGCACTGAGGTAAAACATAAGTTGTGTAGGGAGTGAATGCAAGTCCCTCAAAAATATTCCTTGACACAATGACGGTTATTGTTCTGATCATTAGGAAGCTACAAATGGGCTGTGCATGGTTAAAAGTTAGTCGTTGTAAATTTTACAGGTATGCAGAGAAGCATTCTGTCCTTGGATTGATCCTGGTGTCGCCTTGTGTCACTGATTTGGATGATCCTAACGAGAAAGCTAGTGGTGAGAAAATATCATACAAACTCTATTGTCTTCATGAAGCCTTTAAGTCCCAGTAGTGACCAAGATCAATTTTCTCCTAACAATATCCATACATTGTCAACAGATAAGTTATGAGAATTATTAAAATGATCACCCAAGTAAAAATGCCTTGATCTTTTATCAAATTCTCTTGACTCATTCTTAAAGGAAATGTATGGAGATCAGTTTGGAGAATTTGTATGTGGATACTGGGGCTTAACGGGTTAAGCTGTAGATCTTGTCCTGGGGTATAATGATACTCTTCAGGCTGTTGGAATGAATTCAACGAACATGGCTTTGAAGCAGCCACAAGGCAGAATATAAAATTGTGGCAAATGTCATAAAGTCAGATTGAAACTGTGTCAGTGAAATTATAGACACAGAAACAATATTGAAATACCTACAGGAAAGCAGGGTGCAGAGAAAGGGAGTTTTACAGCTTGCTATTCACACAAGCTGTAGCTAGCATGTACTATAAGCCACTGGGCACTACTTTTTTGCATGCTTGAACATGGCATCCTCTGTATCATGACAATTAAAGAAGTTTGACGTGAAAACCCCCCTTAAATGAATTCCTATAATGACACAAAGTTCATATCCTGAAGACATTACAATGTTGCCCAGTCAAAAATTATTAATGCCTTTTGTCTTTTTTGTCCCAAATTTACAGGGTATTATAATCGTCCGTGGGAATGGGAACAAATAAAACAAAACACTCAATGGATTGTCCAGTTTGGATCAACAGATGATCCGTTTATTCCCTTCAGTGAACAGGAACAAGTTGCTGAAGGAACAGCTTCGGAGTTCCACAAGTTTTCTGACAAAGGACACTTTCAGTCTTTGGCATTTTCTGACCTGATGAATATATTAATAAGCAAGCTAAAGCAAGAGTGTGGTGAATGACAATCAACATATTCTTGGAGCTTTTAAAATACATTTTCCAGTGATATATAGAGTCAAAAGACTGGTAAATGGAAACAAAGTAGCTCTTCTGCAAGCTTCCCTAAAACTGGGACAAAGTTTGGGAGAAACGACTTAATATGCGATGAAATCTTTCAGTATAAATAACCTCTAATAAAACTATTGCTTGGATGCTCAGAACTGCATTTCAGTCAATGTGACCTGCAACCAGCACTTGTCTGACACTCTTCTTACAGACTGATCAAGTTGGCTGGAATAATACTAAACCAAGCCCGAGAAAACTGTGCTGTGCATGAACTTTCAATCAAGTTTGTTTCTTCCCATGATTTGAAGTTAAAAGTGGGTTCACAGTATTTCTGTGACATTTGATTACACAATAATATTACTCTGAATATGCTTTTGTAGTATTGAATTAAATTTAATGAAATTGTACATATAAGTTTGTCCAGTAAGTATTGAGCTCTGTTTATGTTGTGTGTAAAGTCTATTCTCAGGGTTCAACAGATTTTCTTTTGTCCCCTAGGAAATTCTAAATAAAACTAGGTTGAATAAGGGTTCAACCTAAGAACAGATTTTACCTTATAAAAATAAACATACACTTTCATTTGCATCAGAAATGGAATTAGATTAAAATGTCTTCAGGTAAGGCATTAGACAGTTTAATTTGTGACACAAACAGCACCAATTTGATGTCTTCCTCTAAATAATGAAATACCAAACAGGCATTCTTGTGCTAAAACAGACTCGAGAACTTGTTCTTGCATGGCCTTGACATGTTCTGCAAACTGTGATGCTGTCATCTGTAGCAACTGTTCTGCTGTTTGATCTGTCAAATGTGCTGTCATGCTGCTGTCTGAGTCGTGCAATTCAAGGCTCATGTTATACTGCCACTTCCAGTACATTGAGGGGGATTTCTGTAGCAGTAAAATATAATAATGTTAAAATCAGTAAATTGTCAACAATTTTCTATGATCTGTAGTCTTATCAGCCATAGAAATGATGTCAAAATTGACAATTTTAACATCCATTTCTGTTGAAGTTTCTTGGAAAATCATGCTCATATACGAAAGATAAAAACAATGCCATCACGTCTTTGCCATGGTCTGTACTCTTATCGAACAAAGCTCTTGACCAATCAGTGAGTTAGAAATCACTCAATTATGGTAAAAATAATGATTGACACCTTGGTAAATAATAATTATCATGAGAATCTTACCAGTTGGCCAGGCTTGCTAAGCATCTCATTTAAATGATCAATGCCACATCTCTGACAACAAAAATGACCAGCGTTACAATCCACTTTGCTGCGGCATGACATGTGAACCCTAACAACATAACTGTTGTTAGTGCTGTTGACTTGTGTGATGACAGCTTGACAGATGCACTTATGACTGCTGATTGCGTCTTTTATGGAGACTGCAGATAACAGACACTTAGTAGAAAGCCAACCTGTCATTGTGCTGAGATTCCAAATTCTTCCGCCAGAACTTGTTTCCAGGACAAGAGCTGAGCTCAGTGGACTAGACCCTAAAACAATGATAATAAGAAATAGCCCTTATGCATGTTTACGTCACACAAGCAAATTTCACCACCAAGCCTCATTTTGAAATTAAAAATAAGCGAAGTTTCACAGAAATGAATTCCCAAGGCAGTAGAGTTGAAAAGAATACCCACGCACAAAAAGTGCAAATGCAAAAAATTTTGTTCACAAACGAGGCTTGTTGGTGAAATTTACTCGTCTGACGTAATCATGCATAGGGGCTATTAGATAAAAGGCACTAAAAGGAAGAAATTTTGCCTTGAAATTCATAGCATCTGTAACACTGCCACAGGGAGCAGAGGAGTATGTTTGAATTTGATTCCAGTTTTGGTGTGAGTTTAACTTAGCTGTACAAAATACATAAGTGATCAAAGTGCCATTTGATCATAATCTAGCCAAGTCTGGCTAGATTATCTTCTACATTTTGCATGAGTTACTCCAATGAATATCCTCCTCACTTTACAATTTAATGTCTCCTCCCTAGCATGGTAAAGCAGTAAAAGATGTTGAATTTATATCAGGCCTGCCTACTTGCCCCAAATGTGGGACTTATCATTGATAGGTTTATGACAAAATCTTAAGCATACCAGAAGTGTGAACATTCTCCAGCACAATGCTTTGGCCTGCATATAGTGTATAAAAATAATCTCTGGTGTGATCAAAGATGGTAATAGTTTCACTTCCTGTATCATCTTTTGCAGTAAGAACAAACTTGTGTCCAGAGACTTTGTACTGAGCGAAGGCTTCCATTGTACCTACATTAGTTATGGTGCAGAAAATTGTAATCCGGGTCATGTTTGACCTACAAAAAGATCAGGAAATTATTTTAAAACTCACATAATTCAATTTGTAAATTACACATTTTCTGAAAGGTCTTGATAACTTAAACCAGAACCAGTAAAAACTATAAGAGGGGTTTACTGGTTGCAGAAGTACCTTACATGCACATAGCTGCAGAGCTCACATAACAAATTGAGAGATTATTTGTCTGTCAGCCTTTAATGATCAACATCAACATAGCCAGCCCTCACCCTCCACCCATAGCTGTCTGAAAGATAACTAAATACTAGTTGGCCAGTAGCCTGAGAAAGCAGCTGACATTTTGTGACGCCACCATTAATTTCTGGCGAAATGACATCTAAGGAACAAGTCCAAAAATTTTCATTCTTAACCCTTTAAGCCCCAGTATCCACATACAAATTCTCCAAACTGATTTCCATACATTCCTTGAAGAATGAGTTGAGAGAATTTGATAAAAGATCAAGGCATTTTTACTTGGGTGATCATTTTATTAATTCTCATAACTTATCTCTTGGCAGTGTATGGATATTGTTGGGAGAAAATTGATCTTGGTCACTATTGGGACTTAAAGGGATAAGGCATGTCACTGCCCAGACCTGGGTAGTGATCGTGATTGGTTGAAGCAAGTTGTCCTGGTGGCATGGCAAATCAGAAGCACTACCAAGATCTGGGTAGCAGTTGCGGATCCAGGGGAGGGGGGCCCCGGCTCCCCTAATTCTTAGACCAAACTGAGGCCCGCAGGGTAGAAAAAAATTGTTTTTGAAGACCGGGCTCCCCCTTTTCTCAGCAACTGGATGACAGGCTGCCCCTTGTCTCGAGGCCTGGATCTGGCGCTGGGTAGCGACATGTCATTAGAATGGAATTTCTGCGCTTGTTTCTTAGATGTCATTTCTTGGGAAACTAGTAGTGGCGGGATCGCCAAATTTTGGCTGTTTTCTCAGGTTGGTTGGCCGGAAGTTGACACATACCTTATATCATTCAAAAAAATTTGTTCAGGAAATGTGGAATAGTCCAGCATCCCTTGACTGTCTTTAATTACACTCACAGGGGTCCCCTGAGTACTAGCTGTCTGACTTGGGACAAGCTCCCTGACTGGGTCACGTGATGTACAAAAAAGAACTGTTGCAGGACCATATTCCAACACAAACATTTCATCTTGATTTGGGACCACAAAGGGTTGTTGAATTGCAAGAGTATCACCCTTCTGTAATAAGTTAGCCATTGGAAGCTGCTCATCCCACAAACAGAAATTGACATGAATTCCCTCTGAGTCCACTACTTTAATACATCTTTTGATGCTTGTTTTTCCATTCGGAAAATGTATCGTTTCTTCAAATCCCAAATCTGCAACTTCAGCCTTTACATCACAGCCATAACGGGCATAAGGGCTTTCATCAAAGCTTTGGAAATTGCCAAACTTTTCAAAGAGTGCAAGGTCGTCGACGTCTTCGCCACAAAGAATCAGCACGTTTTCCGATGGTAGTAGGTGAACTTTATGACCAGCAAACGACAGACCTTTCCCTTGAATTAAACGACAGCTAGTGAATCGGAGAGTGTGTTTTTTGATCAATGCTGCTGGTAACTGGTAGAGCTTTTGATGCATATACATCCCTAGCGAATTCTTTCCTTTGGGGTCACGTAAGATAGCAATATTTGTGTGTGTTCCCGGGACTGTATTAATACTTTCAACTTTGGCTTCCAGAATTGACTCGTATCCGATGTGTCGGCTTTCAAACACTGAATCAACGGAGATCTTACGAGCTTTCTGTCCTTCTAAACGTCCTTGAAACTGACTAAATTGATTCCAAGATTGTTGAATCTCCGCTAAAATGATGGCTTTAGTGATACCAGAAGGATAGCGTGAAAGAAGCGACGCAAGCTTAACGAAGAGCCAGTTCCATGGAGGAAAACATTTTCCATTTGTGCGATCCTGTATGTAGTTCCTAAGCGAAGTAACGCATTGCTCAAACATGACTAAAGAACTGGAAATTTGTTGCAAACAATGTTTATATCCTTCTCCAAAACAATTTTCCCATTTTCCCGCCTTCCCGCCAAAGCTTAGTAACCACCTGTATCCTGGAATGGTTACAAAGCTACTCGTCTTAGTCTTTTCAATTGATCCCGTCCATCATGGCGGCACAGTGAACTTTTAAAAAACATGGGCCTTCTCATAAACTAAATGGCCTTTATTTCTCTTTATTTTACTCATGTTTAAGTCCTCTTTACAATGTCTTATCGCAGGCTTGTTCCGTTGTTAAGGCAGCCAGGTGTTTGGAGATGCTATAGTGCGAGGAGAACAGATGAAGAAGTAATGAATGTATTTGATAGGAAGGCCAAGAGAAGGCAAAAAAACAGGGCCGCACTTGCTGAAAATGTCGGCGTATACGACTATCTCAAAGATGAGGTAAGAATAACAGTTGTATTGTGCACACAGAAGGAGTTGCCATTATGACTGCAAGAATGAATGCTAATGCACAGGAAAACCAAGCTCAATTGGCCATTACCCAGGGCTGTCAACCCCCGACGTCTTTTTTATTGAGAAGTGATAGGGAAGGGATGATAGATGACGTCATAACGCACATCACATGGTGTCATTTGTGCAAAGAATACTAGTTGACTCCATCCTCACGAATTTGCGATGACACAAAATGCGCAAAAAAGATGTTGATAACATTGTAACATTTGACCTGATTGGTTTACTTCCCACCAATCACACTATTGCTTAAACTTATATTACAATGGCACAACAGAGTTGTATGACAAAATGTTCGATGCACTGTTAACAGTAAAAGAGCTCAAACAATGCAAAAGTCGAGTCTACAGGAAATGGCAAACTTTGGCGATTATCCGTGAGATTTCATACTCTAATCTGGAGACCAGGAGATATGGTCCAAAATCTGGAGTCTCCCGGATTATCCGGGAGAGTTGACAGTACTGATTGCCCAGGCTAAGCCTCTGTTTGAGCAAAGCTGTTGATATAAAAATGATATTTCAATCCCATGCAAATAAAACTAATTTTCACAAGAAAGGTTTTGCACTTAGCCTCATTTTGAAAGAGAGAGTTCTTGGAACTCAGAAATGGCCTGTTGCATGGAGTGCGTAAAATTAATTTTTTGGGTAATACAAAAAAGTCATGTAGCTAACAAGGTGAAGCGTTGTTTGGGGCTAATGAAATGCATGGGACAGAATCTTATGATGGTTTCCGTAGCATGAAGCACCTATGAGTCTTTCAATTCCTCAGCATAATGGAAGGCTAGTCCATTAGATGTCAATGGGCAATCAGGCAGTCCTTCTTCATTTTTTCTTTGGGAGACAAGGGGAAAAGGTTGTGCTTTCCCCCCAAAATAAAAGAAGAATGCCTGATTGCAGCTTAATCAGCAGTATGGTGCTGGTGCCCATTTTTATACCGTGTTTGGAGACAAAGTGGGGCTACGTTTCTTGTTTAAGGAAACAATGCCAACAGCAGTCTGAAACCCAGACCTACGGATTTGAAGCTCAATGTGATAACCACTAAATTACCATGACCTTTACAGTGTACATACATGTAATAATTAGGGCTGTTAAAAAAGTGATGTTAATAATTTGTTGCTTTTTTTTTGTTGTAGGTTGCAGAGAGAATGGTTGACAGAATAGGAGACATTGCTAGGTGAAATAATCAGTTTATTGAATGATTTCATTTTCTAAAAGAGTTGATTGGCACAAAAATCATACTTATAAGCACACTAGAGGGTTATTATTTCCAGAAACGTTTTCAGGCACAGTGAAACGCTGACATAACAAAGTGCTGAAAGGGCTGCAAAATTGCCTGGGTGGGGTTTCAAAACAAAAAACCTTCTAAGGAGAAAATATGGAAATTTCCATGAAGAACATTTTTGATTAGATCTATACTATCTTTACTTTTCTCCTTGTTATTTCAGGTTCTTCCCTCTGGCATTGGATCTTGGCTGTGGGCGAGGACACATCTCAAAATTCCTAACAAAGGTTGGTGCATGTATGTACATGTATTGGTACAAACTACCCTTATTGCATTCTAAGATGGAAATAGTCAGGACCATTTATGTATTGAGGGTGTGATGTCCAGCATATAGAGGGTAAAGAAAATGATTGAAAAATTGTGATGACCAACTCTTTTCTTTTTATCTTATTTGTTCTCATTTTCAGGAACAAGTTGGAACTTTGGTCATGTCTGATATGGCAGAGAATATGCTGGTTAGTTTGACTTTTGTACTATTATCCAGAGATTAGCCTTTCCTAATTTTATGGCAACTGAGGCTGGGTTGAAGACTGTCCCCACCTCAGAGATATATGTAACTTCTGTGAATGGTGTCTTCAAGTAAATAATCTGGGAAAATATTTTTTTTTTACCAAATTTCAATAGCCAGGTATCCTCTGAGACAAAGTTTGCAGGTACTAAAAAGGTATTGCAATCTACATTGACACAAAAACTACTTCTTTAGCAAAAAGATTTGCTTTGAATGAAAAGACTTTTTGAGTGCGTATTTGCAATCTGCAGGCTGTAGGGTTCACAGATGACAGCACTCATGTCATTCTCCTAATTTCTGTCAGCAGATTTAAAAGTTTATCTCTCCTGATTATGTTGTAAAACAAATGATAAACAGCTCACTGAGTACTACTCTGTATTGCAGTATTGATGTGTATTAGATCACCTCGTCAGGCTTTTTCAGGTTGTCGAAGATTTAAACAATATTATGACATTTTTTCTCGCTAGGCTCAGTGCCAGCCCTGTGAGGTTCAGACGCTTAGACTTATGGTAGATGAAGAATTTTTACCATTTGCTCAAAATTCTTTTGATCTTGTTGTCAGCAGTTTAAGGTGTGTTCTTGGAAGTGAAATAGGTCACTTTACAGCTATAGGTGAATTTAAACAAGGCTGGATTTGACTATGTTTTGATACAACCCTTGCTTCCTGCTTTCTCATGTTTATCATGTTGTTCTTATGCTAACTAGTATTTTCAAGCATAATTTCCATTAGAAAACAAAGGAGGTTTGTATCAAAACATGGTCAATTTCAGCCTCACATTCACTTGAAGGCAAGGGTAAGCACTAAGCCCGCAACTGTGAAATAGTCTATTTACATTTGAGTAGCATTAAAGTGCTCTTTGTGCAACTTGTTTTTCAGAAAGGGACAATGATTTTTACTCGAAACAAATAGAAAACTCCTTGATGAGTTTGGCTTGTCAGCAGTTGAATAAAGTTGCTTCCAATATGACTTTTTTCTGATAATACTGACTTTTTTTCTTACAATAAAAGTGCTTTTAAAGAGAAGCGTTCCTAGTGGCAACCTAATCCCAACTACATCCCTGTTGGGTGACTTCCCAACTCCATATATCTAAGGATTTGTGTAATACTTTTCTGAGACAGAATAATCATGATCATTGTGTGCAGAATTACTGGAAGTCTGCTTTTAAGCTTAATAAGACCTTTAGCTCTTAGAGCACCATACAATGAGTACTGTTCCATTTTTTATGTCAGATGTCAAAGTTAAGATGGTTACAGTAATGCAGTGTTATTTAAAATGGTGCATTGTTCATATTTTGCACTCTATAATTTAGCTAAGAGAGCTATTAAATTTTTGTTGAGTATTAATTTTATTTACTGCAAATCTGGATATTTCTTCTTATGATGCTGCAACCACTTTATAATGATTATTTTTACTTTCTCACTGCAGCCTTCATTGGGTTAACGATTTACCAGGATCATTTAGACAGGTTAGTTGATTTGAACGTTGTAAATCATATCTTTTTTTATTTGTAATTGTTGCAAATGCAGGTTGATGGGGGATCTTGCCTAAACCATTAAAAATGAGTCCTGGTGACTTTGGTAGATACACAACTTGAAAATACGAGACAACTGAACAACAGCGTTAACAAAACAAACCAATGAATCAAAGTGGTGTTAAAAAATATTGGAGCATTTTAAATTGAATTCTAGGTAAAAATCATTTTGAAATTGTTTAATTATATTTTTCCTTTTTATTTTAAAAAGAAACCATTTTATGTACTTAATGCCCAAAACAAACTATTAGTATTACAAATTATTTGGCTAAGAAGGTTTAATTTGCGGATTGGTACCTTTCTTGAGAACACCAACAGCCATTTGCACAAAGGCATCGTTTCACTACTATGACCAAAATCCTTTTCGCTTTTCCTTTCATATTTTAACTTGGTGCTCCCAGTGAGGTTTAAATATCAAAAGCCCTAGTTTGCACAAGAAAGAAAAACTCAAAAATTCTGGTCATAGTAGTAAAATGACTTCATCATGCAAATAAAATATTATGTACAAGTATCTTTTATACTGACAAATGTCAAACACGTTGATGAAACTTTTTTCAAATTAGATCATTCACTGCCTAAAAGAGGATGGTGTTTTCATAGGAGCCATGTTTGGAGGAGAAACCCTTTATCAGCTCCGATCTGCCTTACAGTTGGCTGAAATTGAGAGGGAGGGGGTAAGTACAGTACAAACACAATCCAGCGGGGTAGTAAGGGGTACACTGTAAGACAGTTGTTTAAAAGAGATAGAGGGTACGTTTTTGTACATTCATAAGAAGGTGAGATTGGGTGTGGAAAAAATATTTTTTAATGTGAGGTGGACGGGAAGTCTAGTTCCAACAAAGTTGAGTGTTGCCATGGATGGCATATGGGGTGTTATGACGTAAGGCTCCGAAGGTATATTTCTCCCAGGAGATGTTTGGTAAATGTGTGGTAAATATAACAGACTGGGAATTGGTTTGATGTTCATCTTTATTCCAAACCTGTTGTCCAGAAATGCACACAAGATTCAGGCTATTTATGATAGACATCACAAAATTTCCTGTAGCCCTATTATTCTCACCTATAAAGTTAACGCAAATACATTTGTAATGCTGTCCAACAATGAAGTTTCAATTTCAAGTCTTTTTCTGTGTGTTTCCTTTCATCCTTGAGACTCAATGTTTTTGCTGCAAGGTATCATAAGCAAGGGTCTTTGCAAGTCTTGCATTTGCCACTTACATTCCATCATTACAATGTATGTCAACTAGACTGATATCTGGTAGTTAAAATTTTGTGTTGTGGCATGGTCTCAGCTTAGTGTCTTTTAATGCTTGCTATACTTTAGTCACAAAAACTGTTGCTAAATTAACTTTCATACAGCAGCAAAATTATTTTTTGTTTATTTTGTTGATATTCTTCAGGGATTTGCTCCTCATATATCACCATTCGCAGAAGTCAGAGATCTTGGAAATCTTTTGACCAGAAGTGGATTCTCTCTAACAACTGTTGTAAGTTTAAGATGAACTGAATTTAAGAAGGGTTAATCAGCCTACATTGCACTTCACTATGGACATTGAAACCTTTTATGGAACCACAAACTGAAAATAATAAAATGTTATTGTATCTTTCTGGTCAATTATTTCATTTCCAAAACATACACTTGTCTAGTCATGACAGATAACTGTGAGTTTTCTGTGTCTGATTTGTAAGCCTCTGTTTTTTGTAAGGATTTTGATGAGATAACCATAGGATATCCCGGAATGGTTGAACTAATGCAAGATCTTAAAGGAATGGGTGAAAATAATGCTGCCTGGAGAAGAAAGACACTATTGCACAGGGACACCATTCTTGCTGCATCTTCAATATATCAGGGTATGTTTAAACTGAAGTTTTTAAGACCTTCTGTGTGCAAAATTTGTCATTCTCATCATCATCATCATATCTCCCCACTCCTGACAGTCCACAGGAGTAATAAAACTTTTTGGGTTTTCTCTTTTGTATTAACCAAGTTAGAAGGAATTACAGAACCTGTATTTATGTAACTGTCACCAATGATCAGCTAGACAAAGTTAACCTTGAGGAGTGGTTTGTTTAATAAACACCATGCTATGATACAAAATGATATTTTAACATAGCATGTTGCAGAGAAACCACTGTTCACAGGCTACCCACAGAGCCACATAAAAATTATACATTTTAATTTGTATATTTGAATCCTTTTGCAATTTGACAAGAATTTTCCATTGTACATGCTTATGTGTTTTTTTCTTAATGGTTGCTTTGTGTATGAAATTTCTACACCTTCATGTGAATCAGTACATGTAAAACTGATTGGTTAAGAAAACCCTCATTAGTTCTTTCATTAGTCTGAATTTTTCCTGTGCCCAGGGGTCAATTTAATAAAACTTTTACATGTGTAATTTACAAGTGTAGCCATTGTTTTAGAGTCTAAGAACAATAGCTACAATTGTAAATTACACATGTCAAAGTTTTATTAAATTGACACCAGGTGTGAGTTACATGCAACTTACTGTAAAGATAACTGTTTTTGTTGTCCTTACTCACATTTACCAGAGATGTATGGTCTGGAAGATGGTGGTATTCCAGCCACTTTCTTTGTGCATTACATGATTGGATGGAAGCCCCATGAATCACAAGTAAGTCTGACTTGAACATTTGATGGCATTTTAAGTGTTTGATTACAAGTACAAAGAGTAGCCATACAGTAGAAAAGAGAAGAAAAGAGGTCCCAATGTTTTGACTTACTTTATTTTCAGCAAAAGGCAGCAAAACGTGGATCTGCAACAGCAAGTTTTGGTGACTTATCAAGTTTAAACACACCAAACAAGTAAACAGATCATATGCACAATCCTAAGGCATCCCTCCTTTCCCTGTGTACACGGGACACCAAGGTTCTTAGAGATAGGCAGGAAGACCAGCCCATGGTTCCAAAATAATTATTGCCTTAAAAAATATCAGGAATCAGCTACTGGAGTCAAAAAAGACAGAACTGTCATAACATATTCTACCTGTGTTTGTAATACCCCATTGATGTGTAATACTCCATTGAAGAGTAAAAATTACTCTTCAATGGAGTATTACACACAGATGTAGAATATATTGTAGTTCTGCCTTTTTTAACTCCGGTAGCTGATACATTCCAAATTATTTGTAATGTATGGGTGTATGAATGTATCCTTTACATAAATTGGTTTTTCATTGTCGCTCGAATCACAACTACCCTAAGCCATCTGTTGACAGATTCTCATTCCAGCCCCCTTTTTGTATTGGGCTGTCATGTGCCCAAGTCTTAGGCTGAAATTCAGACAAAATTCATGCCAACTGCATGAAGAGTCTTTTTAAAAGGAAAGTATGATGGGTGAAGTTGGCACCTAAAAGCCCATCATGGGGAGAATACTAGTATGGATAATTATTATAATTTATGGCTGAATCCATAAGCGGGCAAGATGAAGCCAATCCTACATTCTGATTGGCTACCCAAGGCTTGCATTGGTCCTGCTATTAAAAGTTCACTTTTTGGCCATATATTAAATCCTTTACTGACCAAGCTTGTATGGTCAAGATGGCTGAATAGTGTCCTCATTCTTTGCATTTTTATTAACTGAGACGAATGGAAACACATAAAAGAACTTGGCCAATATCCAGCCACCTTGACCTCACTATTGGTCGATAATGTGTATTTATTTTCTGCGACAAGAAATTTTGTGACGTAAAGTACGGACACCAAGGGGACAGGCCATAGTGTCCATATTATCAGGGTGTCTGTATAAAGTGGCCTCTCAGAAAAAAAACATTAGGGACACATGTTTTATCGACCTAGGGACCAAAGAAGACATTTTAAAGAGGAAATGCTTTTTAAAAAATGTCTTATGTGTACCTTTAACAGGTTGAAATGTCAGGATAGTTTATCATTTACTCAGACTAAAACTACATTTCAGTAATTTTAATACTTACTTAATTTTAAGACAATTTTAAAATTGTCTTCAACTACAACAGTGGCAATTGAAATCCATCGCTAAAATTTGCAGAGATGCTTCAAGTTTGCGACTCAGCCTGGTGGACTAAACATTTGACAGAATGTTTGAAAGGTCACTCACTGTTTCTGTTAGGTTTTCACTGGTAAGATATTCAGTCAGAGACAGTGGGCAGGTAACCACTGTCTGTAAAGTGAGGTTTGGGATGTATGAGATTGGCTGTTTTCACACTAGAGACGGATTATCCGTCGGACAGATGAGCCATCTTCAAAATCCGTCAAAATTAGTGGATAAACAGATTTATAGAGTCAGATGGATTATTCATCCAAAATTAAAACCGTTACATTTTTGCATTAAGACTTATTATCTGTCTAACGTGAACTATCCAGCGGATAAAACCATCTCAGATGGATAACCCGTCTCTAGTGTGAAAACGGCAATAATGTGACTCGAGACATAGAAAAGTGCCTGAAGTCTGCATTAAGTGGGTTAATTTTAGAGAATATATATGAGCTTTTTTTCGGGAAAAACAAACGGTGTCTGTTATATATGGATGTCCTTATTAAGCAGTATTATTAATTGCTGGTTGTACAAGAGCTGTCTCCTACAGTAAAAAGACTCTTTTTTACAAAGTAGCTGTTTATTTGAATAAATTAAAAAACAACAACAACATAATTTTGATCACACTGTTGCATTTTATTACTTCAAAAACGCTAATGAAAGCTAGCGTGTAACAACAAAATTCCTAGTTTGTAAATCAAAAAATTATTTACATGAATGGTATTTTTTTGAGAAAATACAGTCAACTATTGTCATCAACACCGCAGTAGTACTGTGTAAAAAAGTTTGAGCTGATTCCTGAAATAAATCATGGATAACAGAAAGATCCATAGATAAATTTATTCATTTCACAAGTTATAGTCACTAACTCAACTTTATTGGACAGTTTAATGACTCAAGCTGAAAATCCAGTTAAATAACTGTCACTTTAAAATTGATGTTCAAGACCAGTTATTGTAATCATTCAGTGATGTGGAATGTTAATTATTAACCTGTGATAAGAGAGTTCTTAATCTAGTGTCAAAGTTATTTTTGGATTGGATCATGCCATGTATTATTGAAAAAACAGAACAGAAACCAAAACTTCTTATTTCCTAGTAGCTACATGTGGTAAAAATAATATTAAATGATTTCTGTTGCCTGTGTTCGTTTTGTGATTTGTTAACACGAACAAAAGTGACAGGAAAATTAATAATAATTTCAAGTTAAATCATCCTACTGTCTATTATCATTGCAAATTTGTAAATACAAACACTCCTCTATGTTACATTGACTTCCTAAATATGAAGTAATATTTTAATCATTACTTTTTCTTATAATTTATAAAAAACAGTGCAGGCCATTTTTACTTAATCATAGATAAGTCACAATGACGTGGTAATATAGTGTAATAAAATTGTTCATAGAAAATTTATGGAATTTTTAACCAACTGAAACCTATTCTTCTGACTTGTACCGCTATGTAGAGTGTCAAAACTGTGATTTAAGAATGCAGGCTACAGTCTCCTTCCATTGTTTGAAGTGGGCAAGTGTTAAACCAGAATTCAAACAAAGGGAGCAGGGTAGCAACATTGACGTTAACTATGAAGCTCCATTGCTGGCTGATTGAAACTTTTTTTTCATGAAAAAAGTTCATCTAGCTATAAAGAAAGCAAAAAATACCTTCTATCATGCCTTGAGAGTTAGCTCTAAGAAAAACAAAAAACCTACAGTAAATTTACGCCAATCATTGGTATGCTGTATAAATAGGATCTAACACTCAAGAAATAAAAAACTGTGATCAATACTGAGAAAAAGAGAACCTTTCTGCTAAGCTTCATCCTTGATTTTGGTTTTTTACTCTTTTTGTTTTGTTTTTAACATATTTTCACATCTGCCTTTTTTATAGCAACAAAGGGAAGGCATGTACTGTACTGCAACAGACTAATCTTGCTTGTACCAAAGTTTTTGTGCTAACTGCAAAGTGTAATGTCTCTGTTATGACTTCAAGCTTTCTCCATTCTCAGGCGTGTATGAAAACTGAGTAAAATTAGCTTCATCCTCTTCAGCAATCTCAGCCAGGTTACCTGCAAACCAGTTTATACAGATGAATATCAGATCGGATGTCAATTTATGCAATTGCAGAATAAAAAGCCTAAAATACTGCATGACTCAGATTCAAACACTGATATTTGCCATAAATGGCCACAAAATGGGCCACACTTCCACATGCCTGCCACGAAAGGTTAATGTCATTATGACTTTTAAACCAAACGCAAAAAGATCAAAGTGTGTACAAACAGCTGTAATCCCCTAGCAGAAAAAGAATGATGGAAGTATTAAGGGACCGTTCATTTTTCATGGGGTAGGGGGGGCTGGTGGGATTTGGAGGAGTGTAATTTGAAAATAATATGACCCCCGATTTCCGATTTTTTTCGCATGGCCCCCCCCTCATCAGAGTAATTTTTTGGAAGGCCCCCCCGCCCCATGAATAGAAAAATACATAAGGTATTAAAAAAGTTACTGCATTAAAATTTCGTTTTGTTACATTTCATGTAATTTAGTGAAAGAAAGCTGAAAGCTAGAAAGCTGTTTTTAACAAATCCTCACTCAAAAGAATGAAAAGTCAATTTCAGCTCTTCTTGTTACTGCTTGTCCTGAGCGTGTTGTAGCTGGCCGCTCGTCTACATATTCCTCGTCTGAGGCGATAAAAGCAAGAACGACATCATTTGAGTCGTCTTCAGATGGTTGCTCGGAGAGGTTAGGAGAGTTGCTACAAACAGAGTACCAGTTAAAACCTAGTGATGGACGGAGACTGAACTACGTTATAAGAGAACACAGAGAGGCTGTTGAGAAACTGAAAGGGCAGTTAAAAATTCTGAGTGATCATGACTCCACGCTCTTCCAGGCGAATGGCATTACCCTGAAGCCTGACAAGAAATTCCACCATGACTTCAATGTGCAGCACATCGCTAGGATTGAGGCAAAGCAGCTCAAGGTTTCAGGGGAGTTAGAAAACCTCGAAAAAAAGAAGGAGACCTTTGACCAGGTCTTCAAGGGCTTAACAGGACACTATGTGTGAAAAAAAAAGAAAATTAAAACAAAACCGTAGGAAATCAAAGGGCAGAAAACGCAAACGGTTTGAAAACAACGTCCTACGCGTGCATCATATCTGCGTTGCAAATCCCCTTGCAAAAGAGCTTCCCATTTGTCTTCTTTATCCTCCCTCCACGACAATTCCGGAAGCGTGCATAAACGTTGAAGATGTAGCAGCATTGTTGCTAACACGGGATGTAGCATTCATCGCTCACCTACTGCAATCAAGCTACTTCAGCAACGCGGCACAAAGCAGGCTTATTACCAACCTTAAGCCAGAAGTAAGAAACAGGATGTATTGCTTCCTGCATCCTGAAGATTATAGCTCAAACGTCGGAGACATGAACAAAGAGGAAGAAGAAAATGATGAAGAAGAGCAAGAAGAGGAAGACGACGAAGAAGAACAGGAGGAAGAAGAAGAGGAACACAGCGACGACGAGATCGAAGAGAACGTCGAAAATGAGGAAGGGGACACCTCGTAGTAGTTTCATGCCCCTCCCATTAAATTTCTCAGACAAAAGCTCTGGTAACGAGGTCAGTTCCAATTCAGGACTCAAATTATTGGTTTTAATTATATGAGCTTGACAACAACATTTTTATGAATGAAAAGAAAGTTGTTGCTATTCAAGACTGTTATTATGGTATGTTCACTGTCCTTATAAAATATAAAAGCTGTTGAGAAGTTTTCTTGTTACCCTGGAACTGTTTTAGCATATTTGTTATAAATAAAAGAGCACAATTTTTCTTCCATTTGTAAACATCTCTTATCCTATTTTTAATCTAATTTTTTCGTCCGACCCCCCCTTTCCTTCACTTTTTTTCGGCTGGCCCCCCCTTTCAAGCCAATTTTTTTTCGAGTGGCCTCCCCCAAATCCCACCAGCCCCCCCTCTCTCATAAAAAATGAACGCTCCCTAAGGTGCACTACATTTACAAATCACCAAGTTTAACCAACAGTTGGTTTAGGTATTATTAAGCACACTCAGAAAACCATTGCTCGTCAGTCATCTGACAACTGATCAACTATCTTTGATAATTTGGGCAGCAGTCAACAGACAGCTGGTCATGAAGAGTTGTTCTTCCAAAATTTCAACCCTTTATTTCCCAAGAGTGACCAACATCAGTTTTCTCCTAACAACATCTATGCATCATTATGAGAAAGAATATCGTGACCATTAAAGGGAAAACGCTTTGATCTTTTGTCAAATTCTCTTGACTGATTCTTTAAAGAAATGTATGAAGATCAGTCTGGAGAATTTATATATGGATATTGGAGCTTAATCTTTCATGATCGGTTGCCTTACCTTCAGGGGGTGACAGTTTGACTGGTTCGCTGGTGAAGTCTTCATCAAAATTAGAAACATCGGTGTCAGACTTTACCACTGGCCTGAAAGGGGGCTTAACCTGCGGTATCAACATCACATTTTAGAAATCCCTCAACTTAGCATCACCGTTCACATGAAAATTTTTATTTGTGCTGCGCAGTGGTTCAATGTAGTTTTATAAGATTCTGTTGAATCCAGGCTTGTTTTTCTGCAAACTTGTCCTAACAGTGCATATTTGACACAGGTATCAGCAAGGGAAATTGCCCTAATTCCCTGTTAAGTTTAAGTCCTGTGCTGTTAGTTTTGATTTCCCAAAGAAAATGAAGACATCTTAAGATACTTATAGCAACTATCAGTGAAATTTGATATTGCCTCTTCAGACCTTCCAACCCCTAAACCATGCAAATCTGAAGTGTTTGAAAAAAAGCTCTTAAAAACCTGGAGATTGGCACCTCAAACCTGGAGAATATATGTCAAATAAAACCAAAAAGGCCAAATATTTTTATTTGTCATGATATTTTTTACCCTGTAAGTGGTCTCTGTTGCACTCTCTTGTTGCTCTTTTGGCAGCAAAGAGAAGATTCTGTTTTACTCTCCAGGTCGATAGGACAGCGGGAGGCAAAGTGAGAGGTTTCCCCAGACCTTACTGAACCTACATTTTACAGGAATGAGGTTCAAATTGGATTCAGGTTTCCCCCCAAAATTAGATTGATACAATTCGTCCATCACGAAGACAGGTTTTTAAAATTATGCGATTCCTACCGGAATTGTCTGGCAATATTATGATTTTCAGATTCACCGCGACATTTGGAAGCTATATCGTGAGACCGTGAGTTGAGTCAAACTGTGAGACTTGGAAGGTCTGCCTCTTACCCTCTTGTGAAGGAGGTCATCCCAGTTGACACTCTGAAAGAACTTATGTCTCATGACCTCTTTAGCATCATCTGTGCTTCCGCCAAGGCTGTAAAGATTATGATATGTATATTTTCACTGTAACAAATCATTTACTCAATATACTTCTCCTCTTAAGTTCACTTGTTTTCAGCACACTTTATATTATTATGGCTTATCTGTCTGGTGAAATACCAGTAAGTGCAACATCAAGAAACTACAGCTAGTCCAGAACTTTGCAGCACAAATCATACTTGATCTAAAAAAGTTCTATCACATCTCACAAGGTACTAAATTCCTTATCTGGCTACCTGTTAGTGAAAACTTTAATGAACAATACTGTAGTGATGTTTAAATGTATAAACAATCTTGTCTCTAACTTCTTGGCTGAGAAATTTATCTGATGTAGTGAAATTCACACAAAAAAGTACTATTAGTAGTCAGCTAAATATTCCGAGATGCCATCAAGCTGTCGGTCAGTGGTCCCTCTCCTACCGAGGGGCAAAACGTTGGTATTAAATCAACTGATTCGGTTAGCATTTTTGAAAAACATATCGTCAAGCTACATCAATAATTGAATTTGTAATAGTCCTACCCAATGCATTATTCTGTTTTTGTATTTAACTTTTTCATACATTCCTGTTATTATTCTTGTTCCTTTTAATTCGTATTAAATTTTTTGGGGCAAAGTTGTCTTGTAACTGGAAAACCCTTTTAGGGAGTTACAATAAAATATGTATGGATGTATGGATGATCCTTAGAGTAAAAATGATCTTAAAGCAAAGTGAACACAGATCTATGACATTCCACTATCCTTTGTTTGGGTTGGGGCAGTTAATGTAAGAGAAACCTTTACCTACAAAAATTGTCAAAGTATATTTACAGTGAAACAAGCTTTATACAGTATAAAATTTTAAGGAAAAATAAAATTTACTAGTTTTCTTCCTAAATACTTTATACAACTTTAATTTTACACCTTTCCTGTAAGAAAATTCAATTGTTGAATTGAGATGTGGATAGTATTTTTTGCATGTACCGTGTGGAAGGGTTTTTCTGTAGAAGTCCAGAAAGGATACTCTTTGATCCGTCAGTAAGTCTTGAAGGGAATTTCACATCTTCCTGTAACAAATATATATAAAAAAATAAGTAAAAAAAAAAACTGCCATCATAATCAATACGACTGCGAACAAGCAAAACATTTGCTGCTTTATTTCTTACTTGCTTTAAGAAGAATCTTTGTAGATATTTTGCTGTTCAATGGCAAGTTTAAATCAGATATGCTGTATTTACTTGTTTGAATTATTATTTATGAAGCAAATAACTTCCAAGCTTGACTATTCACATGGCTGTATTGGCTTTCACAATAATAAATGGTTAAAATAATTAATCATTAATAACATCTATACTGGTACTTTGTGGATCATGTTAACCGCCATGATAATTATTACAAACCGTTAAAATCAGTTCAAATAGAACTTCATGATCCCTGTTGTAGAATGGAAGTCGGCCACATAACATCTCGTACATGACTACACCTACTCCCCACCAGTCAACAGCAGGCCCATAATCACTATCCTCCAGGACCTGAAAAAAAGGACGTTTGGTTTAATCAAGATCGTGGCTCTAATTCACACCAAGGATTGCTATAGTTAACACTCATGATACACTAACACTTCTGAAACTAGGAAAAAAGTGTCGGTTCCTTCTTTGCCCCTCCCACCTCTCTTAATTTTTTGCCCCTTTTACCCAATGCCATGAGTATCCTGTTTAGCTTAACCCTTTAAGTCCCAATAGTGACCAAGATCAAGATCTCCCAACAATATCCATACATTGTCAACAGATAAGTTATGAGAATTAATAAAATGATCACCTAAGTAAAAATGCTTTGGTCTTTTAACAAATTCTCTTAACTCATTCTTTAAGGAAATGTAAAGAGATCAGTTTGGAGAATTTGTATGTGGATATAGATTGTACTTAAAAGGTGTCCTTCATTTAAAATATATTCCATTCTTATTAGGCTTTCAACCTTCATAAAAACATAAATTATGCAAAATTTTGTGTTCAATAATCTGTTGGGTAACTTCAACTTACTTGAAACTTACCTTTCAACTTACCTTTCACAGTTTCACAGCTCAACTTACTGTTACAAGCAATGTTTACGTACATATACTTTGACAATCAGTTGTATAAATTTTGTCAGGTTTTCACCTAATTTTCAAACATAAATAATCAACATAATTTTCAGATTATAAAAACTACTTATTTATACAGTTGCCATGGGAGAAGATATGGAAAACTAACCTCAGGTGCCAAGTATTCAGGAGTGCCACAGAATGTTTTTGTTGTTGCCCCATGTGAAACATCTTCTTTACAAAGCCCAAAGTCAGCAATTTTAATATGACCCTCTGAGTCAAGCAGCAAATTTTCAAGCTGTCAAAAAAGAGAAAGTCTAAATAAACTAATCTACCAGAACATGGAAATCTTAAAGCTGACTGATGAAAGTATGCTACTTAACATCTTTCAAATTCAAACAGTGGTTGCAAGAATATGGGACAAGAACTTACATCTGACCTGTTGGAAATTACCTTAAGATCTCTGTAGATCACTTTCTTCTCATGAAGATACTTGACCGCTAAAACAATTTCAGAAGCATAAAACCTTGACCGGTCCTCTGAGAACACACGTTCTTTAGATAGGTGGAAAAAAAGCTGATGAAACAAAATAGCAAACAGCAAAATTAACAATATAAGCTGTGATTTAACTGCTATCAATTTGAATTAATTTTCTATTTCTACCTAAAGAGAATGAAGTGAATATATACTGTACTATTAAAATGAAGTCTACACTGTATAGTGATAATCCACATTCTATCAGTTATATGTGCATTTAAATTCACATTCCTGCGGCCATTAAACAATTCAAAGTTCTCTTCATATTTCTTTCCCACGTCCTGTTTTTGATTTCCTTTTTTCAGTTTAAAGAGGCGGCAAGGCCATGTGTAGAGCATTCACCTTGCAATCCAGAGGCCTTGAGTTCAAGTCCCACTGCACCCTTACCGCCACAGCTGTATAAGCTACATTGGTCATCCTTTTTTCCCATTCTTTTTTCACTCCACTGCCCTTTGCTTCATTTTTATTTATTTTAAACTAAATAATAATAACAAGATAATACACGTCTATAACTAACCTCACCACCATTGACATATTCCATTACAAATATTAGTCTTTCTTTTGTTTGAAAAGAGTACTTCAGCTCCTGTGCGACAACACAAAGGCAACAAAGTTAATGAATTCTGATGTGGTAAAATTTACTTGAGGTGACTAATTGACAACAACGCACAGTGATACCATACTCGCATACAATGTTGACATTATAATTCTGATTTGTTGATATTTTATTGAAGTTAATGATTAGGTCCAAATGAAAAATGTAGCAACTTACTGTGAGAAAAGGATGTACCATTGTTCTTAGTACTCTGTTTTCTGTTAATGTATGTGCAACTTCATCCTGTGGGATGAAATTTTGATTTAAATATTATTGGATAATGTTTAAGTCCATATCAAATCACAACGAAAATCACAAGAAATTGCCTGTGTAAATTAATGAGACTATCAGAAGTGACTACCACTCTATCTTGCGCGTGAGTTGTTGAGAAAGAACGTGTTTACTGACCTTGGCAACAATAACTTCTTTCTTTAAAATCTTAAGCGCAACGACTTCACCAGTCTTCTTGAACTTTGCTAGCATGACCTTACCAAATGTCCCTTTTCCAAGAACTTTCAGTAGATGGAAATCGTCTAGGGTCTAAAAAAAAAAGATATTTAAAATTTAGGAAAAATAGTAATACCTGCAGCTGATAAGTATGAGAGATGACTTCTCTTTTACTTTAGTGTGGGCCTGTTATTTCAATCGGGGGCCCTCAAGTTTGCCCAACTAAAAATCCTGTTTAGAACACTGAGCTTTCTAAAACTGGAATGTTTTGGGGGAATGCTAAAGAACAATGCTAATTAGAACAAACTGACACAGTAAAACAGAGCATACATTGAGGCAGTTTGTCAATTTTCTTCTAAAACAAAAAGTTAAGTAACAAACCATTTTTTCACTTCTCAAGGTGATTTCATCTGTCACTGAGTCCTCTTTTTCATATTTTGCACTTTCACGCAATTTATCAGCTACCTCTTGAATGGAAGAAACCCATTCTTCTCTGAAAAATTTGACAACAAAATTTACTGTGCATATGAACCTTTCAAAATAATATTAAGGCTAAAAGCTTAAGAGGCTTTGAATAAAACCAAGACTTGCAATTCAATTCCAATCTATGTGACAAGCGGGTCTTTCCTGAGGTCCTTAAGGTAACATTTCAACAAGCAACACAGGCCTTGAAACAGCGACATGAAGATGTTATTGAACCTGAAATTCCAAATACAATAGTAAAATACCGACAGGGACATGGCCACCTTCTCAAAACGCAAAACAACAGGTTTTGAAAATCAGTCTAGGGACATACATTACCACCCCCCGAGGACATTACTACCCACCAGAGGACCTCTTTCCTTAGCCTCCTCCACGCCAGGCACTCAAAAGGGAAGAGGCAAGGGGAAAATTGGACATAAACCTTTAGAAAATAATAAAAAAACTGTAACCACAAGCAATCAGTTTTAGTGAACAGCAAACCTTTCAGCAACGTTGTCTAAATGGAATGTCCTCTCTATCAGGTTAGTCCACTGCCAACATCTGTGGATAAGAAAAACATCACAAAACATTTTTCTATGACTGAAAGTCGTGTTACCGGTATTTTTATAGTAAATTACACAAGATTTCATCCATGGTAACCTTTTACTCAGTCACCATCATTCAATTTCTCCTTCCAGTACCAACCTACAAATTCTCCAGATGGATCTTCATACATTTTCTTAAGGAATTAGTTAAGAGAATTTGTTGAAAATCAAAACATTTTTCTTTGGTGATCACTGGATTAACTCTCATAACCTTTTTTCCTTGGTTATGTATTAATATTGTTAGAAGAAAGCTGATGTTGATCACTAACAATGCCAAACACTAAGTTCATGAAAACTTACTGCTACCAAGGTTAAGTCAGCAGGCTAACCCCTGGTTGCTGAGTGGGAGGCCTGTGCTCTAACCAATGCTGGACTACAAGCTCATGCTGGGTGAAGTGATAATCCAAGGCAGTGCTCCTGTCCCAGTTTCCCCTAGCGCCTAACTTTTGCTCTCCGGCAACTAGAAAATCTTAGTTTTTGCATACAAATCATACGCTGGGCACCATGGATTTCACAGGTTCAGAGCACAGGGCTCCCTTCAACGTTCCTTAGAGCACAGCATTGTAATCTAGTCTCAGTGCCCATGATCTTGGGAGGTGGCATTGAGCCATTAGCCTGGCCTCCTTTCCCTTTGTTTTGCTTGTTTTTTTCAAGGCAACAGAAAGGATCCACACTAATGTTACAAAAGAGTGAGGGGCATTTCTTTCATGGTTTGGTCTTAGCTCTTCTCATGTTATGAGTTCATACATAGCACACATCTCAGATAGGTAACAGAAAGCTTGCTGTTACCAGTTTTATATCAGAGTAAAGAGGACATCAACTCTTGTCTTCTCATCTGGCTGATATTACACAGGGGCGGATCCAGGATTTTTTTTAGGAGGGGGTGCACTTGTCTCTTGCTCTACTTCAACACCAATAAACCACATAGTTTTTTTTTTTTTGGCAGAATACCAGTTGTCCCCTCTCCCGATTTTTTCCTGAGGGAGGAGGAGACGTCTGTATACAGGCTACCAGTTGTATTAGAAAACCGCAGGTCATCTAAGGGGGTGGGGGGGTGCGCACCCCCTGCACCCTCCCCCTAGATCCGCCCCTGTTACAAAAGCTTGAGAGAGTTCAACCACTGGAAAATAAACACACACTATACCTTATAATAAATGAATTTGACTTCGGCTTTTCTGTTCTCATAATTTGGCACTCTGGTAAAATAAATAAAGAAAAAATACATTAGATCACAATATAGTACATTACACTGTAGAGTGTATAATAACAAAGGTGTCAGACGGGGCTACATGAGTGCTCCTAGAGCAAAGCTTTACTCTCAAATCAACATTAGCACAGAATAAAAATACTTTGGTGATTTCCAATGTGATAAATTTTACTTACTCAATTATTGAAGTTTAGTATTGAAGTTATTTATTAGTGTACTTACTGGAAACAGAGAAGTTGTTCAAAGGTTCAGTTTCTCTTGACTTGGGAATCTCCTTGTACCCAATGAAAGAACCATCACTCCAAAGCTGAAAATATCTAGGTCTCCAATTCTTAATGTATTCCCCTGAGAATAAGATTTTAAAAAAAGGGCTATTATGATCAGGAGGAAGGTGGTCAGCAAAAAAAGGGTGGCAAAAATGGCTGTGCTCTGTGAAGGGAATGACTCCTGCTACGGTTAAAAGGTGCTTTTGGCAATTAGGGCGGGGTTGTTCAGCATGCTCCACACAACCCTCGCCAAATTTCACACCAAAATATTTGACCTTGCCCATCCTATTTTAGACTTAAATGGCTGTCCTCAAGAAACCAATGATAGCAAATTGAAATAGCCAATTGCAGTCCCTAAGGTTTCAGACAGCACAAAACCTTACCCATTGTACACCCAAACAGTCACAATCCACTTGCAACTTCAGACAAAAAGGGCTCAAAAGCAACACTCGCTGGTGCCTTAGTAGATTGATTGAGATACATTTTTATGAAAATCAAAAATAATTTATGATCATAAACAACTTACCTCGTTTCTGAAGCCAGCCTACTTTAACAATAGTTGATCCAGAGCTTGGACCATGTACAGATGATACAGACATCGTCAAGCCTGCAGTGAAGATCGTGAAAAAATAGGAGAAAAATGTTACAATCATACCATTGTAATCTGCAATTTTTACTTGGGTCTCCTGTGGTGACCAAAAAAGGATCAGCCTCTGACAGGCCTGTGCTCACTCTGAAGTAAAGCCTGGTTCTCATATGCCACTGAGCTACCTGTGACCTAACTGCCGGTACTGCCTGCGACACTGTTCTGATGTGAGAACAGAAGGTGCTGGTAGCAGAGGCCATGTCAGTCTTCACAGTTGGCATGCCTCCAAAGTTGACTCAAGGACGACTTCGCAGGAATGCAAGTGGTTTAAGACCTGCGATGTTTCTTGTTGCAGGCGGTGTAATGTCTTCATATGTTGGAGTAGTATTGCAGGCAGTATCGGCAGCCATGTCACAGGTACTTCGGCAGCATACGAGAACCAGGCTTAAGAATGTCTTCTGAGGCTGCTCTTAGGTGGCTACTGTAGAGAGGTTTAATTGTGTAGTATTTCCTTTTAATTTAATTGCTGTAGGAAAATGAGACATCTGCACACGGGTTAAAAAATTAAATAATCATTCGTTGCAAATTTTTCTTCCTTTTCATTGGCCGAGAGCCCACCACGTGACCTGCAAATAACTGCCTACAAAAAATGGTCTGCTCATGCACAATGTTGTCCAACTTTGTTTGGCTGCAAATAATATTCAGTTCATGAATGCATAAATGAAACCACGTTTCTCTCCATCTTGTGATCGCTCTTACGTGAAAATGGCAGATCGCTTTGCTTCCTGAAGATATTCCTTTAAACAACAAACTCGGTGATCGAATGATCAAACAATTACTGACCTCGGTTATCGCAAAATATTGTGATTTGTCAGGGTCCCTCTTGCCACTGACAAATCATAATATTTTGCTCAACCTCGTCCAATAATAATTGTTAATTATTTGCACATACTTTTTTTTTGTTACTGGATCATTTGAATCACCTGATTCTTCAACTAAAAAGAAAATTTTTCTTTTTGCTTTAAGGCTGGAAATTTTCAGACCTTCAAAGACATTCTTCAAAACACTTAAGATAATTTGTAATTTTCTGGAAGAGACAGAAAAGATATGCAATGGCTCTATAAGTACTAGTATTCAAGTGAAACAGCTGGAGTATTTATCAGGCGAGCGTGCGTACTCTATTTTTTTCAATGCAAATCAGGATTTATTTAATGTGAGATATTGCAGATGAACATTGAATGCCACTGATGAGATGTTTACGCTACCTTCATGAATATGAAACCACAAAATCAGCAGAAGATGAACACTCAGACATAATTTTTCTGGGGTTATACAGTGACAATGTAAAAAAAAACAGTCAATAATTATCATTCAAAGTATAATGCTGCAAGGCAATTATAAATTCTTGATCAATATTTGTTACCACAAATCTTGATGATTATGAATAAATTTACATGAAGTAAATAACATGAAAAAGAAAATTGTTTAGTAAGTTAGTAAAAACAAGGAAAGCAGCTGGTTAAACATAAAATGACTTGCCTAACACCAAACCCACGTAGGAAACCAGAAAAGTGACAGAATTGAACAAGCATGAAAGCTGCCAAGTAAACATCTATTTTTCAGCGGAAATGATCCTGACTTTTTTACGTTCGAGAACAGATCAACGGTGAATTAAAGTTTGATCGGCATTAATATGTTAAACTTACATATATGTGTAAGGGTTTGAAGAGAGTGGTCGGAATTTTTGAGTCTGAAATGAACAACTTGCAAGATACACTTTTCTAGAACCACACACGTTGTTAAAAACTGCACTCTTATGTATGTGTACATGAATAACAATTTAAATTGTGCAAAAATAAGCTTAAATGTTGCATTTTCCACTTCATAACCAATTTTACTTTCATTTTAAAATCAAGCGAAGTGTAATTAATTACTATATTCGTTGACAAGTTCTCGAGCCATGTCTGTATCTGAGCAACGCACCACACTGGAAAAAGGAAAAGTTAAGAATATTAGCGACTTGATCGCTATAATTCAATTCCAGTTTAGCCTAATTTCTTCCTCCGGAGAAAAAGAGGCGATTGAAAAAATACTCACCACAGGTATGTTCAGGTATTAAATTGTTAAAAATGGACAGTCACTCAGTAGGTCTAACACAATACACTCTCGATCGATAATATATTAGCTCAACTTTACAGCCATAGAGTACGTTAACAAGTTAGAAACCTCTTCAAAATCAGCAAAAGTTAAATAAGCGGTTCTTACTGATTGATAAATTCCGCCCACACAAATCGATTGAGGCAAGAGCGCAGAAATTAACAAAAATTCGACCCCAAGAATCGAAGATGCTCAAGCGGAAGCTTCACTGAAAATCTACAAATCGTAATCTTGCGCATATGTTTAAACAAAGCAAAACTACCTAACAACAATGCATGAGAAGTTCTTACTGCATTTTGGAATCAAACTAAAGAAAGTGGCTGACCACAGCGAACGTAAAAAAAAAAAATGAACAAGACATTCCGATGCAGCAAGCTGAAACGGACATCATGACCGAACGCAGAGGAAAATTTTGTTTTTGTGACGAACTTTAAATATAACTGATCTTGATCTTCGTTCTTAAACAAGGAGATCCTTGCAAGTGTTATATATATAACAGATGACAATTGTGCCCACCTGTACAACCGCCGGGAACTCTACACAATATCTGTGGCTTGGTTAAGGCTTGAAGCCTTCGGATTGATTATTCGATCTCTGGAGCGAAAGCGGCAGCAATGATGATTTCTCCTGTGGTGTCCAGTCCCCGAGCAAACCTCTAATTTTCATTCTCACGCAACACTGACATGACAGGCGTCACACAAGGAATTGATGGCCTAATATTAATATAGACGTAATAGTCGTTTAGTGTGATTGGTACAGAAGGTAGCTTAGGATGGAATGACCCTTCTGCCTAAGGAACATCCCCTTTTCATATGATCACGTGCTTCATGGTGTAGAATAAGCTGCCAGCATTCTCCTTTGGATATGCTGAACATCATTTTTGTTCCACAGTCATCCTGTTGTCTTAATATTGTTAGGTACAATTCCTGTCATTTTTCTCACAAAAAGGTGTTGGCAGCAGTGGTAGTGGTGGGGGAGGGTTGGGGGTGAGGATGGGGGTGGGGTCAGGTGCTAACAAGCATCCTGTCAAGGAAACTCATGGTACATTCTCAGAAGAAAAGAACACAAAATTTTAGTTACCAACTTTAGTTAAATTACCCAATATAAAATAATTACACTGGTTATTTTGTATTTAAATAATATTGTATCTTTATTGTTACTTTTACTTGTCAAAAGAAGATTTACCTTCTATACCAAATAAAATTTGAAAAATATAACTTAAATTATGTTGTTCTAAATAATGAAGAAACTGGCCCATATCCATATGGTTTTCTCTTGTGCCATGAACTTCAAAGAACAATTCTTCAAATCCAGAAAACTTTCTCTGATCATCAATGCTTTTGTTTTCTTCTCCCTTTTCTCGATGTCTGCAAGTAATTTTCTTCCAATTAAGCCTCCGTAAACGACTGAAGTACTCTTCAACATTGTATTCATCACCTTCCAAGCAAACAACCCCTGGCTTACCCGGGAGGCAGAAACCAGTGAGGTTATAGTCAGTGGCCCATTGAAGAATATCTTTCCTTTTTGTTTTGCTGTATATGTGATGCATATATAACCACATTCGTAAGAACATCCTATCTCTTTTTATTTTAACCTCACTTTCTTGAGATTTGCTTGCAATTGTTGTAGAAGATTTAATTTCAGCTTGGCTACGAGCAATGTACATTTCCCCATTTTCCTGAATCCATTGTAGTGCTGGCAATGTGCATAATTCTCCAGAGCCAACTGTTGCAGTTATATGAGAGTTTAACGTCTCATTAACCTCCCTCTGAGTTTCTCTGTTAAGAATTTGCGATCTAACAAAGAGCTCTGGTTTACTGTTGGGATATTCTTGAGGGAAATAACAAGACAGATCTATAGAGTTTTCTCTCCCACCATCTCCATTACAGTCGTGTAAGCTGATGGTCAGTGTGAAGTTAAGAAGACTATGTGGTTTTTCATCTGTCCTACCAGAACAAAATTCTTGTACATCTAGAAGTGCTTGCTCATCCAAATTGAACTCCTCTTCTTCTGGATACATAGATCGAAGCATTTCAACCTCAGAGAGCTGCAATTCTAAATTTTCACGCAACTGGATTTGCGTTAAATCTGCTGGGTTGGTCGCCGCCATCTTTTTATAATAAATTACACTCTGATTGATATTACTTGAAGGCACCTTTCGCTTTTGCGATAGCGGTCGTGTCTGCAGACTCGGTTCGGTGTGTTTTTTTCAGTATTTCATGACAGAAGGTAGAAGGGTCCGATATGTAGGAGATTTCTCGTCCTGGAGGTGTCTTGTCACCTATATTTCTTTACCTAAAATGTTAGAAACGCATCTTATTATTACTGGAAAATGGAAAACGTGTTAAAACACTTAGAGCTCCGGTAAATCAGGCTAAAACCAGATGGATTCAGAAGATGATGTTAGGTTGACGTCGTTTCGTCCGCTCAGTCCAGATACTTCGCAATCGAGTTTTTCTTTGGCACGATTATTTCAAAGAAAAAGACCCGAGGCTCGAGTGGAGGTCAAAATTGATAGCACGAAAAAACACCGTCCTGTGAGCCCATTAGTTAGTCCTAGAAGCTCACCTCAGCTGCAGAAACGAGTGTCGACGACAAAAAATCCTGAACTGCCCCGTTCCTGGTCAGCCTCACCTCTCATTGGTAGACGGAGGACGAGCGCGCCGGGGAGTGTAGGGATCGGCAGTAGGCGTAACTCTCCAGGTTATCGCAACGTGCATGCCGTCTTGGGCCGCCTGAACGCCGCTGCGGATGGTCGAGGGCAGGTTAGTTTGGGGTTCAAAATTCCCAACGGACATTCTACTTATTGATCTCAATTAAGCGGGCGAGATGGGGCAAATTCTGTGCTCTGACTGGTTTCATGAGCAGGAATAATGGCCCCAGTAAGATTTTCTTATAACCCCATACATTTATTATGCATACCTGTGTCAACTGTATTCGTGTTAAACTATTCGGGAGAAAGGCCCAGTTCAAACATCAATCTTTTCATGTACCAAAATTAATCCCTTGAATTAAGTATACATGAAGAGATCGACGTTTGAATCAGTTAAGTCCAACATGTCTAATTTGGGTTGACCCATGAATTAAGATGGAGTGGCCTATCTGGGAATTTTGACAGTGGAGTGACTTTGTTTCAAACATTGATCTTCTCATGTGCTGAACCTAATGCATAAATAATTTTCACTTAGACCATTGAGCTTCGTGAAAATGAATTGCGTCTGACTAATTAGGTTTGACATCGAAATGAACCCTCCACCTTGTAGTATTTAGGTTAACCTAACTGGCATTAAATTTGTTAAATGAAAAGATTTACGTTTCAAGTGGGCCAAAAAGTATGAAATTGCTGCATGCATTATAAACGTATGAGGTTGTACGGAAATCTTACAATGCACCCATCTGGCCTGCTCAGAATTAATATCCCTGTTCTGCAAGAGAAAATTTTCTTTGGGCTTTTTCTGGCTACCTTTACATCATTGACTTGCTGTGTATCTGTAAACTGTTTTAATTTTTGTATCTGTTTGTTTAAATTTCAGATTTTAGGTAACATAAAATTTGTTCATGGATACTTTTACCACACTGTCATTCATTTTATGACCCTTAAATGAGCAAAATATAAATAAAATATCATGTCTAGGTGCATCTTTGTATTAAACATAGTGTACTGAACCCATAATTTTGTGAAGAGTTTCTCCTCAGATTCAAACAGAATTTTTTGTTTTGCTAAATATTTCCTTTCCTTTTCCCTCAGATGATCAAACTATTTTTCAATATTTCGGTTTTTTTTTTAGCTCTAGGAAAGGGAAAATATCGGGCTGACCACACGCCTTTATTATTATTTTATAACCTTTAATTTTGCGCAAAGTGAAATTGCCCTGTATTGCTCATATATGTTAAAGCTCTTTTAAAATAATCTCTTCCCAATAAATCACTGAAAACACAATTTTCTTTATAGATTTCAATGGTTCTTGCAAAGATTTACATCTCCTTTATTTTCAATACCCACGCGAGAGTAATAAATAATTGGCCATTATTTGAAAACATAATTTAAACACCCATAGTTGTTGATTTGATTTTTTTTCAGCTACGACAAGAATACAAAAAGAGTGATTTTAAGCAGTATTGGATGCCAGATGAGAACTGCAAGGAATGTTATGAATGTGGGGAAAAGTTCAACACCTTCCGCCGCAGGCACCATTGCCGCCTCTGTGGTCAAATATTTTGCTACAGGTGCTGTTACTTGGAAATTCCTGGCAAGATCATGGGATATTCAGGTAAAGAAAAATTAACAAAAAAAATTTAAAATAAATGACAAGCATTATTTTTTGTCAGAGACAAAATTAATGTAATTTTGCAGTGGAAACCAGTTGATACAGACAAGCCTAAGAACCTCAGCAGGTACAAGGCAAACCAGTTGGGTGTTTTATACACTTTAAGCATGGCCATGAAGGATTTGAACTTGGAACTACACTGTATGGGGAAAAAATCCAGTTACGGTCAGGGGTTGGACTTGAACTCTAAGCTTTCGGGTTACAACTCCAGCACTTTAACCTCTCAGCCACTCTGCCTTCCTTAAATCTGACATTCTCTTTCCAATTTTTAGTTATCATCTCTCAAGGGTCTGTTCTATACATGGCTACAGTAATGATAATATTCTGATTGGCAGGGTTTTTGCGAGTGTGCACTTACTGTCACAAGGTAGTCCAGCGGTACACACAGTCAGCTGACTTGATGGTTAGAAACTTGGAACAACTACAGGCTGATCTGAGTGCATTTACCTCAGATACTGATATCACTACCAACAACAGTGGCAACATGAACCTGGCAAATCCTAGGAGCTATCCATTTGATTTTGATGATGAGGAGAATTTCTATGTTCAGCCTTCACACAGGAAACTAAGCAATAGTGCAAGCATGACTGCACTGAGTTCTTATGGTGAGAAGGAACGGCCTTTACCAATGCCAGGGCGGAGACCATTTGATGCATTTGGAGTATGTGCAGCTGAAGCAGACATGTTGAAACAAGTCAGTGATGGTTGATTTGTCATAATTATTGTTTTAAACAGACAAGCTGATGATGAAATTGAATAATATTATTATAAGTAACAATTGGAACTATTCGACATTTTGTGCATGTTGCTCTGAAAATCTGAATTACAATAAAATTTGTGGTGACTATGATAGTGGCCGGGTTGTCAGAAAGTTTTGAACTAGATGGCTGAGTTGTCAAAGTAACCAGCCAGTCCAGGGATATTTTATTTAAACAATGCCATCTGTAAAGAAATGCCAAGTAGAGTAGCCGGCCGAAACTAACCAAGTAGGTGGTGATTTTTGCCGGCAGCTGGTTACTTTTGACAACCCTGAATGGTAGTAATGATGATGATACTGCATACTTCTCTTTTCTGCACAGAAATCTAGAGGTGCTCTTTAGTTATGTTTCCTGTTGTTGTTTTGTTTTTTTGTGATAAAATTTTGTTACTCTTTACAAATAAGGACTCTTTTCGTGAATTGTGGAATCAAATGATCTCACCCAAGTCTGGATTGGAACTGCAGAGCCACCGTTTTCGCTTGAGAACTTATCAGAATTGTCTTGTTGGCAGCGAGCTGGTTGATTGGCTGCTTACATATGAAAAAACATCTACAAGGTAATCTCACAATAAGTTTTCTCTCAGATTGTAACAGAACTGCTTATGATGTACAAGCTTTCGGTACCACTATTGGACCTTTCTCAAAATGTTGTGATATGATCTCAGATAATTTACTCTTACTACTGATGGTGGAAAGTCCATAAATTCATTAGTGATGGCATTTAGAGAGCTTAAGCAATGACTATGGCGATCAATGTTAATGAGAATGGCAAAAAAGCTATAGGTTTAGAGAGACAAAACAACAAATTTGCATGTGCATCATGTGTTTTTGTACATTTCTTTGCTGTCACTGCACGACTACAACGTGAAAATGCCCAATTTCACATTTTGTTGAGGACATGAACACAAGGCAATGACTTTGTTTTCTTTTCCTGAACTTCAATACAGTGTTTTAGAATTCAACTCCAGAAAAAATTGCCAACATTACTTTGAATGAATTAAATGAGATGGAATGAGCGCAATAAAGTTTGAAGCAGTGGGACTTTTTTGTTCGAGTGACGTTCTTATAGCCATTGCTGTCGTTGTTGCTTAAAGCTCCCTATAATGACCCACCCGGTATTGAACCTCTGCACAAAAGCTGCCGTTAAGTTAATACCTTGGCCCCTCTGTGTAGTTTCTTTATATATGGCTGTCACACCACCTATTATAGTCTTAATAATTGATCTTGACTGTCTCCTGCATGTTAGATAGATCTGAGTTGGCAAGTACAACACCATGTTTCTAACCTTTGTAATCTGTTCCTTTTTTACCATCACCCAACAGGAATCAGGCAGTGACAATAGGACAAGGTTTACTTGATTCTGGTTGGTTAGAGCCTGTGCCGAACACTCGTGAAGGCAGAGCTGTCTTCAAAGATGAATACATTCTCTACCAACCAGGATTGGTGAGGAACAGCTTCCATTTTAGATACAGTTTAACCTTCCATAAGTGGGTGATCAGCCAAAATCTCAAGATTCAGTGGTTGCTCACTGGAAGTGGTCACTTATGAGAGTCAAACCAGATGAGGGCTCCTCTGGGAACAAGTCTGTCACATCTACTTGATAGACTAAGGGAATTAATTACACTTAATTTCTTCATTATGAAACAGACAGCGACATGTCACTCAAAGTCTTTCTTGCAATCTGATTTACCAAGAATAACAGTACAGTGAACATAGAGATCAGACAATAATAATATTGCATCAAGTGGTCGCTTACATGAGGAAAAATGGCTACCCTGTTTGAAATACCTTACCTTGTTCTTAGAAAAATGTGTCAAAAAGTTTCATAATAGATAGTAGAGATAGGGATTAGCCTACTAGGTTCTAAAGTCAATTTGTCGTGGTTCAATTATTTTGTTCTTAGTTTAAATTTTATTTTCTTTTGTTTACGGGTGTAGTAGTGTATGAAAATGAGTTTATAATAAACGACATAAAATTCCAAGAATAAAAAAAATGAACCACAACATTTACATTGTATATTTCATAACAGACTGCTCGTGAAGTGGCAACACCTAAAAGGTCTTTCTGGGGAGATACAGACAAATCATCTGATAAAAGTGGTTCCTGGAATGAAAGTTATGAGAAAAATGATCATGTTGATGATGACAATGATGAAACAGTTCCTCACTGGTTCCGTCAGCTGGATCATCATGAAATTGAACCTATAACTGACGACTTGGAGGCCAGCAATACCCAAGAGGTAAGAACACCGATATGGCAATATGGGTGTGAAGTAGTACAATAAAATAATACAATGAACTCTTATCTTTATTACCTAACTTGCTTAAAGCATTTTAGCTGGTCATGTTCACATTCTTGTGAAGCCCGGATCATGCTTTTTAAATCATTTGTAGTTGATTTTGTGCTGATATTGTTTTATTTTATATATAGCAATGTTGATAATAATGTCATTCATGAATTAGGGCTAGGGGACAAAGGGAATTAAGAATTAAAATCAAATTAATTTTAACTTGAATATAATTTTGACCTGTAACACATGCACTGTATATTATTTTATTTTATATACAGCATGTATATGTTACAGGTCAGTTTTAATTTCAGGTTAAATTTTTTTAACCTTGGTTGATTCTGAATTTCCTTTGTCTCCCAACCCTAACTCATGAATAATTAGCGTTAGTGGGGCTCGCACAGTCTTGAAAAGTCCTTGAATTTTAGCGCAAGTCCTTGGAAAGCCCTTGAATTTTCTTCAAAGCTGGAAAGAATTGTCTGATGCTTTTTTGTTGTCCAATAATAATAATAATAATAATGGAATTAATATAGCGCTTATACATCGCTGTTCAAGACAGAATGTAAATCACAGCTCAGAGAATTTAAAGGTTATTTACTTAAAGTGCTTTGTTTTATGCAATAATTAACTATCAATTTCAGACTGGTGAACTGAAAAATGTGGAGAGGTTGGAGAAGCAAAAAGTTCAAGCCTTAAAGTCTTATTAGAATAGACTGAGAATGTGCATTTTTGTACAGTCTGTGAAGTAAATTATTATATTCCTAGTAGGTGGTCCTTGAAAATCTAATGTGGTCCTTGAAAAGTCCTTAAAAAATGGCTGCAATTTTTTGTATGAACCCTGGTTAGGAGGTTAAAAAATTTTAACTTGAATTTAATTTTGACCTGCAACATATACATGTGACAATATCACATGCTTACCTGAATTATGCAAGTCATGTGCAATTTATTAAATGTGTATTTTTTCATATATAACATGTATAGCAATGACTACTTTATGCCAAATTTGAACATTCAGAATCTTAAAAAATTTGGAGATAATTTGCTTGAAAAACCTGATTTATTGTAAGCATAGTGATTTTGGTTTTACTAGAGCCTTAGTTTCATATTTGTTCATCTCTAAGGAAAGTACAAGTCATGTACTGGTATGTGTTAGTTAAATGTGTTGCTTTTTGAGCAATGTTTAATCCTCATTCTTCCCTTGTCATTTATTTTTACCTTTCAGGTCTCTGGAAATATGAGTAACCATAAAACAACAGGTAATTTATCCTATCACCCCCCCAAAAATACAAGATAATTCTGTTGCAGTTGTTGAATTTGTTGCCAAGAAAGGCTGAATTGTGTGCATTGAACTGATGGCACAACAAAATGACTTAAAACACCCAGAAGAGAGAGCTTCATTAAACTGAAATGCATGTGCAACACGTTGTATTTTGTTCTCTGTACCCCATGGAGGGTTTTGATGTAACCCCCCTTCCCCCACCTTCACCCTGGAAACAATTCCAGTTTAGTTTCATAATTTCTTTTAAAAATTTAGGCCTTTAAGAACCCCTCCCCTTGGAAATTGTTTTAAATGACTCTACAGGGGGTGGGTATGGATGGTTGTGTGTCAGCTAGCCTTGTCAACTATTGGCCACTTTTATTGTTTCTGTTCCTCTTCAAGCACCAAAGCTTCTGGACCTAGATTTGATGAATGGTGTGGCAACTGAGGAAGGTGACAGTGAATTGTTATTAAAGGTGGATTTACAGCATTTTGGAGAGGTCAGAAATTACTTTGTTTGTAAAACGTAGTAGAGACAAGCCTAAAAACATGAGAAATGACAATCGTATACTGTGGCAACAGTAACAGTGTTGCACGTCCATCTAAGTTTTGGTTGTCACACAACTGTCATATGTCTGTGTGGCTGCCTGTACCACAGGGAAACCATGAGATGACACAGCCTAATAAGATGACGCTGTTGTCATTGAAAATTGACAGCTGTGATGAAGCATATGCTGACCAGTTTCTCATGACTGTATTTCTGGCTCAGGGGTATCACCCCTGTTCTGTTTTTTTTTTTTTTCAGTTGATTGGAGGCTCAAGTTTTAATTTTTTATGAGGTCGATAATTTGCTTGGCATTTTCTTGTCGATGCTGTGGAAGTTAATATTGTTTCAAGTTGAATAGTAACAGTGGTACATTTGATATTATTTTTTCTGTTATACCCCAGCCTGGAAAACCTGGAGTATCAGCAGCAGATGCAAATGGTGAAGCAGCAAGCTCTACATTGTCACTGATAACAGATGTACCCCCACCCCCACTGGAACAGTATGTGTACAATGAAGGATACCCACACACCCCCCTGAGGCCAAGCACTAAGAAGACTAATGAAGGGGGGCCATCAGTGGCAATCATTAGTACTAGCAATACCCCTGATGAGATCTTCAGTGGAGCTATGATGGCCCGAAAGATAGGCGTTGATAGGTCATCTTCTGGTCCTGATTTGGAGGAACTTAGGGAAGATAATGGGGAGAAACTGGCCATGGAACGACTGTGGTGAGTGAATTACTTCCCACAACGTCAGTTTTATTTTCTTGGACAATCCACCAAAGTAAAGTCATTCAATTTTGATACTTTCGAATACATACAACTTGTATTAACTGAGCATGCAGTTGAGCAGTATTTGCACCCCATGTGTGCTAACTCTCACACCTGCAGATCAAAGACTTTGATCTCTCACCAGCTCACCCATGCAGACCAATTTCTTATTCCTAGCATAAAAATTTGTTTTTACAACCTTAACTGACTAATTTTTGAAAAAATTATTTACCTTTAGCCATTGTAAGAAAAGAAAAGTCCATTGAGAGATCATACTTTCCTAGAAATCTCCTATTTTAGGAGGAAAAGTAATGGAACTGAGTACCGTGGAACTCTTCAGAACTCTTTGGACAAAATATTTATAGATGTGATGGAGAGCTCTCCTAGCTAGTATTCTCAGGAATAAAAATATCACATCTTTGACTCAAAAAAGTTTTTAGGTATAGTTTCTTCAAGATCGGCCATAAAAACAGCCCTCAATAGACAGGACTCCTGGCTTTTGAGCTGCTTAGAATTTTCTTTGAGAGTTTTTCATGACTTTAGGGTTTTTATGACTTGAGAATATTTTGTCATATACTTGATTATCTGAGGAGAATGTGTCATAGATTTTTGTGGGTCTTTGTTTTCAGGGCTGCACACTCTTACCACCTTAACACTCTGTTGGAGCAGTTGCTAAAGGATGCTGCCCTGTCTGTTGATTGGAAAGATACTATTTTGCCACTTGTGAAGAGAATTAGTGCGCAGGTACTTTGTTACATTTTATACTTAAGAAAGTGTAGTAAACGCGATTAATTTAACTCTGAAAATTTAAAAAGTTCATCTTCCTAGTCCTTGTCAATTTGATTTTTTAGACTGAGGTGTCTTGATCCTGTATTCCTCAGTCTTTTTTTTTCAATCACTTTAAATATCTCTTTTTTAGTGATTTATTACTCTGCTCTAAATTGCTGAGAGTTTTTTGGTGAATGGTGAATCTATAAAAAGTAGCATCACAATCTGGCATGCTATGGACCCGGTGTTATAGTGATAGTTGGACATTCTGCTGTTATGGGCTCCTGGGTTTGATTGTAACTGGTACATTTTTATTGGCTGTGCTCACAACCTGTGAAGACTAAATTTTTATGATGAGACTGTAAACTGAAAATCGATGTTTTTGTTTTGTTATTGTGGCATTCATTCACCAGGGTTTGTTCAGGTCACGGAAAACCTGGGAAATTCATGGAATTTAAGAATTTCACTTCCATGCCTGGAAAGTCATGGAATTTAATTATCAGGCCTTGAAAGTAATGGAAGATTAAAGTTTTGTATGATAAATTACTTGCTGCAGATGACAAGGCAAGGACAATGTAAGATACAGAGGAGTAAACGGCATGCATTTTGAGTTTGTGTCTGTTGAATTGTTTAAGGTCGAAAAATACCCTAAATCAAGGAGAGTTTTTAAAATTTTTGAAGCTGACAGCAAAGCCGAAGGTCTTGGAAAACTTGAAAAGGTCATGGAAAAAGTCATGGAATTTGGAGAACTCAAAGGATTGAGTACAAACCGTGTTCATTCATTTATTTGTTTAGGTTACCCCTGATGTTCATAAAGATGATGACATGGACATTCGTGAGTATGTGAAGTTCAAAAAAATTCCAGGTGGAAGCAAGAGTGACTGTGAAATGATCAGTGGTGTGGTGTTCACTAAGAACATTGCCAACAAGAAGATGTCAAGTGTTTTGCATCACCCAAGGATACTGGTGCTGAGCTGCGCTATTGACTATCAGGTAATATCAGTTTGTAAACCCTTAAACCCCAACAACTGATCAGCATCTGATTTCTCTTTAAGTCCCGATAGTGACCAACATCAATTTTCTCCTAACAATATCCATATGTTGCCAGAGAATTGATTGTGAGAGTTTATAAAATGATCACCAAAGAAAAAATGCTTTGTTCTGTTATCAAACTCTCTCAACTATTTTTTTTTTAGGAAATGTATGAAGGTCAGTATGGAGAATTTATATGTGGATATTGGGGCTTAAAGACAATAGTTTTAGAGGGTTTAAGTAAGATCCTTTCAAGAGCTTGAACAATTCCATTAGAATAATTGAGCTGGACTTAGCAATACATCACATTTCACAAGTCAGATTCATCTAGCTTTCATGTCCTTACTAATACTTTTTGAAAGAATGCAAAAACAGCACTAAATTTCGTAAAATTTCTACCTGTTAGAACTTTTAGTGGGATCATATTTACAGCTGCAGTTTGTAGACAACACTCATCTGCAAGTTTAATAATAATTATTATACAAATTTTTCTTCACAGCGAAATGAAAACCGTCTTGCATGTCTTGATGCACTTATTCGCCAAGAATATGAGTTCCTTAAAAACTTTGTTGCCAGAGTAGTTTCTTTAAAACCCAACATATTATTGGTGGAAAAGACTGTTTCTCGTCTGGCTCAGGACATGCTGTTGAAACATGGCGTCACACTTGTCCTCAATGTTAAAAGAGTAAGTAATGCCTTTTCATCACTATGAAATTTTCATGAGAGTTCTTAGAGAACTTTATTGGAATTTTTTTCCAGTGTATTGCTGAACTTAGCTCGAATCAATGGATGCTGCACAAACATTTGACAGGCTTTTCCTGGAAGAATTCTTCCAATATTAATAATACAGTTAACATCCACTCTTTGAACAAGTGCTTATTTTGCAGAGAGTGATTGAGCGTATTGCTAGATGTACCCGTGCAGATGTCCTGTACTCCATGGAGCAGCTGAGTCGACCTCAACTTGGGACATGCCAGTCATTCAAGGTTCAAAGCTACACACTGAAGGTACCACTCTAATGTTCTTTACTAAAAACAAAACATGAGTATGAATTAAAGTGGCTCAAAATGGTTTTCAGGATTTATTGTGGATACTTTTGCTCTTTCATAATGGTATGAAACAAATGCCCAAATATTAGTACATATGTTATTGAATTTTTTTGGCATTACAAGTTACCATTGATAGAACCATAACCTGTCAAGGCACCTGTAACTTCATGCGGTTCTAAAGCAAAAGCAAGTCGATAACCCCCACTTTTATTTTGGAACTGAAATCGCATGCCATTTTTACTTTTCTATAAAGTGCAAAAATATCATTCCAAAGGGCAGAGAATCATTTAACTTTTTTTAGAATTTAGGTTTGAAAACTCCTTTACTCAGTGCTGCTGCTTGTAGCTTTATCAAATGGTTCCTAGTTTTCTTGGGACTTCATGCTAGATATTTCAACATGTCAACAGTGGTTTTGTTACCTCTGCATCCTGTGTCCCTGACGCATAAAAATCCCCAAAGACACAAAATAATTCATTGCATTTGCCATGTAGGACGCAAAGATCAATAGATTGGTCTGAAGATGTTTTTGTTGAATATCCTGTTTGTGTCATTTCTGTAGCCGTCCTTGGGGCTGTTGTTTAACAACACATATTTCTTTTTGTCTTTGTTGTGCTTTACTATAAAAGAAGTATACTTTTATTTCAGTAAACTTTAATACAGAGTTTTGGAGTCTGTCTTCAGATTAACTGTCTAGTTGCATAAAGGACCAAGCATTTTCAGTTTAGGATTCATTAGGGCCATTTATACGAGGAAAAATAAGACGCGTCTTCTGTAAGACGCGAACTGTACCATTTATACGAGTATGTCTTATCTAATAAGACGCGTCTTAGCTAAGCCGCGTCTTATTTTAGACGAATTCTGCCATTTATACAGAAAGTTCGCGTCTTATGTAAGACGCGTCTTATTTTTCCTCGTATAAATGGCCCTATTGTGTTTTTGAATTGCGACTCAGTGGGTCTGGACTGAGACTCATGATTTTTCACAAGTTAAGTCTCAGGACTCACCATAACTTTTTGTAACAAAATCACTGTGTCAATGTTTTATTTGTGTGTAGAATGGAGAGTCGAAGACCCTGATGTTTCTTGATGGTTGTCCAGCAGATCTCTCTTGCACTGTGAATCTGAGAGGTGGAAATAGTTTTGTGTTGTCTAAAGTGAAACGGATCTTCCAACATATGGTTTATGTTGCCTACAGTTTAAGACTTGAGCTTCATTTCCTCATGGATGAGTTTGGTTTACCCCCAGATGCAAAGACACTTATTGAGGAAAGAGAAATAGCAGCTCGCAATTTTGCAAAGAGAATTAAATTTAATGACTGGGACTCAAATGGGACAGAAGGAACTGCTGGAGAGAAGAACAAAACGGACATTTTACAACAAGATTCTAGTGAAGGATCAGAAGTGTTTCTTTCAGCATTAAAAAGCACTGTTTTATCAAGTTCTCCATTTCTTGACTATCCTCTTCCATATTTGCTCACCGAAGCAGGTAGAAACTTTGCTTTAAGATCCACACTGCCCCCAGATATTTACTGGTCAGCTCGTATGGATGTGGAACACAACTCAAGTCACTTAACAGAGGAGGATTTAGAAAAGTTTGAATTCTCAAATCCTAATCAGCGACGCCTAAGCAAACTTGTTTGTATGGTAGAGCCTCATCCAATAATTTCAGCTTCATTGACAATGGATCGAGGGGATCCTTTATTCCAAGCTCTACTTGCAGATTTTCGAGCTCAAGGAGGACAGATTCAACTAGAGAGAAACGGTGAGACAGTATCACGGGCTCGGTGTAGATGGCTTGATGGTGTAGTTAAGAAAGCAGAAAACCGGACCAAGAGAGACAGGAGGGATGCTCAAGAAAATTATCATGCTGAGAGAGATGTTGCAAAAATGACAAACAAAGCAGTGGAAGAAAAACAGAATCAGTCTGCAACAACCAGCCCGCTCCACCTAAACAGGAAGGTGGGTGTGGCTGTTTACTTTACGGCTGCTGCATACATGTATAACCCTTTGTTTATGACCAATAATATCGCGACTTTATTGATCAATCAGGTCAACTATCAGAGTTTAAGACCATCAACTGATGTGATACAACTCACTTTGACTTTGAAGATGACTGCCACACAGGTTGTCGAAATGTCAGTCACTTCCAACAACAGTCCTCTTCAGGACTACGTGCACGTGGATATCATGCTCCACCTGCTTACATAAATTATAGCAGGTTCACTTCAACCATGGTAACACCCTTAAACCTAATTCATGGAATTTAAAACTCTGTATGAGGACCTCTGCAAACAGATTTTTTAAAAAAATGATACCAAGACACTGAACTTGATCTATTCCTACATCTATTGTTTTTTTTCCTTTTCTCAGCCAGCACTAAAATTTCTTTGGTGGTAAATCACACTCATTGGCCTTATTAATTATTCATCAGTCCTTTGTTGATGTCAAATAAAAAAATGTTGTTGATCACCATTGACCATCATCTCTGGAACAGAAGACACTTATTCAGTGAATGTTTGTATGCTTGTTACCAGTACGTTTTGACGTATGTACTTAGGAGTCATGATCTACATTCTTAATGCTGTGTTTCATTGCAAATGGAAAAGTCAATTATTGATCCAAATTTGTTTTGCAGCAAGTGGACTGCCTGGATCCTTATGTTCACCAAAGAATTGCTGTTTTATTCATCAGTTACTCCAATGAGTCAAACAATTCACCACGCCCCTGTATAAGTCCATGGTGAGAAATTTACAGACTGACTCTCTGTATTCTGACTGTTTATATAGATTTTAAATTTACATGATACTGCCGTTGTTATTGGGGGTGGAATTAATTTATGCCTCATTCATACCAACTAAACAAGTTTACTTATACCAACACCGCGGCAAAACGCAATGCGCATGAGCACAAAATTTAATGTCCGGTCAACTTTTTATTTCCGGTCTAGTATATAAACCAATAGCGTAAGCATAACTTTGCCGTCGCGCCAAGTTTAAAAGCAAAAAGGGCGAAACAGACAAAAAAGGGGGCCAAAAAAATCACTTCATTCGAAAGCTTATATATTTTTCTATTCTCAAACTTTTGCACCACATGGTTATCTGTTTGCACCAACGGTGAAAATGATGTTTGAAGTTTGCAGGTCGCGAGCGCTCGACAAGACGAATTTGTTTTTACTGGCTTTCTTGCATGCTACTGGTTTGGCAAGTTAATTTGGGAGAAGGCGACAACTAAGAAAAGAATAACAATACTTTTGAAAGAAACCAAAATAAAGACGTCCTCATTATCATAAAAAACACTAAAACCAGGAAATAAAATTTTAGTCCGTTCAATAATTTGTTTTATTATCAGAGAAAACAAGAACTCAAAACAAAAGATGGGCGGATTTAATAACAACTTTGACTTTGATGACTGCAGTCACCGGGAAACTAAACATGCCTATAAATGACTTTCATTCAAGAAAATGCCTATTTAATTCTTTTTTACATGGTTGTTCTTTTGTTGAAGACTTCAAGACCTTCAATAATTTCAGACTGTGCGGCTCGGCTGCATCTCATGCAAACACGAAACTTCTAGCTGCTAAATACATGGCATGAAAAGTTCGACTTCTAAAAGCCACTGAACCAGCTTTCGCTCTCTGATTCTGAGAATGGAAAAATAAATAAATAGAGTTGTCAACTTGCTGTCAACCGGCTCAACAGTATAATTAAGCTTATGTTTCATGGCAATCAACCCAGAAGAGTTTCGTTTTAAAACACGGTAAAACCCACTGGTAAACAAAACTACAAAGCGATTGTGTGTTGTCGTTTTCCAAATAAAGTTTGAATCGGCTTTTAGACTGAGAAACTGAAGAACTAAAAATTAGAACTACAATACACAAGCTTGCAATGATAACGTTTTAATTTTATGTCTTAGTTTCAGCCAGGTTAAGGGAAAATAACAGTCAAAAACTTTATTTTCGTGAATGAAAATCAGTTTACCTGACGCTCTAGCCAAAATTACACACTGAGTTATTATCATCTTACCTTTTCTGAATCTAATCGACTGATTGTTTCAGTGATCTGTGCCTGGCTATCCATAAAAGCAATTTCAATGACTACAAAACAAAAACACGAGCAGCATAAAGCAGAACAACTGAACCACAAGCTGCACACAGAATGAAGCGCGCGGGAGACTTTGACTGGAAAGTGTGACTGAAAAAGAGACCGGAAATGCTCAATCTGGCGCATGCGTAGACGTTTTGCCGCGGTGTTACTTATACCAGTTTTAAAAAATAAAAAAATAGAGACTGAAAACTGGAACACAGGTTTTCACGCAGGATTCAAATGAAGTTCAACATGTTTTGTAATAATTCTGCACTAAATTTGCAATCAACTTAAGTCCGTAAGCAGCTTTTATGAAGGAAATAACTTTAAGCCTTGTTTAACTAAACAGCCTTCAAACACGTTTATGCTTTGGCGTGAATGGGGCTTAAGTCAGTTTTAAATAATATTGATCTGCTCACATGTGTTGCTAAGTTATATACATGTGCCTTTTTGTCTTTTATTTTTTCTCTCAATTCACTTGTAGTTTAATAAGTGAGTAGCTTTGCAGATAAGACTTAAAGAAATGCATGGCAGCTATTGTTAAGTTTTCATCTGTTTTACAGTTCGATTGAGTTTATCTCCAACAATTTATGTGTAAACAGCAAACTAGCTAGTTACATGTTAACATCTAAACGTTTTCATGATACAAAGCCATTTTAACTGTTGTTACTTTTTACAGGGCTGTCTTCATGGAGTTTTATGGACGAAATGATATCACTCTAGGTGGCTTTCTGGAGATATACTGCTTTAGGTAAAAATAATTATTGCTATTTATACTAATAAAATGTTTGAATTTAACCACTATTATACACCTAAGTGCAGTTTATTCCATGGTATACTGATGGACCCAGAAACCTATTTTTCAGGCCATCGTATATCTGTCCAAATCCAAACTGTGATATTCCCATGGTAGACCATGTGCGATACTTTGCGCACGGCACTGGCTCTGTGTACATTCACATGAGGAATCTGGAGTCTCCTATCCCAGGATTCCAACACACTATACTCACCTGGAGTTGGTGCAAGGAATGCAAACAGGTTTGTCAAGTTTAATTTGCTTTATTTGTTGTGGTCCTGTAGTGTAAAGTGTAACTTGCTCAACGTAAGCAGAACTGTCATGCCATTTAGTTTCAGGAGAGTGCTGTTCACCTTACCAAAAAAGCAGTTGTTTAGTTTCTCCATCACTCGATTAAATTCCATAATGGAATCAAAAGCTTGTGTATAATAAGTTTTCCTATCCTGGGAATTGAATCTTTGTTCACTCTTAATAGTTGCTTAGTTATTTTTTCTAATGAAATTGAGTTTCACTCAGCAATAGCATGACTTTTGAAACCAGGTCATGCTACTGCTTTATACATGTTGCGTGACAAGCTTTTAGTGGTACATGGCACTGAAACAAACTTGGTTTTAAACATTGTTTTACTTCATTTACTGTCATTTAGTTGAATTTATTAGTTCACCCACTTCATCATGGCAGTAATGCCGTGTTAAAAATGGGCCTAAGTCTTTAAGCTCTGACATTAGCACTTACTCTTATTCTGTCAAACTTCCTTGATACAAGCCTCAAGGGGACAAGGGGATTCAACCATAGGCAATTCATATTTTTTTAACCATTTATCCTAAAAAATGACATAATTTTTTTTCACTTTTTTTTAGGTTACTCCCATTGTTCCTCTCTCCCCAGAAGCATGGGCATTTTCCTTTGCTAAGTATCTGGAGTTAAGGTTCTATGCTGGCAGTTACAAGCGCAGAGCAAGTGTGGAGCCCTGTGGGCACTCACTACACAAAGATCATTACCAGTATTTTGCTTATGCCAATATGGTCGCTTCCTTCAAGTTAGTTGTGGTTTCTTGTTCTGCTTTTTTAGTTTTATTTCCGCCTCTATAGCTACCAACTCATTAATTTCCAATCACCTTTTTCTGCCACTGTAGTGTGGTTTTAAAACACCAGTTTTGTGGTGTGGCATCATTTGCCTGGTTATCATTAAAATGTTTGTGCCAGAGACGAAAAAGGATGTGACAGGCTTCAGGGTGCTTCAGAGGTGTGTTACCAACAAGGTTGATGAGAGGAGGAAAATGAATCTCCACATGGGATGCAACAGGGACAGAGTAGGGAACTGATGCAGGATCTTTACAGGAGGTGTTATAAGAGACAGTGGGAAAGAAGAAAGTCAGTTGACATAGGAGCATATCACTAGGGATATGTGTTTCCCAGGAGGGGGAACACATATCACTAGGGATATGTGTTTCCCAGGTGGGGGAACACATATCACTAGGGATATGTGTTTCCCAGGTGGGGGAACACATATCACTAGGGATATGTGTTTCCCAAGTGGGGGAACACATATCACTAGGGATATGTGTTTCCCAGGTGGGGGAACACATATCACTAGGGATATGTGTTTCCCAGGTGGGGGAACACATATCACTAGGGATATGTGTTTCCCAGGTGGGGGAACACATATCACTAGGGATATGTGTTTCCCAGGGGGGGAACACATATCACTAGGGATATGTGTTTCCCAGGTGGGGGAACACATATCACTAGGGATATGTGTTTCCCAGGTGGGGGAACACATATCACTAGGGATATGTGTTTCCCAGGTGGGTCCCAAAGGGATATTTGTTTCCCGGGTGGGACACATATCACTAGGGATATGTGTTTCCCAGGTATCACTAGGGATATGTGTTTCCCAGGTGGGTCAACACATATCACTAGGGATATGTGTTTCCCAGGTGGGGGAACACATATCACTAGGGATATGTGTTTCCCAGTTTGGGGAACACATATCACTAGGGATATGTGTTTCCCAGGTGGGGGAACACATACCACTAGAGAAACGTGTTTCCCAGGTGGGGGAACACTTATCAGGAGGGATATGTGTTTCCCAGGTAAGAGAACACGTATTACTAGGGATGTGTTTTTTCCAGGTGAGAGAACACATATCACTAGAGATATGTGTTTCCCTGTTGGGGGAACACGTATTACTAGGGATACGTGTTTCCCAGGTAGGGGAACACATATCACTAGGGATATGTGTTTCCCAGGTAGGGGAACACACATCCCTAGGGATATGTGTTTCCCTGTTGGGGGAACACATATCACTAGGGATATGTGTTTCCCAGGTTGGGGAAACACATACCACTAGCGATATGTGTTTCCCCCGAAAGGGGAACACATATCACTAGAGATACGTGTTTCCCAGGTGGGGGAACACTTATCGGTAGGGATATGTGTTTCCCAGGTAAGAGAACACGTATTACTAGGGATGTGTTTTTTCCAGGTGAGAGAACACATATCACTAGAGATATGTGTTTCCCTGTTGGGGGAACACATATCACTAGGGATACGTGTTTCCCAGGTAGTTGAACACATATCACTAGGGATATGTGTTTCCCAGGTAGGGATATCACTAGGGATATGTGTTTCCCTGTTGGGTGAACACATATCACTAGGGATACGTGTTTCCCAGGTAGGGGAACACATATCACTAGGGATATTTGTTTCTTAGGTAGGGGAACACATATCACTAGGGATATTTGTTTCCCAGGTGGGGAAACACATATCACTAGGGATATCTGTTTCGCAAGTAGGGGAACACATATCATTAGGGATATGTGTTTCCCAGGTGGAGGAGTGCATATCACTAGAGATACGTGTTTCCCAGGTGGGGGAACACTTATCACTAGGGATATGTGTTTCTCAGGTAGGGGTAACAGATATCACTAGGGATATGTGTTTTCCAGGTAGGATAACACATATCACGAGGGATATGTGTTTTCCAGGTGGGGGAACACATATCACTAGGGATATGTGTTTCCCAGGTAGGGGAACACATATCACTAGGGATATGTGTTTCCCCTGTGGGGAACACTTATTATTAGGGATATGTGTTTGCCAGGTGGGGGAACACATATTACCAGGGATATGTGTTTCCCAAGTGAGAGAACACATATGACTAGGGATACGTGTTTCCCAGGTGGGGGAACACATATTATTGGATACATGTGTTTCCCAGGTGGGAATTAAATAATTAAAGTAGCCGGTGATACCGCTGGTTGCTGGCGCATTTTGACAAGCCTGGAGGGGGAGAATATCAACCCTGAGAAACGGAATAACATCCCTGAAAATGGAAGGTACCGCTTCCCTAAAGTCAACTTTAACACTTCTTGTTTAGTGCAAAATTGTGACCTATGGGAGGGGTAGGTGGTCAATTACCGGTACCCAGAAATCTTAAGTGATGTGATAAATAATGAGGTGACCTAGGGAGAGAATAGCAACCTTGAAAATAGGAGGTGCAGTAGGAGTAAGAGTGAGGAAATGGCAGAGGTTTGGTTCAGCTGAAAAAGATACAATTTTGGGGGAAAAAAGTTGAGTAAAATGCAGTATTTTGAGACCTGTTGTCTTAAACTTTTAGATAAAAAATATCCCCTTATAAAAGATCTGTAGTCTTAGATAATAATAAATTTGTCTTATTTAATGGTTTCAGGTACCGACCTATCAAACTGTTTGAAATAGCCATCCCTCCTCCCATGATCTCTGTCAAAGATATGACAAGAGATGCCAGCTTTTGGATAAATGATTTGAGGGCCATGGCAACAAGGTAAAACATTCATTTTTAGACTCAATAGTAGGCTGTGAGCAAGGAGAGCTTGGAACTGCATCTCTGGAATTTGAATATCTGCACTGAAAAAGTCAATGCGAAATCTTGATTGGTGGAGATGACATTATCAATGATCTTTCACATCTTTCAGTGTTTGTTTACATTTGCACTCATTTCCACTTCACGCTGACGAGCGGAAATCTGACAGCTCAGTTGACCGGGAGCCACAGGGGAGTTACAGGTGGAATTCAAATTCCAGAGACATGGTTGCAAGCTCTCCTTCCTTTCCAGAGTGGCCTGGAGAGCTTGCTTACAGGCTAACTGAATAGTGTTTTATTTGACCAAAGCATTACCTTATACAATTGAGCTGTACAAAAATTTAGACAGACAACTTTGTTTGTCTTTTGTCAGTAAAATGTTATGTTTGTCTGACTTTTGTCATTTAATGGCAAAAATGGCAAAAATCAGACAAACATAGCTATCAGTCACTTTGATGTCATTTGGGTGCTGTGCTATTAGAGTGTAAAGTGATGGTGAATTCTTGATTTTTTTTTTGTCAGAGGAGAAACAGTGTTTGCTGCATTTTATGACCGCCTGGAGTCCTTGAAGGATTTTTCCATCCAACCTGATCACCAAGCAAGAATGAAGCAGTTTTATGTGGCCCTGAGAGTAAGAACTTATTATTCAGATATTTTGTTCTTTGGTGTTGTTAGTATCATTGATAGAAACATCAACATAATTATGACGTAGCCTGCATAACAAGTATTAAAAAGGGGAAGGGGGTGTCTACTTATGGCAGGTATGAAAAGTGGAGATCTAGTGACAGTGACGAGACAGATTGTCAATTTTAACAGGGCTCTGCTTTAAGGAAATCTTGTGTGGAAAATAAAAAAATGACAGTCAGTTATATGAGCTCACTGCATGTTTTCTGTTTAACATTTTGTTAAATCGCAAACGTTTTCAGAATCTTTATTGTTTTCTCTTCTTTCCTCGGAAGCTGATAATCTTTGTTGTAATAAAATTCCTCTTTGTTCTTATTCAACAATTTTAGGACGAACATTCTCGGTTTTTAGAACAGTGTGAAATTGTGGAAAAGAAAGCAAACAGTCTGCAAACTCCTCAAAACCCCTTGGCCATGGAGACTGGGAACTCTTGTGAGCCCTTAGGTCCTGATGATAGACAGGCGTTGGAATACGTGATCGCAAACAGCTTGAACAGTCTTAAGAAAACTCTCTGCGAAGTTGTTGAGGGCTGGAATAACAGGTGATATAGATATCTCTCAAATATGAAAAGCAACTGATGTACAGTTGAAGCTCTATGAAGTGGCAACCCTTCGGGAAAGGACAAGTGGCAACTCGATATAAGTTGGCCATTCAACAATAGCGTTTCTTTTCTGTTTACAAAGTGATTAACTGGCTGGTAACAGATGACGACTGTTTCATAGAAAGCCACTTAATGGAGATTCAACTGCATGCTCTCAGCTTGTTGTATTTGAATGGTACATGTAAAAAGGCTCACCTGGTAGTCATTCTTTATGTAATATATCAAGCATGAAATGCAGTGTTTCATCACCAGGTGAAACCCCAAGTTGAGAGTTGAAAATACAACGCGCAGTGGAGTATTTTTGACGACGTTTGAGTTGTTTCATCTTGTGATGAAACACCGTTTCGAATGCATGATATTACTTCTCACACAAAACGATTTAAGAAGGAGAAATTAGGGATGCAAAAATGAGCAGTTTTGCATCTTATTTCCAAACACTCATTTAACATTAATTTCCTTTGTATTTTCTTTATGAATGATTAATTAGTTTGAGAAGACAATATACTTAACTTTTTTCTAACTCCCTGTACTCTAACTTGATAACTGCCATTTTATATTTTTCTCTGTATATGAAAACCTCTGAATTATTTGTAAAAGCCTACAGGAATATGTCCAAGCAGAAAAGAAGAAAAACAGCAAAGCTTCTTCTACCAAAGAAGGAAAGTTACTCTCTTCTTCTTCACTGCAACTTGAGGGAAAATCCACGGAGTCTCTTAATGTATGTGGATTTTTTGCTTTATAGAATTAAATAAATAATTTTGTTTGGAGTTAATTTAATGGTGAAGAATGATTTTCTCTGTTTGAAATGGTTTTTACAACTTCTTTTTAAAGCTTTAACATGCATATTCCCTGCCCTGTCTTCCAAGCAGGTGATGAGTAGAATTGATATCAGTAGTAATCAACTCATCTTTTCTTTTGTTCTCACGTCCTTTTTTCTTGTCACAACTAAGTTAAAAATTGTTTTTTTAATACCAAAATGTAGACTTTTGTTACCCTTTTGGAAGGCGTACCGGAAGATGGCTTGGTTCTTTTAGATAAAGGAGAGGAAAGAAAAATGGCGAGGAAAAAAAAGCGAGCAATGTTCTTTCCCTCCATTTTTCATATCGCTCCCATTTTGTGGCTGTAATGTTTAGATTAATTTTCTCTTTTCGTTTTTGTTTTCAGCAGCAACTGAATAAATCCACAGACATGGTATTAGGGGCGGGTATGAATTCTACAGAAAATCGGAGCCCGTCACTTACTCCCTGGGGATCAAGGTCAGCATCTCCTTACCCCACCCCTGACACAAATGAACCTGCAGGTGAAGCATTTAGCAGTTCAGACATGGAAGTACTTCAAGTTACAAGCAGTTTTCGACCCATTACACATGTAGGGATGAATGTGGCGACACCCTCAGACTCCCCCACACAAGGAATTCTGCCTGTGGGAGGAGTGGTCAGTGGCCATTCCTTGCCAGGTCTTAAAAGTGACCATTTTGCAAGGGTGAAACTTCAGAAGAATGTTGGTGGCTCTTGTAAAGCCTTTGTTGTCTCTGGGCCTTGCGGTGAAGAAGTGCCATTTGTGACTGAAAAAGATAAAGAATGTTCTGGGGTTACAGTGGATGGTGAAAAGGAGCCTTATGGGGCTGGGGTGGATATTGCAGTGGTGTCTGCTGGTGCTAAGGAAGGTGATGCAAAGGGACCTCCTGAGGTAAAGATGGATGGCTCAAAGGATCTTGCTTCCTTCCATTTGGATTGTGCAAATGAACCTCCTGGGGTAAAGATGGATAGTGAGAAGGATCCCCCTGGGGTAAAGATGGATGATAAAAAGGAACCCCCTGAGGTAAGGTTGGATGGTGCAGAGGAAACCACTGATCAGGACATTGTGAAGAAGAAGGAGGAGGAGAGGTCTTCTTGGTACGTCATTGAAGGAGAAAATCAAGATTCTAGTATTTTGGACGATGTCAGAGACACAAAAGGCCAGCAGAGTGTAAGTCAGGATCATTTCTGCCCCTCGGCGGAAACAAAATTAAAAGAAGCAGCTGTAAAATCCCAGGAGGATGCTCCCACTGTGGTAAAAGCGAATGCCTTTTCACTTGGACATCGAAGGGTTGGTTCATCCCCTTCAATGATTGCAGTGTCACCAGCTGAGAGCAATCTGTTGGTTGTGGTCAGTGATGTGAGTGGTGGGGCCCACCTGCAACGAAGTAGAAGTGACCCTGAGTTAAGTGCTCATGTAAAGCAACGTGAGACGCAGGTTTGTAAAAAATAACTTCTTAATAACATACAGGTAGAATGATTTAGAAGATAAAGACAAAGTAGTTGGCAATAAAAAAGTACCTCAACAGACCAAAAGAATGAGTGTGGATAACTATTAGCGTTTGATACCTTTAACTAATTGACAGCTATAACTGCTTAATACAGGTTATCCAAAACCTAAGGACTAAGCTATAACCACATCACAAACTAGGAAAAACGAGTTCTTAAAGCAAACTGCCCTGATTGTTATCGAAACTTTTTCTACAAATTTTCTATTGGCAACTTGCCTTCCAGACTTGCCGTTTCGTTATTGATAACGTTTTTTACTCAACAGTAGTTATTAGTGACAAACTGTTTCATCTATTAAGGCCCTGGTATTGTATGAGATCTAGTCTTTTCAGGGATTAGGGATTGCAGCACAGTTGCTTAACTTACGCAGATTATCACATCTCATTCGTCTAAAATTTATGCTGGTATGTGTTGCCAGATGTTAATGGAAACCACCTCTGAAAGTGTCGGTGAGGGCAGCGTTGATTTAAGTAGCCAAAAAGAAACTGTAGCTGATGCTGATGAACTGGATGGCGGCTCAAACGAAGAACCTGAGCTCAGGAAAGCGAAGACGCTGCCATCGTTATTTTCCAAGAGTGAGTCAGTGATTGTTTGATATTACACTAGTTGAAAGAATTTTTAGTTCAGAAAAGTAACGATGGGTGGGAAATCTGTGAAGGTAAAGTTCTACATGCAGTGGTTGGTGCATTGCACTTGAGAACTGAGGTTTAGCGGTTTAAGGGTTGGGCATGCCACCAGGGTATTTTGGGGAGTTTTAGGAACCAGTATAGCGGTGTCGGCGAGAACGCCAGAAAAAAGTAGGAGTGATAAGCAAATCAATTCCTCTGCTTGTGGGTTTTACCATTTTCTACACATCTTTGGCGTCCTCTTCAATTACCCTTAAGGTACCAGCTCCAGTAAACGACACTTTTTGTGTTTCTGCTTATGGGATTGTCGCCACTAACTTGATTTAGTGATGTTTGTTCATTTTCTTTTTTTGTACTACCTATTACATTAATGGCAGATGATGTTTTACCATGGCGCCATCCTCATACATTAATATTTTACTTCATCAGTCAATTTATTTCTTCGTCTTACCTTTTTAACTCTTGATAAAGAAGCGCTGTTTTTATTTGATTTTTGCGTCTTTAATACTCCTTTGTTACTTTACCAAATTTATCATTGACGGTGCTAATATCTTAATCTTTGTATGCTCGCACTCTTTAATGATGTAGTATGTATCTAGGTCATTAGGTTAACAATTAATCGAGTTTACTCTCTGGCGACTTGGGCAAGGACTGGATAACAATGGTTAATGATTAGTTGATTAACATATATACAGCGATATTACACAGCGCATGAATGGAAACATTGCTAAATATAAATCTAACGAGCTGATGGAATAACAGCAAACAGCCAGTGAATTAATGATGAAGGAAAGTGATTAATATGATAACTATCCTTTCCAATTTATCTTTTTCATCTGACGTCTTCGTTCGTGCTCCATTTGTTGAATTTGTGGACTCAATTCACCAATTTGTTTTTATCAACTTTTGCATTTAAGGAGCGGTTTTGTTTCGCACCCGGTCTGTAGGGCCTCCACAGAAGACAAGTTCCGAAAAGAAGGGTACGGCTGGGGCAAATTTATTGAACTCCGGTCTCCATTTGGATTTTTGTTCATTTATTTATTTACCAGCTTTTCTGGACACAGGCCTGCCCAGAGGGAATGTGCACGAACGGAACTCGTAGGTCTCATGCAAGGTGCCATATCCCTGCCCAATCTCACAACCCGTAAAGGTTGGCCACACCGCCAGGGTCTACGACCCCTACTCTTTTCGAATAGTGATGTAGGTTCTTTTACCTCCCACTTACCTATGGTTTTTCGTCCTTATCCGAGAAGACTAGAAAGTCTAACCATTTGCAGATGTCATTACAAAGGCAGCACTTTCTTCTCAGTTATTTAAAGACCCTGAGTGTTGGTCCGGCCGGGGTTTGAACCCGCGACGTCCCGCTCGGCAGACCGGCGCTCTCCCAACTGAGCTAACCAGGCGGCGGTCAAAAGATGATGCTCGACACACTCTCGTTAGATATATGATAAAAGTCAAATTTATTCACAAGTCTGCTCTTTGATGCTTTCTTCAGTAGTTTTGATTTTCAGTGCCCCTTGACGTTTGTCATGGGTTTTCAACATTGTTTTTCATATTAACCTGTTTTTGATCTGAAAAAAACCTTGTCTCTTGCTTGTGAATGTAAATTGTAAGTAGGTAACAAAACGTGATTTCTGGAATCTTAGGATTTTTTAATGAGCATATATATTGTTTAAATACTTACGTTCTTAGGACTTCGTCACGCTTTCCTTCCCGAGGATTGCGTGATGAGCCAAAAGAACGTTTTCGTGGGAGGCTATTTAAGTACTTGTGTCGATAGAATCTGCGTATGTGTTGTACTTTTCCCAGCACATCAGTTATTATGAAGGTATTAATACTCATCTCGTGCTCATATGCATCTAACTAGGGTGTAAGAATCGTTTGTAAGGTATTAGCATGTTGTACTTACAAAAATAGCTCCGTCATTTCAGCTTTTAATTTTTGTGTTTATTTATTCATTTATTTTTTTCTTTTTAGCTGTCTCTCGTTCCCAGTCCTGGGCAGTGAATCAGTGGCAAACAACAGTGAAAAAAGGTAAAAACGAGTAAGATCAACAAACTGTGTATTTAATTAGAAATTTTGAGAAATTCAACTTCTTTTTATCCTGTTGTTTATCTGTTTACTTTTAAATTTCCACAGTTCTCACAGATGCGGACTCAGATGTGTTTGCAGATGGTAAACTAATTTTAAAAAGTTTTGAAACCGTCACTTGTCAAATGCGAGGCTTAGCCTTGAAAAACCTTGACAAAACGTTGACGACAGATTTTGGACATACATTATATTGCTCATCAATAGTCATTAACAGCTTTACAGCTCAAATATTTATGTGTCGTTTGAGAGCATTATATTTTATAACAGCAGACAGATTGTGAAGTTCAAATTTTGGTTAATTCGTATTAAACATCGTAAGCATAAACATGAGCTCACGTGGAAAGGACAGCTTTAGGTTAAATCTCTTCACGATGGTAAAGTTACATTATCAACTGGATTGATAAAACTAAACTTTTTTGTTCCGCTACGTGTAAACCAGCCCCTTTATCCGGGAAAGCTGAGAACTGAGTTGCTTGTTTCATGTGATGTTGAATATAAACTCGACCATTCACCATGTTTTTAAATTTGTTTTTAAAGGTTCAACCAATGTAAGCAAACGTGCTAAACTGAAGAGAATGGTGCCTTCATTTATGTCCTCTCCTGCTTTCCAACCAGTTGCTTCAACATTGTGAGTAGACGACGCCATAACTGATTCGTACTCAGGCCCCACAGTAACAACAAAAAAATAGAAAAAGCAGAGGAATGGACAGTGCATCCTTCCCAGCAAACCACGCGCGGAGCGTACAGCTATTTCGAAAAAGGTTGTCAGACAAAATGGGCACTCGACAATCCCGAAAGGCAATATGTGATATGATCAATACATGGTTCCTGACACTGCAGCTGTGGAACCTTTATTTATTGCTTTCCTTTAGCACTCGCAGACGTACGTCCATGGCCTCTGGTGCCATTCTTTCAAATTTCGTTGAAGCACAGTGAACTCAAAACCACCTACAATACCTTTCGGGATTGTCGCAGGCACTTTTTCAGAGAACCGTTCTCGAAAAAGCTTTATGCAAATCAAATACCCGGCTGGTTATTTCACTAGAATACCCTCATTCGCTTACTGCTACATTTTGTTTTCCATAGTTATTCCAATTACTAAAACACCATTATGTTTTTTTTTCAGTCCAAGCCATGAACACCACCTCCTCCCCCCTGGGGAGAAAGTTCTGGTAGTGGTAAGCGAAAAGGAGACCAGTTCTATAATTGCTTACACACTAAGGTGAGTAGTTAACACAGGGGCGGTACTGAAAAAACATTCGCTACTTAAGAAACGAGAAGGGGACTGGAACCGAAATGTGCCCCGCAATTGTTTCTGGGATCGTTACTGGGGACGTGCTGGTCAGCTATTGGCGAATTTTTATTTCCTGTCCCGCAAGTAACAGTCCCAGAAGTCAGTGCAAAAGTTACCTAGGCCCAGTTTCTTTTTCGGTTCTTTATTGGCGAATTATACCCGGATGTAATGTTTCTTTCTGAATTAATTGACCCTGGGCCAAGTTGGAGCAGTTTAATATTGACGTTTTGTGAAGTTGCATCAGAAGAGAGAGAATATCTGCCTACAAGATTAAATGTCTGTTACATTTTGCCTTTGGCAGCACTACAGAATATAACGAACGACTCCACCAGATTCAACGGACTCTGTCAGACATCAAGAATGAAGCGACTCGAGAACTGCAGATGACTAAAAAGTAAGTATGGTTTTTTGGGGGGGGGGGGGGGAAGGGTGTAGTATAATACAACGTTGCCACTCCCAAGGGTTCAGGGGTCACAGTGCGAATCCTGGCGATGACACCAGCAGCAGTAAGGTTAAAGGCGTCCATATTCGGCTTGATTATGAAGGAAAATATTTTTTTAAGTATCCAATAGTTGAATTTGCCGTAAGATATGGTTTAAAGATTATTAAAGCCGTAAAAGAACTGAACCAAGTCTAAGTAAGATTTTTTCGTATGTTTTAAACTTTTTTTTTTTTAAGTTAAAGTGTCTGTTGATCTTTCAAACATAAGAAGGTCCGTCACAGTTCCGTATCCGAAATTTTTCAAGTTTGTTATTTGTAATCAAATGTATTATCCTCTAACCAAAACCTTTCATAATCTTTTGTAGTTGATTATTACGCCAGACTTCAACACCCCGCATTTTAAGTCCGTGCTGCTCGCGCACCCTTGAGAAAGCCAGTGTAGGCCTAACTTTCCTTTTCAAGAGCGTTTTGTTGTAGCTAACCAAATGGCCTTATTCTCTTCTCAGTGAATTTGGTAAATCCGTGGAGGTTTCTGTGAATGGACGAACACAACCGGACGCTCCTTCTGACAAATTTGTCCGAGTTAACTCCAATCCCGAGTCAGGTGAAGGTAAAAGCAGTTGATTAAACAAGAATAAACAGGTTAAACCGGTTAGACATAAAGGAACCGGCTAGACCGGTTACACAGAAAGTAGCAGGCTAAGTAGGGTAAACAACGGGGAGCTAGGTAGAAGTATAGCAGCTGGTTAAACCAGAACAAACAGTCTAAACCGGTTAGACATAAAGGAACAGGCTAAACAGGTTACAAAGGACGTGGCGGGCTAAGTTGGGTAAACAACAAGGAACTTGGATTTTTCCAAATAAAGGAACCTTAAGTTGCTGCCCGACTGTCTTGTGTGTAAAATTTGATTTCATAAACAAACTCTCTTTTTCTGCAATTAAACTTTCAGATTATGTACATCTTGATATAGTCGATCCCGAGACAGCTCACGAGGCGGGAAACGATGGCGAAACCATAAATGTGAAGTCATCCGATAATCTCGAGTTCATGAACAACAGCGTAGAGATTAAATTAGAACCTGATCATTACAGCAAAGTGGATAGAGTTAGATTCTCTAAAGTTAAACATGCTGCAGGTAAAGATGATACGAAGAAGACAGAAAATAGCTTAACTCAAGAAAGTCAACTCCAGGATGACATCGGTGAGTGATATCTTTATTATTCTTGCGATCGTTAACTCTAGAACTTACCCAGGTACGGAGTGCAAATTGCTATGATACTGTTTACTGTACCTTACCTATTATATCAAGGTATCCGAACACCGAGATTTCAAATAATATTTCAAACACGAAAAGGAGTGTTTGATCTGATATCCAAACTCCGAGAAGTAATATATCAAACATGAGATGCAGTGTTTCATCACCAGATGAAACACCGAGAAGAGAGTTGAAAATAGGACGCGCAGCGGAGTATTTTTGACGAACTTCGAGGTGTTTCATCTGGTGATGAAACACTGTGTCGAATGTTTGATATTTCTTCTCAAACAAAATCATTTTTGAAGGAGAAATTAAGGATGCAAATACTAAGCAGTGTTTCATCCGATTTCCAAACACTCATTAAACATTAATTTCCTTTGTATTTTCTTAATGAATTATTAATGAGATTGAGAAGTAACATATCAAACACTAGAAGGAGTGTTTCAATCGATATCAAAACACCAAGAGCCATTATGGCTCTTGAAAGGACTGATATGCAACGTATCAACACGAGAAAAGTTGTTTAATCCGATATCCAACATTATAAGAAGTGGGTATTTTAATTTACCCTAAAGTGAATGATGGTTAATCAGGATTAGGGCTGCTGTTGGGGGTGGATACGGTATTTTATTAATTAAATCACCTGGCTTCTGTACAACACAACCTGTTGCCCCTCTGCTTCACCTCTCGAGGCAAATAAGGCCTTCTGTACAATACAACATGGTTAACCTCTTGATATTTTATCATGTAGATCTTGTGCAGTTTGGTTTTCAAAGAAAAGATGCCACCAAGACGCCAATTGAATTTCACTTCAAACATCGTAAGAATGGCAGTTTAAACTTTTTGCGTCTCTTTTCTCGTTAACCTTATAATTTCTTGTTTTAGGGTTTTTCCTGATTCAAGTGTTATTTGATAGGTGATTGTTTCTCTTACATTCCATTTGCCCTGGATTTCCTGGGGAGGAAAGACTATACGATGATTTGAACAAAGAGCATTCCCTACAATCTGTTATATCCTCTACCGTATGAAATACATATTTCTACTTGATTGCATGCGGAACCGTTCTTGCACTCACCCAGACACATTATGCCACAGAATCCCAAACCCATTCTCCTCTGATTCTTGTTTTTATTTGTGTGTTTTTGTTTTCCTTTAGAGTTTGCAGATAGCACCTGCCGTTTCTTCTGCAGTATTTACTTTGCTGAGCAATTTAGGCTGCTAAGGAAAAGAATCTTCGCTGACGGAGAGGAGAAGTATGATCTACATTTCGTGATATATTACATGAGCAGGTCGTATGGAGCTAGAAAACTGCTGTACTCGCTTTCCAAGGCCGGGAGGGGGGTGGGGCAGGGGGTATACTCCGGAAGATTTTTAGTAGGGGTGTGTTATGCCGTCACGCAGTTTGAGTGGGCCTACAGCAGTGCACCCGTGCGCGTTTTGTTTCGCTGCACGGTATTTTTCCCTATCGAGTATTCAAAACCTGATCAATACGTACGGTGAGCAACAACAATTCGCCAATTTACAAACGAGAAGGGGACGGAAACCTAAATGTGTCCCGCAATTGTTTCTGGAATCGCGAGTTAATTGACCAATCAGGTCAATAACCAGAGTTTAATACCATCAACTGATGTGATACAACTCACTATGACTCTGAAGACGACTACCGCAGAGGTTGTCGAAACGTCAGTCAACTCCTCGGTTCAAACCTTTCACAGTACCAGAAGTCTTTATGAAAGTTAGTTCGGCCCAGTTTCCGTCCGTCTCTCTAAGACGGACCCCTTTGGAACTGGCACTCAGTGTCCATCATAGAGAGATGATAGAGAGTCAAATAAAGGGACTAGGAAAAGCAGGGGCCAACTTTAGGTATCCGCTTTACAGAGGTGTCCGTCTTATAGAGGTGTCGGTGAAGAGAGGGTCAATTGTATACCCAAACTTTTGTGATGTTTCAGATACATTCGCTCGCTTCAACACTCAGTAGCGTGGGGGGCTCGTGGAGGAAAGTCAGGATCTGCTTTCTTCAAATCATTTGGTGAGTACGGTTTGAAGTCTCCATTAAGCAATTCTACAGTGTTATGCGGTCAAAGTAATCGATGGTGTAACAGCTCCTTCTACGAACAATTAAGACGCTGGGAGCACGTACCCTTGTCAAACTTTTTTTGTGTATAACTGAGGTTGCAAGTTGCATAATCAAAACGAGAGCCATGACAGCAAAGTAAACTAACACCATATCTCATTGAAACTTTTATGATGTGGTTTTGCACTGAATGTTCAGGTTGCCAAGACCTGTTGTCTTTGTAAACTGTTTTTTCATCGTCTGTGTTTACTGTAATTCATTTACAGATGACCGTTTTGTTATGAAGCAGATGTCGAAACAGGAGTTACAGTGTTTTCTGGAGTTTGCTCCTCATTACTTCCGCTATGTCAATAAAGCGCTTGATGAGCAGGTGTGTGATCACGTGACCGGATGTCCTTACAAATGCCAAGCCCATACCTGAAATACCTACCCACTCACACCCCAACCCATTCGTTTTAATTTGCAACCTTTTGCTCCGAAAGTCTCTCTTCGTAGGAAGGAAAAATCTTCAAGTCTCCTGTCAAATTTTTTAGAGGTCATGGGGATTTTTCTGGAAAAGCGACATGGCCTCATGCCCAATCTAATGGAAATGTTGCTCAAAAACCTTTTTGCAAACATTTGAACTTTACCATTTAACTTTTTCACAAGAACTAGAAGGGAAGGAATGAATAGGATCAAATATGAGGGATCCCAGCACCAAAGACGGGATGTGTATAGTGGGGGATCCAGGGGAGGGGCCTGGGGGCTGCCCCCCCCTTATTTTTTGACCACACTAAGGCCCGAAGGGTGGAAAAAGTTTTTTTTTTTGAGACCGGGTCCCCCCTCTTTATCTCAGGGTCTGGATGACCGGGCTACCCCGTTATCTGAAGGTGTGGATCGTCCACTGGTGTAGGGGTTATCAAACCGTTGTCCCAAAGAAGTTCCTGAGACGTCTTAGTACCAAAGTCGGTGATGTTCAGGGTTTTTAAAAACAAACCATTGTCCCCGGCGTAGAGGGCTTCCAAAACGATTACTGTACTTTCTTACCTTCTGTTATAATGTTCTGATTTGCCGTCTTTTTATTGTTTTGTCACTAGCGACCGACATTGTTAGCAAAGATCTTGGGTATTTACAGAATCGGTTTCAAGAACCCACAGTCGAGCCTGAGACAAGATGTGCTTGTCATGGAAAACTTGTTTTATGATCGCAAAATTGACAAGGTAAAATCTTGGGTACCCTTTGCAGGACAAAAGAAGCTATGTATGGATGCAGAAACTCATAAGGGGTTGAAAACCCCTTATGAGTTTCTGATGGATGTTAATGGGCGGTCGGCTTAGAGCTCTTAGTATAATAATTGTTAACTTAACTGTCTTTGCCTTAACTGTCTTTTGTTGTTTGCATAGAAGATCGTTTGACCCCTCTCCCTGACTTTCGATGTTACAAAAATTTAATCAGGGGAAACTACTCTATTCCTGAGGTAGTTCGGTTTGGGTAGGCTTTAAATCGGCCACATTTACATCGGTTGATACACTATATATTACTTCATCGCTCCCAAATTGGCTTTGTGCCCGGACATCGTGCGTCCGAACATATCTTTAGTTTAAGAACATTAATAGACCAACATGTTACCCACTCCCCCAGAGGTAAACTTTATACTTGTTTTGTTGATTTTAAAAAGGCATTTGACTCAATTTGGCACCAAGGTTTACTATACAAACTGTTGAAATATAACATAGGTGGCTCCTTTTACAAAATAATTTCCAGCATGTATTCAAATTCAATATGTTGTGTGAAAGACAATTATACTCGATCAGAATTTTTCAACTATGATAAAGGTGTACGACAAGGCTGTATTCTGTCGCCGCTTCTATTTAACCTTTATCTAAACGAACTACCCCTCATTCTAAATAACAATGCTAAAGATTCTATCTTACTACCAGATGGTTCTCACTTCAACTGTCTACTTTATGCCGATGACTTACTTCTAATATATACCTCGGCAGAAGGTTTGCAACAAAGTCTTGACAGACTATCAAAATATTGTCAGGATTGGCTTCTTAAGATTAATCCAACTAAAACCAAAGTTATTGTATTTCAAAAGAAAAGTAGAAAATCAGCAATAGATAAACACAATTTTATGGTTAACAATGAAAACATTGAAATCGTCAATAACTATACCTATCTTGGAGTGAAATTTTCAGCCAATGGAAATTTTACAAATCACAAGGAAAACTTAACAGAAAAAACAAAGAGATCCTTTTTTGCCGCTCGTCGTTATCTAGATTTTCTAAAATTACCAATTCACATCATCAACAAACTGTTCAATACACTATTTTTCCCAATTTTAACGTATTGCTCTGAAGTTTGGGGAATCTATGATAAAAGTGATCATAGCCGCTGGGATAAAGACTTGATTGAGAAAACGCATATACATTTTTGTAAGATGTGTTTAGGTTTAAACAAACGTTCACCGAATGTTGCATCGAGAAATGAGCTTGGTAGATTATCTCTAAATTTACAAATAACAATGAACATTTTCAAATTTTGGATTCACCTTGAAAATCAACCCCCTGACAGCATCGCTAAACTCTGCTTAAACATATCGGATAAAATGGCCGAAGAAAATAAATCAGGTCTAATAAATGAAATAAATCTTTTGAGTACACAACTTAATATTCACAAACAGTCAGTTAACTTTAAAAACCCTTCTACTTTCCTATCCAAAGCTGAGAATACTTTGTCAAAACATCTGAAAAACCACCAGCTAAATTTGATCAGAACAAATAAAAAACTAAAATTCTACTCCATCTTTAAAAATGAAACAAATCACTCTGAATTCATCAATCATATCCGAAATCCTGAACATAGGCGTGTAGCTTCCAAATTTAGGATAGGAAATCATAATTTAAAAATAGAAACTGGAAGATTTACAATCCCCAAAACTCCTGAAGACCTTAGAATCTGTGATCATTGCAGCCAAAATTCGGTTGAAAATGAACTGCACATATTATTTCACTGTGATCAATACAATGATTTGAGAAAGACTCTTTTTATTAAAATCAACGACCGAAATACATTATTTACACACTACAATATCCATGATAAAGTCTGTTTTCTTTTTAACAATACTGATTCACATATCAGCAGGCTAGCTGCTAATTTCATCTTTCAAGCATTTGAAAGACGAAAGAAACATAGTTAACTCTACTATTCCATCATACCTGTATTTCCTTAAACTTAGCTGTTTATTATTGTTATTTTAATCGGTAACACCTGTACAAAATGGTAATACTGAATAAACTTGTTGTTGTTGTTGTTATATTTCCTCATTTTCTTCTAACTTTTGTGCTTTCTTTTCAGACTTTTGATTTAAAAGGATCCATGCGTAGCCGTTACGTTCAGACTTCAGAGATGAAAAATGATGTTCTTCTAGACGAAAACCTGCTTGAAAGTAAGTAACGCAATATCTAGCCTCTTACGCAGACTTTCTTAAATCTTCGTCACGCGTTCTTCCCCCACGTGTTTCTGGGAAGGAATGCGTGACAAAGCACGAAAAACGCCTGCGCAGAAGGCTTCGCTGTCTCAGATCGGGTGGCTGGTCTGAACACCTGTCATTCTGAAGACCTTTAAATTCAGGGGCACTCTCCGTTCAACAAAAATTCCGCTTATGAAAATTCGTTAATTTGACGAGCCCGATGGAACGGTACATTCCGTTGCACAGACCCGACCCAAGCCACCCGCGCGTTTGGTTATTGTAATTGTCAGCAGGACTCAGAGGAGCGGTACTGTGGACAACAATTTTGTCAAATGGAAAGGGACATTTCGGTACGATCGACAGAAATGACCTGGCCTGTCTCAATGGAGACCACCTTCAAAGGTGGTCCCAAATATTGCGGTTGGACCGAACCGAAATGGTCCGTTCCATATTTTGATTTCTAACTGAAATGTTCGGAATTTGGGGCTGAATGGAAAGCTCCCCCGATTTAAACTAACTATTGTTGTTCGAAACAAGTTTCGTTCCTGGGGTTCTTTGAGGAAAGAGACCCTGGCAAGGAGTTTGTTGAGTTCTTTGTTTGAAGTTTGTGTTTCTTCATCTTTAGTGATCCGTGAGAGCCCGATATTTTTCCGGCCACACTCAAAAGCAATTCTTTCACGCGCCATTCATAATGACACTGAGTTCCTGGCCCAGCAGATGGTCATGGATTACTCCCTCTTAGTTGGAATAGACGAAGCCCGATCAGAACTCATTATTGGAATTATTGGTGAGTCTGAACGAACAAATTGATTATTATCCTCTTAAAAGCCCTCTCAGTTTTCATTGTAACACTGTTAATCACGATTTCCAAACGCATACTGGGATGTTAAAAATGTTAAATAAAGTCATCGTTATTATCATTGCTGGTTTAATTTATTAAATATTAATTAATTTATTTATTTACAATATTGCAAATATCACAATCTATTAATGAACGGATTATTTCAAAGTAGACCATAGTCGTGTGCCAAGTGCCCTGGCCTTTGAATAGAAGCGAGGCTGGAGGTTACCTTGTTTTATTACAAACCTTCCTGTATAAAACTTGTAAACTATTATGTTTATAGGCTTGTTAGCATGCAAATTACATGATCAGGAAAGTTTATAACAAAACAAGGTCACCTCTAGCCTTGCTTCTATTCAAAGACCAAGCTTTTCAGTAAGGGTGTTCTGGTGTAACTGCCCATCATCTGATGTTTTTTATGTTTTCGTTTTTGCAGATTTTATTCGAACGTTCACGTGGGATAAGAAATTGGAAATGTATGTAAAGGCCAGTGGGATTCTGGGAGGGCAAGGAAGGATGCCCACTGTGGTGTCACCTGAGCTGTACAGGACACGATTCACTGAGGCCATGAAGAGATACTTTCTTATGGTCCCTGATAAATGGACCGGTCTTGGAAGTGATCTCGATTAAAGAGCCTGCTTAGCTTCAGACCCATACACGATTCAACGTCGCGCGTGGCACCGAGTCAGAATTGAATCGGAACGCTTTTTCACATCTGCACTTCAACAGGTCCTCAAAACCCTTAACCCTAATATCAGGATAGGCGTCATCGTTACTGTTCAACATGTATGCTTTCAATTTGTCCAAGAAGGCAATACTAGTGTACCCTCTGAGGATCACCCATGCGACAGATGTTGAACCGTTTTTACTTGGTGCTCACATCTTTTCTTCTCATAACCTTTACGTCTGCCCAAGTTTTGTTATCTTAAGGAGAAATTAGATGCTGGTCAGTCTTACCTGCATGTGTCTTAACCGTCATTCTGTAAATATCCAACGTGGATTAGAGACCCATACGAGAATATCTTTCAATTGTTTTTAGTTGATAAAGTTTTTTGTAAATACCTTTAAAATCATGCTTGGTATCATCAAGATTTCATTCACAAACACAGACGTTCGAACTCGAAAACTTCTTATCCACACACTTTGACGTAAACATCACTTTGTATATCGTAGTGTACACTCACCGGAGTGTCATAAGAAAGGATTATTCCGTAGTATTCATTGAAATTGAAGTTAGTCACTCATCAGTAATGAATTTTTGATGATAAATAGAATTTTTGAATTGACAGAGAATATATTTTTACTAAAACACACAATTGAAAGGCTCTCTCAGCAAACTTCTTATGATAATACGATACTTTACCATAAGAAGAAAAACCTGGGAAAGTTTATTTTTTTCCAAGACAAACAATAAGTTTTTTAAGCGATAAATTCAAAAGAAAAGTTAAAATAGAGATAAATAATACGTTAGAGAAATATTGGGAAATTAAAGATGCAGATAATAGCTTAAGAAATTATTTATTTGAGATTACGTTGCCCATAGTGGTTGTTCGAGTGATAGCAACTGTAAAGAACATAAGATTTGCAACAGTTTATGGAACCAGGGATAGAAAAAAATCTACTCAAGGGAAGCTTTGTCTTAGTTTCAATTTCTGGAGCAAATGTTTTGTGCAGTTCGTAAAAAATAGCGATATAAATGACATTGAATTTTGTTAAATCCAGTGTCCAGAATCAAATTTTATGGAGTGTTTGATTTTATACTTGTAAAAATTTAAAAAAATCTCCTGGATGAAAAAGTAATCCATGGTCACGTGAGTTGCTAGTGCAACTATACTGCAAGCAGTAATTCATCAAGCAGAAGTTAAATAAATATAACTCTATTTATTGCATTTGATTGTGTTTATAAAACAGTTACTTGACTTGTACTGAACTTTGCGACGAAAATATTTTCAGTTGTACAAGGATTCAGAATAGAAATGTCTCTTAAGTTTTGTTGTCTTGATAATTAAATAGCACTTAATTTTAAGTTCGAATTGGAATATCGCTAAGCACTAAATAAAATGTACTAATTTTATACCTATCTATGACGCTTTTTGCTACTTCCCAAACTCTGACATTCCTAATTGGAAGTTTGATTTGCAGAACTTATTTCCATATTGGGTACTAATTCAGTCTTGAAGTCACTACAGGGCTCGAGACGGGATAAGGGAGACAGTGATGAATTGGTTTGCTTGTTTTTCTAGCTTCTGTTTAAGTCAAGTTCTCTAACGTAATTAGCAGCCACTTCCCTCTCGTTATTGGAATGACGAGTGAAAACGTACAATCCTGAAAGGTACAGACTAAGTCCTTATCTATGTTCGAGGCTGGGATGAGTTGTCTAGAAAACGCCTAGAAATAGATTTTGATCGTAAAGTTTCGACGGTGGAAGCTTCATTTGAGAGAGATGAACCCAGAAAGGCCACGACGTCAAAGAAAGATTTTATACAAAGAAGAGATGTCGCGCATCCAGGGAGGCGAAGATCGGGAACATTGGCAAAGTTTTAGTGTTCGTTGTACATTCAGTTGTTGTGTTCAGGTGGAGATCACTTTATCATTGACGAGGACGGTAAATCACGTAGAAATCAAGTTGGCCTTCGCTGTTCATGTGGTTGCCAATCTGCATATTCTGTTTTTATTCTTATGTTTATGATTGAGATCGCTTAGCAGCAAGCAATTTGCGTTTACATCTTTAAAGTTCGTCTGGTAGTTGACTGATCATCAATGTAAAGAATGGCGGTACTTTTCCGGAATAACTTCTATAAGGCCTATTGAAGGTAAAGAAATAAGACACGGGATTAAGAAAAAAAGCAATTAAAAAAGGATTTTTTAAAATCCTTATAAAGTTGTGCTAGAGGAATTGAAGAAAATCGAGTCAGCGTAAAAGCGATTTTTGTTTTGGAACTTGACTGACCTTTAGACTCCATCCAGCTCCTACTGAAGAGACGGCGGAAATATTTCTGCCAGAAACCAAATGGGAATCGTTAAGACGGCGAGAAGATGATGTGACTAAAAATAACACATGAATTCACAACAACTTACCTGACCCGTGTCACACAGGCATGTGGTAATCACGTGACCAGGGCCTAGCAGCTCTGCAACCTGCGAAAGAAATACATATATAAAACCTTAAAATCAAAGTACCATGCACTGATGAAATGATGGTTCATAAGCGAGTGGAAATTCCAAAATCTAGATGCATCTCAATATCGGGATTACTAATCACTCGCGTGTCGTGTTTGAAATCCGGATGAAACACTCGCACTCGTGTTCACTTATCCTCCTTTGTTTTGTATTGTTCTTTCTGTAACATTCTCTGTAATTGTTATTCATTATTGTTGAAGAATCAGTGATTGAATACCTTGACTGCAGCCGCAACATTCAATCCAGACGATGCTCCTACGAAAAATCCCTCTTCATGAAGTAAAAAGAATGTCTGTATTCAACAGAAAGAAAACAAGAACTCTGTTTGGAGAAACATAACATACAAGGTACGTTTACAAAAGTGCTTCAATTCACAGAAACGTTCTCACTTCATTTGGCCTCTTTAAACTTTACGTTACTTAGGGAAAGTTCATTTAATATGACAAGGGGGGGGATGAAGATATTGAGGGGGGGCTCCGAAAATTTTTAGACACCCGAAGGGGGGGCTCTGAAAAAATTGTTGCGCTAGGAGGGGGGGCTCCGAAAATTTGTATACTTCAAGACCAACACATGACATCATCATACAGATCGGATGGTTTTCAACTCAACAATTTAATGACCTGTGCAACTCAGCTATATCACATGGTTTACAGATATAACAAATGTAGTCTCAGTAATTATTACACTCTTGTTCATCCCAAAAATGCTTTAGAAAATTGTATCACAACTGTATCTCAAGTTTGTCATAGTATAAACCATTGAAGACAATAAGGGTAAATATATTTAATACAGTCTAGCGATCTTTTTACAGGGGAGCAAAGGAATTGAAGGGGGGGGGGGGCTATGAAATTTTTTTTGACTACCAAGGAGGGGGCTCCCAAAAAATTGAACCGCTAGCGAGGGGGCTGCTAAAATTTCAAGCTTCGAGTTTCAATATGTTCATCCCCCCCCACCCTTGTCATATTAAATGAACTTTCCCTTATATGATCAGCGACACAAAACTGGGGCCGTTGCTGTAATTTCACAGGTGACAAGGAAGTAAATGGGTGGGTACCCCGGGGCGGGTACCTTGGTGGTTAGAGGACACACCTCCAACCATTTTTAGCCGCCCCGCCCTAGTTCGTATCCAAGGGTGATCAGTGACATATGTGGGCCTGATGAATAAGTTGTTGGTCCTAGCCGTTTCTGCGAGATTTTCCCCCGGGTACTCCGGTTTTCCACTCTCCACCAAAATGCAACATTTCCAAATATCAATTCGTTCTCTATACCGTACGAACACGCTTAACATACGTTCGCGGGAATAGAAATAACAGTTTTACCATTTCTACAGCTTCCTTATCAGAAACAAACACAGCATTATCAATTGGAGCTCCTTGTAAATTGCTCGTGACTCGACCCTGACCGATACCTGAAAAAAAGATGAAAATTGTAGTGAACGGCAGATTTGTTCCTGCTTTGTGAGAAAGCTCTTTGCCACTCAGTCGGTCCAAGACGGGTTGCTCACGAACTAGTCGACTGTAAGCTAAGTGAGTGGTAGGCGGGGGGGGGCAGAAGCTATGAACACTCTCCTCCCTTCCCCACCCCGCCTGTGTAGCTGAGAGTTTGCAAACAGAGTACAAAGACAAGCATGGGCATGGGGCGTACCCCACCACCCTCGGGGATTACACCCGCTACATTTTGTCACTTCCCCGATAATCAAACAGCCAGGGTAGGATGAAGCCACGACTCAACTCTAACAATGGTTACCTTCCGTAATGGAGCTGCCTTCACTTCTTTTCAGCTCTCCATATTTGAAATAATTGTACAGAACACTCCCCTATTATGAATAAAAAGATATGATAAAAATTTTTAAGGAGCATTGTCAAGAAAGTGCAACAAAAAAATGGTAGTGTAGAAGATATAAAAAGAATAATTTGGCAGCTGAGTAAACTGGCAAGCCAAAGATGAAGAGATGCATTATACTGTATATCATATTTCCCCCAGCTTAATACAAGTCTATTTTTTGTCCAGGAAGATTTCCTTAGTCAATGAAATCATCACTTTTCTCGTGAGTTAGATAGATTTTCTTAAAAGCACCACGTTTAAAGCAAATGGCAAAGATACCACGTTAGCAGTAACCGTGAGGCTTAACAAATTTCTTCCATCGTTTCAAGCGTATTCTTGATTCTAAAAGCCCTAGTGGAATTTGTACATGCTCGCGTAACACATTTCCCAGTGAGCTGCATTACTCAATATTGTTCAAATAAAACGATGCACGTATTATGAACAACAGCATTGCTGGATTACCTCGGGATCTGCTAGAACAACCTTAATATTTGGGTTCTTTGATTTAAGGTATGATCCCACACCTAACAACAAAAGAAAAATGAACTGAAAGTTTAGAAAGGGGAACATTTTGAAAAGAAGACATCGAGTAATATTTCCAAAGTGTAAAAAAGGAATGAGAGCGATAACCATGGCAGGGGTAACTAACAGGTGCTGGTCTATGGAGCAAGATGTCTCAAGAAGAAGGTGCTGCCCTTGCCCCGCAAATTCTAACAATCAATCTGCTTTGAAAAGATATTAATTACTTGAACGCTCAATTACGGACTTCTAACGACGTTAAATACACAACATTGTTTTTTCAGTGTCAGACTGATAGTTTCCCTCACTTGTCAACAAATGTCTCTCTCTATCTCTAGGCATTCGGCTGGTCATATTAATGAGGTAAGATTGTGAAGAAGATAGTGACTCAGGACTTCGGATGATAGTGATAATTGGGTGGAAGTATTAACGGGATATAGTCAAATCTCCACTAACAGCCACCTCTCTACAACGGCCAATTTTTTTGCAGCGCAGTCCATACATTGACTCTTGTTTAAACCTCTCTACAAGGACTACTTTCTTCTGCCCCTAAGGTGGCCGTTGTGAAGAGTTTCAACTGTAGTTGAATAAGTAAATGCCTGGGATTTTTGGTTCGGCAAGAAAAGGGTTGTTGTCTTTAGCACTGTTGTTGTTAGGAGGGGTAGCTGTGTTTGTTGTTTACCTGCTATTGTTCCCCCTGTTCCCGTAGAAAATGTCACAGCATCCACTCTCCCTTCTGTCTGCTGCCATATTTCTGGTCCTGTGGTTTCAAAATGTGCTCTTCTATTGGAGATATTGTCAAACTGATGAGGAAGAAAAATAATCAATAGTGATCATGTCATTAATCAGTGGAAATAAAGCATCCATCCATTCTAGTGGCAGATCCTTCAGGTAAGCAGGGCCGGGCCACTGTCCGGTGCCTCTGCTCCTCAACCCTGCAGGCATGGTCTTGGTCAAAAATAGGATGCTTTACACTGGATCTCCCCTTTATTTCAGTGGAGATAAAGAGCTTTAATCACTGGACATAAAATGTCATACTGTCCTTCACTCATATACCATACGGTTGATTCTACAACTTGAAACCTCGCTAACTCAAACATTGTGCTAACTCAGACCAAAGTCAGTTTCCCTTGGATTTCCTTCATGCATTTACTGTAATTTTACTCTTGGTAACTTGAACCCTCAATAACGCAAACCATGTTATGAACGTATAAGATGGTTTGAGAAATCGGAAGTCAACTTTATTTACTAAACTATCTTTATGTTGAGTCACCTGATTTGTCCAGATTGCATTCTCAGTGCTCTCAGCATAACGTCTTGCCTGAAAAAAGAAAAAAACAAACAAACAAAATCAACTTAGATTTTAACCAAAGTTTGCTCTTCTTCGTGCCACTGATCATTCAAGCTTAAAATGTTTGCAAGTGATAATCTCAATCCTTGCCTTTGTCTTGTTTTAATTTATGATTTTGACAATGATTTAACAAGGGCATCTTAATTTGTAGACTTTTCCTATGAAATGCATCAATAAATTTACAGTCCTAAGCAAGAATGGGTGTCTACAATAGCAGACTTTTAAGGATGAACCTTACAGGGCTGCTAGATGTGTACTAGAAGAGATCCATCTCACAATTATTATTATTATCTTGGCTATTTTATTGATATTACCAAATTACAGAAGGCAGAAACATTACTGGTCATTGCATCAGTGAAATGCTATAGCCTCCAACACAGATGTTCTTAGGGGTTCCTTGAAGGATTGCATGACGAGCCAAAAGAACATCTGTGTGCGAGGCTAGAAATACTAGGGTTGAAATGTCATTACCTGATGATTGTAGTTCATTTGGTCATCAAATGGCACAGCAGGGACAGCATGGACCTCAGCACCTAATGTCTGAAGCACTTCTATTTTTTCCTACAAACAAAACAAAGAAATTTGCAGAAAACCTCACGTTATTTATCCACTTCATGGAGCAACTTTGGTTAGTTTATTAATTCAGCGAGCTCTCCCATGATTAATAACCCCTTAGTACCAAGATTTTGCAGTTGCTTAGCAGTTTTTGCACAAAAAAATGAACCTGGGCTTCACAACCTAATTCATAGGTACAGAGCAACCTTACTATTCATTAAAGTTCTTACCTGTGATTGTGTGTCAGGCATAAATATAACACATTTGTAACCCTTGGCAAGACATATGTGGGCAAGTCCAATCCCTAAAGAAATTAAGTCGAACAGTTAAACATCCATCAAGGGTTAAGGAATTATAAAGCATATTAAAAATTCAAAATTTACAGACCTGTGTTTCCAGCTGTTCCTTCAATGACTGTCCCACCAGGTTTAATAAGTCCTGAAAATAAACAGAGCCAGAACTAGGAGGCAAATATTATGTGTGATATTTTATCAATCGTCTTCGTTTGAGAGGGCTGGATATTGGCCAAGTTCTTATTTTTGGTGTTTTTATGGACTGAAAAAAATAAAATCCAGGACAATACCCAGCCATCAGAAAAAAATGACAAGTATGAGGATTTATTATATAGTAAAGAGAACATTTTATTTCAGGACTAGAGTAAGATAGGCCTATCTTTCCCTCTAAGGTATAGCCAATCCGAACACAAGATTCACTTCACCCTGCCCATTACAGAGCCAGCCTTTCAGGGCTTGGTTCTTCAAATGCCAATTAGGGGTACCGAACTAAAATTTACAATCCATGTTTAGAGTATCAAGGCCTCGACCATGGTGTAAAATGAAAGACCTTTCTGATTTGCTTTTGAAACTACTAACTCAACTTATTATAATACAGCTTTTATGTTTTAGCTGTATCAATGTTCTTTTTAAAATTAATACCAACCTTTTTCTTCTGCTTCCTTAATAAGGTACAGAGCAGCACGATCCTTCACTGAGCCACCAGGGTTAAGGTGCTCTGCCTTTGCGGTAATGTCACAACCTACAATCAAAAGCTGTGAGCAATAATAATATTGCACTAAACAGGGTTCTAAAAAAAAGGGGTTTTTACCCCATACTGGGTGAATATACTTAATTGTTTTGTCCTAGACGGAGTGAGGGTTTCATCCCCTTTGTGACAACCAACCCACAATCCCTTCACTCACTCTGACTAAGGGCTAGCACTTTTAGGATAATAAATGTGGCTAGTAATCAACAAGTCAGGCTTTAAACGTTTTTAAGATGATAAATTGACTTATTCAACTAAGTTTATCAATCCAGATTTTTGGACTTCAACTAATGCAGGATCACAGTTTTTCAAAAACTAACCTCACCATTTATTTGTTTATAGTGTGTGCTAAATTCCTTACTTACCTGTTTGCTCACTCAGTTTGTTAAATCTTATCAGAGGAGTGCTGTTTAAAAAAAACAAAAAGGATAAAGTGTCAACTGAAGTAACCCGAGATCAGGATCAATTTTCGTTTCGCTTTGTAATAACATTCCATTGGGCAAGGCAAAACGAAAACTATTTTAGCGGTAGCCGTTAAAGAGAATGTATGAGAGCCGCTAAAATTGGGCCCGATCTCAGGTTACAACTGAAGCCATTCACTGACAATGATATAGAATTTCTTGAACTGTTTTAGGTCAATTGAATGAGGGAAAATTAATTCTTACTTGCCAACCATTCCTACAAAACCATGGCGCAACTCCTAAAAATTACAACAAAAACAATCATGGTTTAATAAGGTTGAAAAGACAGTATGTCAAAATTTCATTAGTTTCTGCCTTGTAATTAAGTGGTATTTTGTACTCACATTATCTCAGATGAGGGTTGTAATGTGGGGTTCAATTTGTAGCAGCAGTTGAGCGTGTGACTGTAGATGTGTGGTTCAAATTACAGGACCTTTACAAAGATGCCAATTTCTAGACTCTAGAGATCTAAAATTTAGAGACTCTGTCTCTTGTATTACCCCCTCCCCACCCCTGCGAATATATACAAATTGACCCTGTCTCCAAATTATAACACGCATGTGGCTCCGCAAATTATACCAAGTCTGATAACATGAGGTACAGACCAAAATCATCTTTTAATAATGTTGTGATGACATAATGATGAAATATGTGAAAAAAAAGCACAGCAACCATACTTTTCCATTGAAAAAATTTTGAATTTGGGGGGTAAATGGGCTCAAACGAAGGCACAGAAAAGCTTAAAAGCCTTCTTTTACCTGGGAGATTTGGAGACCTGTACAATGGCAGGTACAAAACAGAGGTCACAGCTGGTCACAAGCACAGGTCACTGCTCTTGAGAAACAACTCAGAGACAAAATTTTGCCTTCAGCTAACAAAGACTCTCTTTTGGATTACGATTAGGGCTAGGAGACACTTTTAGTGTTGTTTGTTCACCTTAGCACATTGACCTGTACGCTAACCTGCACTTGTGACCTAAGACTTGCATTTTGTACTGGCAGGTACAAAACACACATCACAGGGCACAGGTCAATAGTGCAGGTCACTGCTCTATTGACAAATAAGTGAGATAAGCAGTTTCCCCTTAAGTGAAAATTCTATTTTGGATTGTGATTAGGGCTAGGAGACACTTCCAAGTGTTGTTTATTTACCAACGCACAGTGACCTTTAGTTTCTCCTGCACTTGTGACTGTGACCTGTGACCCATATTTTGTAACTGCCAATTTTGTATCTGCCATCTTCTACACAAGGAGAACAGGAGAATTGTGTCAGATCTGGGAGATGTCAGGATAATAGGGAGGGTAGTTGGTATCTGTGCAGCTTTTATCAGAGTTATGCAAACCAGCAATTTAAACCCTTCAGGGTTTCAAATAAAATAGCAGTCCTCTTATAAAATTTTCCAGAACTTGCAGCTAAAATATATAAACTCAGAGATGGAAAGAAACACACAAAACTAGGTTTCCAAGTTTTTAAAAATGTTTGCAAGATAATTTTTACAATCCAGTCAAAAGTTCCCTTAACAGCCATGAATTATAGGTAGCATCAACCACCCCTTATGCCTGGGGTAGGGCAGGGGTGGCACGATATCTAGAGTATCATTTCCTGCCTGGTTTTCATGGTGCTTTTTAATTTTCCATCTTGTTGTTTTGAACTTTTTGACTCAAGGCCCTGTTGATGTCGCTGATTTTCAGACATTTCTATATTACAAAAATCAGAGGTCAGCTGCCGATTCTTGTCAACCTTCTCTTGTTTTGCTGTAGCTATCTCTCTATAAATCAGGCACATGTTTAGTTTGGACATCCCAGCTGGTCCATTTAGATAAGGACCCCATATTATTCATGTTTACAAATCCATATTTCACGAAAAAATGTGTTCCCGGAATCAAACCAAATTTAGGTAAAAGCTGTTTATAAAGGTACTTCTTTAAAATATTTTATGTCAACTGTCTGCTTTTAGTTAGCATTCTTCAACAAAACAAACTTAACACTGAGGTTTTAGCCAATAGTCTAGGGATACAAGGGGATACAAAAAGGCCAAAAAATTGCGCCCAGTCCGTCAGATTTCTTTAACTAAATCAGTTATTGGTGAATTTCACATTGAAAAATATTTAAAGATATTTTAAGTTTACCTTTGAAAAATTTCTAGGCCTTATATCAACTACAGGACGAACTTTTAACAGCCTTGCAGAAAGCCTTGTGGCGGCCATGTTGGACTATGAAATGGGTTAACGATAAATAATTGATTATTAATCTACCTCGTCGTTTTCTTTATTGTAGGTTATTGTGCTTGATCATGAACTAAACAATCTTAAATAATTCACAGATATACATAAATAACTATTAAAGGCATTAAGCTGCAAGTTTATGAGATAAAGTTTATTTTCGAATATTTCCAAAATCGCCATACATTCGGCTCGCAAGTAAACAATTCGATATTTAATCGGAACATCTCTTCGTCCAACCGCGTCGTGTAGGACGACGGGAAGTTACACACGGCGGTGTGAAAGTTTACTCCAAGAATCGTCAATGAATTCTAAAAACAGATGGATTAACTAAGCAATTTAAAGGATTTTTACTTATGGGTGATACGAAATGAAACTTAGAGACACATTCTGTGGAGCTGGGAGGCTTTCCAGTATGAACTGGTCGAGCTGCCTTCAAAATCATTCCTGAAATGGCCAGCCTTGGAGCGTTAGTTGGTGGGCCCCTGGGAGAGGAAGATGTAGAAGAGTTACGCTCCGAGCGTTCCATACGAGGACTCAAGGTCAATATTAAAAGTTTTCCTAACAACCTGTATGATATAGGTCTTTGTTATGTGGTAAGTACTAACGGTTTGGCTAATATTGCTTTCTTACGACAGTCGCAAGAAGAAATCGAGAGACTCACAGTTGACGAGAACCTAGATGACATCGAGCGGGCCGTGTTGCTGTTGAGGTGAGTCCAACTGAATGGAAAAAAAACCTCAAATAATTATGTTTTAATATACAGTAATCCTGGTAATTAAATTTCTCTGGAAATGTCAGAGCTTTTCTTAGAAACATAACCTTTGGTAAGATTGTTTAATAATTATGATAGATGGCGGAAATTTCATTGGTGTAGACTTCATGTTTGTATGTTTCCGTCACGACCATTTATTGTGACTCATGGAGTAACTGATTTTTAATACTTTGTTTGATTTTATTAACTTCATCAGTATTATACTTCTTTTTCAGAAGTTGCTTCTCGTATTTATTCTAGATTTATATACTCATAACGTTCTGAAAATCTAAAGGTTGCCTCATAAAGCCTTCGTTAATCGCTTTTGTATCACCGTCTCATTTTTTTCCCGTTTTACAACCTTTTTGAACTGAACCGTTAAGTTCACTACGAATTAATTAACTTGGTATGTAAGTGTAAATTTGTAGAGTTTCTGAAATTGTTTGGCGTCTGACTATGTCTGTTTTGAAGTAGTATTTGCTTAATACAAACAATGTGGAGATTAGTGACTTTGAAGAGGCCCAAGTTAAAATTCAACTGAGCAGCTCACATGCAAAAGAAATCGACTGTGTTTCTGCTCTCTTCATTTTGAAATCGGTTTCGTATTTGAATATATTTTGGGTTGTTTTGAAGAGAGATAGGATGCAGTTGTTGTGTTGTAGCACTTCCTTTATGCATATAAATTAGACAACCTGGCTTGTCTTATTAAAAGGCTTTAGGCAGGAGGCAATGGACGTTTAGTTGTTTTAGACCATAAAAGGTCAGGTCAAGCAGTGCTTTTAATTTCAACCCATTCAAATTATTCTTTCTTAGCTCAAGCAGTGCCGAACCATTTTGTGAAAATATTGACTATTTTACTTACAGATCTTGCATACATATAAAATTATTTTGAAGTTGTTATTCTTGTATTAATATTATTTTATAGTTTGTCTCTCACTGCTATTAACTATTCATCCTATCTTTTGGTCGTAATTTAATATAGTATCTAAGCAAAATGATACGATAAACTTATTAAAACAGTGCTAATATTTGGGAAAGAGGTGGCGTGGGAAAAAATCAGTGGTGCATAGACTTGTGCACAAGATTTTTTGCAAGGCTTCTTTCTTACTCCTGCTATTCACATGTGAATATCAGTAATCATGTGGTCAGATTATTGCTGGAAACGTTTTGTTGCCTAGATTTAATATCTAAGGCCACTGTATTTCTCAGTTAGTAGTCTGTGAATATACATAAGTTTATATGAAACGACATCCTTGTTATTGAAATTAATTGATAAAATCTTTTTTGCAAGCATATTTTCAAAAAATGTAACATCTTGTGTAACACCAGGGAACATTATTTTATGAAATTCCAAGAACAGATGTACAACATAAAAATGTTGTACTGTTACATCATCAGCACTTACCATTTGTATGGAAAACCCAGAAATTTCGGGGAGAATTCAAATGGAACGGTTCATAAAGGTGGAAATTTTCCAGAAAAAAGTAATACCTTTCGAGTTATTACCGTTTTCCTGTTCTTACGGAAACTACCGAAATTTTCTTTACCGTTATTACCATCAAATGTTACTGGTATTTTTTTGGCACTGAAAACAGGAACAGGATTGAGTTGTACCATTTACAAAATACTTGTAAATTGTTCACTTTCTCTTGACATGAAGCCTAGCACTGGTAGTCCAAACAAATTTTGTTTGGACTACCAGTGCTAGGCTTCATGTCGAGAGAAAGTGAACAATTTACCGGTATTTTGTAAATGGTACAGCTCAATCCTGTTCCTGTTTTCAGTGCCAAAAAAAATACCAGTACCATTTGACGGAAATTTTTCAATGAGATTTCCAAACAAATGGTAAGCACTCCATGTAATATCTTGTATTTCATTGTAACTAAGACACTATTCCCAGTTTCAACATGATGTAGTAGGCATTGATAATGATATTATTGGTTTTTTCACCTGAAAGCCAATCTTGTTTAGAGTTACATGTTTGTAATGCCATATGGGTTTATAGGATTAGCCATGGTCATTTACCGTGTCATCTGGTGCATGTTTCCTTGAATATACAGGAAGTGATGGCCTGTTTTAGTTACTGAGAGGTACAAGGAAAAATATGAACAGCTGTAGTGACTGTGATCTTGATGGTCATATTATGAATTTTGATCTTTGCAGTTCTGGAGTGGAAATTCAAAAACTAAGTATAATAAACAATTTACCAAGATTACTTGAGAAAAACAGTGGTGATGTCAATAGGAGGATACTTCCTATTCTAAGGGTAAGTTGCCTTTATGGAATAATAATTCTGCAAATGAATTAATGTTTTTCTTGTGGCCAAATTTCTTGTGGCTTAAGCCTCACAGTTGTTTGAAGCTTTTACGTGTAACTGTATGCGTAACAAAAACTTTTCTTTAGAAATAGCAGGCCAGAATAAACTATAAATTCAAACAAACACTGCGAAACCACCTGTGTCGAAATCTTGTGCATAAACATAAAATTATAAAATCTGACATGGTGGGAGTATGACCCGCCTCAAACTATATCCAAATGTACTGAACAGATGAAAAAGAGTGGAAAAATTGCCTCTCTTCAAATCACAGGCCATATTTTCTGAAGCATCCCAAGTGGAATGACACATACCAATTGACTTTCCAAGTGGAGTTTTCAGTTTTCCTGTGTAAATTGTAAGAACCCTGGGTCTTCAAGTCCCAGTTTGAATTAAATGCTGGGGCATTTAAATGAGAATGTACAATACATGCACTTTTTTCCTGTTTCCAATAATTCCTTAAAACTACACTGCTTCTTTACTCTTGTAAAATTGTCGTGTTTTAGGAATACCTGTATATTGCTCCACTTCATGTCCAACTGGAAGCTACCAAGTCTTTTTCAAGCATTATTGAACATGGAACAATACAAGCCTATATGTTTGCCTCATCTTTTTTACCAATTACATTACATAATCTGGACAGCAGAGATACAGGTACCTTAATTATTTGTCTGTAAAGTATTTCTTAAAACGTGTTTATATAATCGTTAAAGGACATTATTAGTCATGGAGCTCACACAGCCAGTTTGAGGTCTTTGTACTGTAGTTACTTTAGCAAGAAGCACCTAAGAATGTTTTCTGTACTCTCCATTGGACAGGACCTGCTGGTCCTTTACAGTGTTACCTTTGCAGTATGTTGCTGGTACCTTCTTTTACACCCAGGTGCACAATGCACATATTAACCCAGATCTACCAGATGAAAAGTTTGACATGTTAACTACTCAGCCACCACTCCTACATGGTATATCCAACATGAAATGAGGTATTGTTATATCTGGTTTGAGATGCTAAGAAGTGGGTCGGAAAAAATAAGACGGACTTTGAGGTATCTCGATATCAGACGAAATGCCTTGATATAGCTTCATAGACGAACCATAAATCTTTGTGATGTTTGACATCAAAGTTCATAAAACTTTGTGATAATAAATTACATGTATTCAATTTCCAAACCTGCATCATTGCAATGATGGCTTCTCTTTATGAATTTTTTTTAGTGCTGTGAACTATGCATGTTAAATTTGTAACCCAGTTTAATATCCGTTCCTTAATTTCAGTTGTATCCAATGCCTGGCTTCAAACTCTCCTGACTTCAATTGATTTTCTTCCAAAAGATGTCATTAAAAGAGAGGTCTGCAATACTTTTACAATTGCTTAAATATTATTGTTAATCAAGCAAAGTAACTTAATGATAAGAGAATAGGTAAAACAAGGATTGCTTCCTATTTGTCACAATTCACTGGCCAGACTAATCAGTTCTGTTGGTGAAATAATATGCCGTCAGTCCATTCAATTGATGCATGCTGTAAGGTATCTTCTGGTCTACCTTGGTGCAGGTAGCTAATTCCAACATATAGTGAAATGTTGGAGCTATTTGTCTTAGATTAAATGCTTAGCTTTCAACAAAGAAAAATTGTGATTGCTGTTACATATGGCAACCAGGGAGAAATCCAGTCATCAGACGAAATACACAAACAAGCCATCGATCGCATCTAACTTTGACATGTTTACATTGTTTTGGTTACGTGTTTCCTAAACTGTCTTGGAGTTAGTCTTTTTAAATGTCAACTTTGTTTTAATGAGCTCCAATTCAGAGAGCCAATAATGATCATTAATGTATTTTTAACATATTACATACTGGAATTAACGTTGACAGATCCTGGGAATTGCCATCTCCAAAGGACAACTGTCACAGTCAGTGAACTGTAGGCTTGCAAGTTGCAAACTCCTTGGAAAAATTGCTCCAAAGTTTGAAACTTACTGGTAGGTAGAAGACTTTTAATCTAGTGGGTATCCTGTGTTAGCTGTTGCATGTAGTCAGGCAACATCCCCACCCCCTCCCCCAGTGCTTAGGGACAGCTCTGTTGGCCAATAAATGTCTCAGTCAAAGAGAAATTTATATTTCAGTACCAGTTGGTAGGTAATTACAATTCTACAACAACAACAACATCTTTATTTCTTACATTAAATATACAAATATCACACCACCTGCAAAATAGCAAGGCTAATCGAGGCAGGTGGTGTGTAGACGGCTTAAGATTTATTACGAATAGTTGAAGTGAAAAAGTACCATATTTATAATAAAAAAGGTCAGTCATGAGAGAAATTGAGATAAGAAAATCGAGGCAGCTATTTAGATAAGCGGGGGCTAATATTTTTTAAAATCAGAGATTATCGTGTTTAGGTCAGCATATCTATCCTGAACTTCAAATATTTTCAACAGAATTGTATGAACTGTTTCCTTAAAGAGAGATTTTGAAGAATTTCGTAAATTTTCAGGTATACTATTCCAAATTTTGGCTCCCATAATAGAAAACGAATCATTTTTCTAATTTAGTCTAGAGTGGCTAATGTAATAATTTCCAGAAGAGGAGGAGCGAGTGCTGTAAGAGTGGATATTGTTGAGTAGGAATAAAGAGATGTGAAATATTATGAGGGGCAGTGTTTTTGTAAACATCAAACATTAACATCGAAGAAAGCTTAAAATAGAGCATTGTAATAGGCATAATATTAGAGTGAAGAAAGTAAGGGACGGCATGAGAGCGGAAGGGTGCGAAGTTAATTAGGCGCACAGCTCTCTTTTGTAATGTAAGGAGTTTCTCCAAATGAGTTTTTGCAGCCTGGCCCCAGGCAACGAGGCCATAAGAATTATAAAATTTAGAAGAAGAAGAATTCCATGATAACACTGGAAGATAAATACATGTACACCATTATAGCATTTTTATGATTTCTCCCACAGGATAAAGAAGGAACTAATGGCTCTGGTGGCATCATTATGTCAAGACGTGGACTACGAAGTCAGGGCTTGCATGTGTCAGCAGCTAGAAACTATAGCAAGAGCTCTTGGGTAAGATTTTGATTTGCTAAGCCGCAGTTTTGATCACCAATAATGTGACAACACAGTTGAATTGTTTTTGATCATATACCTATGTTAAAATAAGCCATAGAAGTATTTAATAGTATCATTAAATTATTGTTAACTCTGCCCCTTACATTTGGCACTTACTGTTTGTTGTTTTCTTTCCAGATCAGATTTAGAAAAGAGACCCTGTAAAAAGTCTGACCTTCTAATTTACACAGTTCTATTGTATTTTAGTTTTTTATTGAAAATGTTGTTTTTATTTGATTTGTATTTCTTTTTAACAGGCTGGAAAGTACACAAAGTATAATAATCCCAGAGCTTGTTGAGCTAACGAATGATGAAGAGACCAGTGTTAGACTAGCAGGACTGGAAACCATCACAAACTTACTGAGTCTTCTTGATGATGGTGAGCTGGCCAATGATGAGAAATGAAGTAAACTAACAACCTGTAATGTACAAACTAATGTGGCTGAACCATACACATATCCATAATATAGACTCCTCTCTACATGTACAGTTCTCTATGTAATACAAACTCTTTACTCTTAACCTTTGTGCACCTGTTTTCCTTGCATTGTGAATCAATGTTATATTATTGATAATAATATTTATTATTGATAAAAAATCAATGTTTTCAATATTAGTCTACACCAATAGTAATTATTAATTAGTTGAGGTTCACCAATGTAGTTGTATTGTCTGCTTCCACCCAGTATTCTTCTTTTCAAAAGGTAAAAAACAAACCTGTGTGATGGCAAATTACAGTCTGTGCATTTTAAACATGCATCCACTTTTGTAATGAGTTGCATGTAAGTGCCACTGGTTCCCTTTTACAATTGGCCTGTTTCATTTTTGCGTTTTTCTTTACAGATACCTGTACTGCTGTTATAATACCATTGGTTCAAAAATTCTGTGATGAAATTCCTAAGCAGTGTTCAGATTCACTTCTCATGGTGGCAAAGTTGTTTGGAAAACTTTCATATGGATTGTCAGGTAAATCTAAGGAGGCTTGTTACCTTGCTTTTTTTGGCCAAAGCCAATAAACTGAAATATGGTCAAACCATCAGTAAGAGGACACCCCTGTAAAAGAAAAAGTGTCTGCTTATCACTGCTTTCCCCTCAATGGGGGTTAACAACTGCATTGCTGAATGGAAGTTGAGTGCTTGGAGTATCCAGGGGTTTTCACTTTTGGCAGCCAGCTGCTGGCGCAAGTGTGCAACCCAGCCATGAGCCCCCGGCTATAATGAATGTAATCCCCGCCTACTTTTATAGGAAAATAGAAGAAAAATAGAACCAAACAAAATCTTTAGCTGTTGGATTCCCCGCCTACTTGTATCACTAGCCTGGCAACTTGAAATTTTATTCACAGCCCTGTGTCCTTGAGTGGAGTGCTCCACTATACAATCTGTGCAATGACTTTTCAGCTTATGAGTAGTAGGCTTGCAGGTTACATGCTTCCTTGTGTGCTTGCTGACTAAGTTACCTATCTTGATTACAGTTAACCTTGATGACACTAAGAAGAAGTGGTTTTTGGAATTTTACAAAAGGATGTGCTTCTGTGGCAATCCCAATAAAAACAATCGAGTGGGCAGTGTTACACTAGCCCTTAAGGTAGGGTAAAAGGACATTTCTGCCAACGTGTGGCAACTTATAGATTGTGTGATGTCATAATGTACTTTTGATTTTTTTGTTGTCTCATGTACACTTCTTGCAGCTTAATTTGCTCTTTGCTATTTTCAGAGTTCTGTTTTATCTGGTGCGACTATTGATGATGATCCTGAGGCAGAATGTCGAAGATGTTGTGCTTTTAACTTTCCAGTAAGTCACCTAACCTATAACTTGCACTTTCAGTAGCCTACTGCATTATATACACATGGTTCTATTTTAGTTTGAGGAACATACAGTTTTCTGTTATGTCACACTTGGTAGTGTAATGCTGTTCCACCAAGTGAAATGAGTGCCATTGATAAAGCCCCTTCCCATCTTCTCTGACACTTAATTAAATCAGAGTTCACTGACCAGAACTTACAGTGGTATTCTGTATTTTTGCCCTTTTTTCCTAGGCCATGCTACTGTTTTGTGGTGCATCGGGATTTCAAGCTGAACTCGCTCCCACGTTTCACTCACTTGTAGAGGATCCCCATGCTCTAGTCAGAAGAACTATAGCGTGTGGATTTCATGAGGTGTGAACAAAATTATGTCATGTAGTTTGTTTGTTTGTTTATTGCAATCTAACCTGAGCTGCACAGAAACGCACTTGCTGGTTTGTGTATGTTTTTAGCATGGATAAGATGTAGTGAAGACTGTCGTTTATGTGGTTGTCAGTGGAGGATGATGCTCTGTCATATTTTGCTGTTTACATCATGTGGGACCAAATAAATTACATGATAAAACTTTGCATAGAGAAAGTTTTATATATTTATTTCCATTATTTTAACTATACTTTTTAGGTGGCAAAACTTTTAGGAACAAATGTTGGAACAATTCAGCAGGATTTAAGTATATTATTAAAGGATGAATCTATAGAGGTGAGTAACTAGTCCTAAGCTCTCTCCTTTCACAGAAATCAGCCTCCTGATTTGCCGTTGACTTTTGCTAGATTTTGGCTTCAAGCAAGCGAGTCAGAAGCCTAATCTTACAGAGTTGTACTCAACTCAACTGCTCGTTTTGTAAAATGGTGGTAAGCATTCTCATTGTCATTCATTACTAACCAAAGGTTCACCCATGTGTTTTGGTTTTGTTTTCAGGTATTAGAAGGTCTTATACCAAATTTACCACAAAGTTTAGAATGTCTAGCTAGTGGAGGTCATTCAACTCTGGCGGATACCAAGGTAATGAAGTACTATATTGTCATCACCATTATCGATATCATTGTCATTATCATCATCATCATCATCATCATCGTCGTCGTCGTCGTCGTCATCATCATCATCATCATCATCATCGTCGTCGTCGTCGTCGTCATCATCGTCGTCGTCGTCGTCGTCGTCGTCGTCGTCGTCGTCGTCGTCGTCATCATCATCATCATCATCAACATCATTATCAACACTATTGTCACCATCACCATCATTAACATTATCATCATCATCAGCATCGTCAACCTTATCATCATTGTCATCATAATCATCTATGTCATCTAAAAAACTATGACCACAAACATGCACTAACAGCAACAACAGATTTTATTGAAAATTCGACATATAACTATTTACATTACTTTCCCACCCACAAATAGCTTATGAACTACCGGTTATTGAGGCGGCGGGAGCTGTAGACATACTACTTTCTCCATAGCAATTTTATCTTGCTAGCATTCCTAGTGATGTGAACGGTTTTTTGTTGCATGGTTCAGCTTGCCATGGTTCACAGCTGTGTATGAGAGTGAATTTTCAATAAACTGTTGTGGTTTTGTTTCAGCTTAATAATTTGTCAAACCTTATACCTTCATTGATCGCCTGTGAACTGGCAGTTGACTCGTCAAGCAACTGGCGTCTTCATGTGGAATTACTGGAGAAGTTTTCCTGCTTTCCGAAATGTCTGACCTCAGATCAGATTTACTACAAGTTTGTTCCATTATTCTTCAGATTATTGTCTTCAAATGTAAGTGTTTTACAGTTTATTTTTGGTTACAATGTAACATTATTATTTCTTGAAATTTTTGTTTGGTATAGTGACCGTTTTCAGTGGACATTAATGTTGACCTAAGACTGTGGTTTGATTATTTTCCTTTGCTCCTTTCTCCAGCGTGTTTTACCTGTAAAATTGGCAGCAGCGCGCACGTTGTGTGTGTTCATCCGATATAACAGAAGATATGAACAAAGACAAGAATTGTGTTGTAGACTAATACAAGGTTGGTCAGCTGTAAAACGTCCTCATGACGTAAATCTCCAATGACACATTGTGTTGTGGAGCGACTACACATTGTTTGGTTGACTTCTTCACATCTACACTTTTGAGTTGACTTTTTCATGTTAGACATAACTTTCCGTGCATGCCGGCAACTCAATATTACTCTAGTACTTCATTAGGAATTAGGAGGGAGGGGTGGGAGTGGGAAAAAACCTTTAACCTCCTTTGCCCCGTCCCTTCCCTCCCTCTTAATGTTTTCTAGGCAATCTGAAATATTTGGTAAACTTAAAATTTTTCTAGCCTATTTATATATCTAATATTTGTTGACTATATGGTTTTGTTCTTTTTTTTTCAGAATGTGGAAGAGGAAAGAGCTACAGAAGTAGACTATTATTCATAGATATTTGCAAGTTTATAATGGAATTATTTTCAAGACGTTTTTTCAAAGAAAATTTCTTTGAATTTTTATTAGAATTGGGCTCGGTGAGTGGCATCCTTTTTTACCTATTTGCCTGTAGCTTTGTAGTTTCTTCAGGTTAGAGTAAGTCAAGGTTATATCATCTTCCCCTCCCCGGGTTATAGGGTAAAGCGATTGAGCCATTTTGTTCTGACCAACAAAGTTTGCGTTGTTTTTCCACAGGACCCTGTGTTAAATGTAAGATTAAAGTTTTGCACAATTCCACCACTTCTGAAGTCGTTGTTGAAGTTGCCGACCGACAGACATTTGCTGCAGCAGCTTGAACAGTGCATCAGGAAACTGCTCAGCTCTGAAAAGGAACCGGATGTGTGTACTGCTGTCAGAGAGGTATTGTTATGCCACCACTGCTGTTAACTTTGCTCAGTTTTTCGTTGTTTTCTTTTTATCTCTTATTTTAGCGGTCTCATTTTATGTACACGTTCACATTTTTGGAAGGCTACGATTTTAGAGAGAATATCACGATCTTATGTACCTAATGGCACGATGAGCAATGATGATGATGATGATGATGATGATGATGGTGATGATTGCGGCGACGACGATGCCGATTATGATGATAATGAGTATTTTTCGTTAAACATTGAGCCCACCCTAAAGTCAGTAACCGTAAAAAAAAAACAGTAATTAACAACAACAGGCTTAGTTTTGCTTTCTGTTGTTGTTTAATAGTCTGTTTTGTTATATTTTCCAGACGTTTATGAAGTTGGATAAAACAAAATATGAGGAGGACATTATGGACCAGCGAAAAGAAGAAGAGGAAAGATTGCTTATTGTCATGGTAAATCCAGTTAATTTCCCTTTCCCGTGAGCAGCATTTATTTTCATTTTGAACTTTTCACAAAAGTGAGCTCTTAGGCCACCTTATAGCCTGCCGTACGCAGCAGTTTTTTTTGGGCGCGCGAGCAAGGCTCCGTTTTTCTTGTTTATAGTCACCATCGTTGATTTTAAAGAGAGGAGGCTTGGGCCGAGAGTGATTAATAGGAGGCTGAAAGAAACAGGTGGGGGAGGGTAACAGACCTGTCTCCCATCCCTTCATCCTGTGACTCGTGCACCACAACCAGAGTGAATTTACGTGTTTCCTGTCTCCTCCCCCACCACCACCCGCTCCGGGCAAAAACGTCTACACTGCAAGCGAAGTTAGTATAAGACCGAAACCGATGACATTCGTTCGTTGGTTCGTTCGTTCGTTTTGCAGGAGGAAAAAGAGAAAGAAGAGATGGCTGGTGCCAACAAAATTTCAGATCCGAGAAAAAAGGGGTCCAAAGATGACAAGTCTAAAAAAGGTAAACTTTGTGTCTGTCACGTGGTTTTTAACAGATAAGTCAAGTAGGAATACTCCATAATTTCATCGCCTGCTTTTCACACCCTTAGTTCCAGGTGACATTTCGACAACTTAGATCCTGTGGTATGCTGTTCATTATACTGATTTACCTGGTCCTGACTGTTGTATCTCTATGGAGGTTGAAAGTGCGACTATTTGGATGAAAGCTAATGGCTTTAGAGCACATTACTTCTTTTCGGTTGCCTTTTTACTATGCTGTGCACGTTGCAGATGAAAGCTAGTAGTTCCCTCCTTTTGTGTCTTAAGATGTTCATCACGTCAATGCTTTTGTGCAACACTTTCTCCTGAACAAGTTACAGTGCTGCTTGTTATTAACCACACAAATCGCTTGGTTGTTAACCGGAATTGGAGAAGTTGAGTTGTGGGGTAACTCTAGTGTAGTGAAGTCTGTTTTTCTTACTGTACTTATATCATTTTCCATTCTTGTCTTTGGGGTTTAGCCGTTGCTTCTAAAGGAAAAGGAACGAAAGGAGACGGCCTAGTAGCTCTCAAGCGCACTCCTTCAAATTCTGGTCCTAGTAAGTTTGTTTAACAATGTTTATTTACCTCCTTGTTGCTCTGATATGGCAAGGCAAGAATAACAGGTCTTCAATAGCCTACTGCATCTCCTCAGGTGCTTCAGTGCGGTCTTAAGTGTTAAAAGTTGGATAGTGCTATCCACCGGACAAATCACTATCCAGTGGATAGAGATTTATCTATTGGATAGCCTTATCCACCTTTTGAACAACTGAACCCTGATCAAAAGCAAACAAAACAGATTGCGCGCAATGTAAACCGCACCTTTGTCTAGCAAATCTGAGTTAAGTAATCGTATTGTTACGGTTTTAGATATTTGAATGCACTCCGTGATCATTAGTGTACTATTTCACCTTTAGATGATGACACGTTTTACAAAGATTGTTTCAAGTTTATTGTTAATGTTCTTGCTCTTAAACTTGGCTGATTTTTATGCTGTACAGGTGCGTCCAGCAAAACGACGCAGAAGACAGCACCAGCTAGAAGCCTGGGAGGTAGCACAAAAAGTTCACCATCATCCAGTCTACAGAGACTCCCCAACTTGTCCTCAGCCCTCCCCCCGACGACTTCTGGTCCCAGCCCTAGTACGTCATCTGGTAGTTCATGGAGAGGTTCCCCTAATGCTAGTACGCAGGCGCGAAGCTCAATGACGTCCGCCGCTGTCAAAACAACTGGAAAAACCACCAAGGATAAGACGTAAGCGTTATATGACTGGTTTCAATTCTCGGCGCACAATGTTAAAATGATCAACCAATCAGATCTCGAAACAAGTACCTGTCACCAGTGCTAATGGCGGAAAATCGCACGTGATCAAGGCATGCTTGGTCTTGCCTTCCATTGTAATAGAAAACTCTGAGAGAGAAAACGGTAGTTGGTCCTAAGGTTGGTGTGACTGTGTCGTCCAACCAGCAGAAGTTTTTTGTAACACCGTGAAACACTCAAACTTTGATATCATTGTTTTTCTTTTTTTTAGGACTGAAAAGTCAACAGCTGGAAAGAATAAAAAATCGATTCCATTGAGTTCTGGAAATTATTCCCGAGGAAGTTTCTAACTGCAAAGGTTACAAGCTTCTTCATGTGACAGTCAGTGTAGACATAAAGGACGCATTCTTTGGTGGTTCTTCAGTTAACAGGGAATAAGTCATTGCTCCTACGAGTGACAAAAATGTAACTCGAATGACTACGGAGACGGAATTCAAAAAGGAGAATATACCGGACTTATTTTTCTGGTTCTCTAAAAAGTAAAGACGTTTTTGCTTCCGTTGAATTTCAGTTCCAATCTCCTCGTGACCACTTGGGATGTATATTGCCCACGCAACGCAACTGTCGAGTTACAACTCCGAGCGACTGGGACAACGCATTTGTCACACATCTATTCAACACCGTCGGTTGTGTTTAAGCTTCTATAACTCTTTTTATTAGTGGAAAAGGTACGCTTGAAATTCGTCCGGCGTCAAGAATCCAGTTTTCATAGGACTGGATGAAAATAACTTGAGACAATTGTCTAGTTTACATTTACCCACATTTTCCTCTTGTAAATATTAATAGTGTTCAATATTCTTCTTCTAGTTCTTTCTATTTTAATCACCCGATGTCCTTTTTACGAAAAGAATATTTATATTTGATTTGCAGTTAGCAAGCTCGCAAGGCAGTTATGTAACGTAATTTATGGTAAAGAGAACTCGTTTGACAACAAACACTCTTTAAAAGTTAAAGCATTAAAAAAGTCTTCGCTGCGACATTTTGTTGCCTTAACTTCTCCTAAATTCTTGCCACGTCTTCTCGCCAAAGTGTGAAATCAGGGCTCGGAAGGCATCATGAGAAAGTTGCAAAATGCCTGGGAATGAGAAGCACAAACTCATACCCAGGACTCGCTCCTCCGCAGAGGTTTTTAAAAACCAAATCAACATTGCTTTATCATTGTTCGACATCACTGGTCCACTGAATTTTTCTTTGATCATAGAGCGCCACCTTTTAGCAAAGCCAATGTCGGGAATAAGCACCATCTAAAAAACGTTGTGAAATTTATATTAGAACTTTTTCAGCATAATCCTACTTTGGGTGTATCTAGAACTGGGTATAAGAAGCATTGAAGTGTCCCCGACTGATTGATAAATGACTTATTATGCGCGAATAATAACTGGTCACTGTATTGTCTTTTCATTTGTAAACAATACAAAAATGGCAGATGTTTTTTTCATATTTAAAGCTCGACTCGAAAAATACATTCGTAATGAGTTCCATCATTTAATATTGGCAAAATTTCGATCGTCTGTTGAAAATGAGTGATCGTTGTTCCTTGAAATATTGGCTTCTAACAGCTTTTCATAAAAATCGCTTAAGTCGGTAAGATTTTTAAAGAATAAAAAGGAATAGATGAAAACAATTAAAAGTTTACGTTAACCGGATTGCTTGGAGAATAAATACAGGTGTTTTTTGGTGACTGATTTGTCAGCTACGAGAAGCTTGACCACGATCGAAACGACGTCGATGCGTAAAAAACATGGCTTTCTCAAACTTACAAAGCGAGGAAGTTGAGGGTATTTTATCGTCCTATTTACAGAAAAACGGTATATCCGATGTAGGAATTTCAGCTGCGCAACTTCAGTCTATCTACCATAATCTAAGGCCTGGAAATTCAATAAGCTTGCATCAAGTTGCGGCAGCCATAGAAACGATTTGTTTTTGCGACTTGTGCTTAAAAGAAGAGATGATTGACGTTCTAAATGAAGTCGATCGCCGCAGTTTTCTTATGAACGATTTAAAGTGGGAATTTGAAATGCTGGATCGTGAAAACCAAGGGACTATTACGGAAGAAGAGGCTTGTTTTTTGTTGAAAGCTGTCCACGGAAAATCTGCGGAGAAAAAGTGTAGGGAATTTCTATCTAGTCGGGCTTTTCCTGGAACAAGGGTCTCTCTACAAGAAATGGAAGTTTCCCTTTGCGACTGTTCTGACTTGGAATTGTCAGATGAGGATGAAAAAGATGCCAAGACCGGTTAAACCTTTATAACAACAGACGATACTGTTTAATTGATTCAGCCTTTCGGAAAAAATTGACATTGTGAAGACTGAGTCCACTGTGTGTTTATAAAACACATAATTACCGATGTGGTAAAGGGATTAAATCAGTTACCATTTTAAAGCAAGATAACTGGATAACTAGGATACTTTGGTATAGGTTATATAAAAAAACCATTTGGAACAGTTTTCATAAACGCGTCGGTGCCTTTAAGACTGTAATTTCTTTGAAAATCGAGACATTTGCTATTTGTTAATGGGGTATTCTGGTAGTTTGGTGGACTAGGCCGACGTGATTGGCCGTTTTGATTCATTCTAGAGGACTCCTAAGACTTCTCAGACTTCTCAGATGTCTAATGCGTACAACTCCGTTAGTCGAAATACGGGAAATAATTTAAGGCAGACCCTTTTAACGTCAGAGGACTGAGCTAAACACACTTGACAGTCGTCTGAATGTAAAGACCAGACGACGCACTCAACAGCAAGTCGTTAAATTTGTCCTTGTAAATGCCTAGTATAAATACGGCCATTCTAACTCTGAACATGACGCGACTGAGATAGTTAGCATTGGTAAATAGCTAGAGCTTAGATGATAATCAGTTTGACACCCGATGGGGGAATTTGGAATGTTACCAAGTAGCTAACTTCCGAGTCATATTTACTCAAACCCTCCTCAAACAAATAATAATAAAAAATAAAACAAGACATTAAATTTCACGTGAAGTTTGAGACAGCTTTTGCTAAAGAAAACTATAGTATATTTTCTTGACGAGCAATAGGTACTCTACAGTACTTCTTATAGTAGTTTTCATGTATGACCTGTGAACCTGTCTCACACTCTTACACACTCGTTTACAGACTGGTATTTTATTGCGGTGCAGAAATGGCCTTATCTCTCCAGTTTATTTTAGTCCCAAACCCAGATGCCTCGGTAACAGTTTGATTCAACTCCCCTTATCTTTTACCCTGGGTGACAGAGGCTTTTTCATGCGCGGTTTCCGCGGTCAAGTCTTAAAAAGTGACCCGCGCGAAAACCTTCGCTGCTCGTGTCTTCGGCCTGCGGCCGACGAAACGAAGCTCCCTGTCGCACACGAGAAAAAACCTCTGGTACCCAGGGTACTTATCTTTCAACTAGTAGCTTTAATAACGCTTCCTGTACACTCTTATCAATACCAAGACCAGTGAGTACTTCATTAGGGTTAGGATGATGTCTAACCAGAGCAGACAAAGCATCCAAGTCCTCATCAGAGAGCAAGTCTTTCACCAATTTCTCAGATTCTTCCTTAAGCTTCTTTTCTGCTAAATCTCTCTCTTTTCTCTTAGCTTCAACATCCATCAAGGCAAATTCTGCTTCAAGATGTCCCATATCATTAAAACTATGATGCTGTTTGGCTTTACATCTTTGCTCAGCATCAAAATACCATATAGTAATAGCATACCTGGTACAGTAGGCTGGTAAAACCTCATGGGGATTTCGACCATCAGACCAAAACATTAGCAACCTATTAAGAACAGGTTCAACATCAATGTGATGTTTTTCTCGATAAATTCTCAACTTTCCTCCCTTGTCCTCACCCCACCCCTGGTTAAGATAATATATAACAGTGAGGCAACGACCATCTCCATCAGGATTGTCCACATGTCTCGTGTAACCTGTCCCGTTGCCTGGGTAACAAGCAACCATAGCTTTGGCACGCCCCTCAATCTGGTACCCATTGAGTCCCCCGGGCAACTCGCTACAAGATATAACCAAGCTATCAACAAACTCTATCAACTTCACAATGTTGGGAACATGTTTTTCGTTTCCTTCCAGCCAAGTTATTTCATCTCCTCGTATTCTTTTTTCTATGAATTTCTGTTCATTATCAGAAGCTGTTTTTCCTCCGCTTAGTTGTCCCTCTTGGAAAATTCCTGAAGTGTGAAGCTTTTTTACATCTTCCAATATGTTTATTGCCTCTTCGTCTCCGAACAGGTCATCAATTACACTGATATATTTTTCTTTTAAAGAACTACAAACAAACGCTGCAAGGCTTTGTGAGTCTTTCTTAGGTGGTTGTGGAAACTTTAACTTCAAATTTGGTGTTGGTAACTTCTGGATTGGCTGACAGATTGGTTTGTGAGCTTTCCAGTGTAACTTTTGGCATTCCTTACTGCAGTAGAAAACAGATTTGCATCTTGAGCATTTGAGCAAATTCGTTTTTTCCAGGGAGCAAGACGCACAAGAAAGCAACGTCGCCATTGTCGTGCATCCTAGTGCCAATCTCTTTCAGATATTCAGCTCGTGAGGAAGAGGAAGAATGAGAACAAATGACGTAGCCTTAAAACTAAATCCGCTGTACATGAAGATAAACAAGGAACAAAAAAGAAAATGGCGACCAAGGTTGTGGCGTTATAGCTGTGGATTTATGATCGTTTTATTTTAATTCTGACCGTTTATTTGTTGAAAAAGAAAAGAAGATAACATTGATATTCCTTCAAAATGGTTCTCGCGGACTTAGGACGTAAAATCACGACAGCACTTCGCTCTTTGAGCAATGCTACTGTTATCAATGAAGAGGTATGGAGAGAGTTGTTGCCTTTTGCTTTTCTACAATTAAACTTATCTTACAGCTTATTTTATCTGCTGAAATCCGGATGTAATTAACCTGCAACTTATTCGCACAGTGCATTGCTAAATTCAGGGAAAACTATTGAGATAAATGTAAATGACCAAGGGATTAATGGTTGGTCTCAGTGTTTGTGAAGTAAAATAAGTATATTGATTTCCTTTTTTGAAATTACCCTTGGGATGTCAAAGTTTGCTCACATTAATCTCATGTGTGATTGTGTTTTGAATTGTTTTTGTTTAATCCTTGCCTTTTTGAAAAATTTTTGTTGAAACCTTGTCTTTTTGTGCAGGAAAAGAACTCTAAAAAAACTTGTACGAGTCCAAAGTGCTCATCTTTCAAGGCTCTTGAAGTGTTGAGTCATGAGTGATTAGAAAGTTTCAAGAAAGTTTGTGTATTCGTTATGTAGAGGACTAGATGACATCTGGGTGAATTAAAAATGAAGACTAAATTGTCGGAAAGATAACTAGTGCAGATCCAGAGTTAGTTATCAGGACAACATATTTGTTATATTTGCAGTTAATCCGGTATTACACTTGGTTTATAAAGAGAAAACTTGTCCTACGTAGAAGGGTCACTCCCCTACCCGAGCTACCCTGGACGAGTTGCCTTTTCCTACATTTCCTTACAAAACTTGGTGAACCTTTTACAGTAGAAACAAAAAATCTGGTCAGGCTAGAACAGGTGACCTACGTAGCTGGTTTTCCCTTTTTTGATTGTAGAGTCACGCTCTTAGCCGCACCAACTTTTCGTGACAAAAACTCTTTAGCTCACCCAGCTGGATCAACTCAGTCAAAGAGAGACAATCAGTGTGTGCACGAGTGCTTTTTTAAGCTCTTGGCTCGGGCAAAGGTTACACTTTTTTCTCATATAAACACTCACAAAAGTTGATTCAGCTGAGAGGGAGACCCCTTTTTGCCGGGGCAACTTTTCTCCATATAAACAGTGCCTTAGAGCTAACCAGGCTTCCGACAACTTAGCCTTGGCTGTTAACCTTTTAATTTGTAGGTCTTAAGTGTGATCAACTACAGTTTTTCCTTAACAACATCAGTACATCATCAATTGAAAATTTTATGAGGATTAACCAAATTGTCACAAAGGGAATGCTTTATATGTTACAATATGGTTTAAATGTCTGAATCATCCTTTGTGAAGTTGATCTGAACTTAACTAAAGGCATTAAACTTCCTATATTATTACAAGATGTCAAGGATATCAGAGTTGTTTTATTGTTCTTCTTGTACTTATACAGCCAATCACAGTACTGTAATAAAAAAAAGCCACCACCCAGTGTACTGGTTGTGTAATGTTAACACAGAATATTAACCCTTGTACTGTATGGAAACCAAGGCCTTTAATCAAGGCTACATTATATTAATTTTTTAATGACAGGTCCTTGGTGCTATGCTTAAGGAAGTATGTGCTGCATTGCTGGAGGCTGACGTTAACGTGCAGCTTGTTAAAAGACTCAGGGAAAATGTCAGGTAAAAAAATAATATAAAAGATAAAAACTCCGTAGGCAACCCACATTGTCACTATATTTTTAGCTAGATTTTGGTATTTCAATCAGGTTTGGCATGCACCTGGACAGTCCTCGAATTTTAGAATAAAAATTCAAGGCTTTGAAAGTCCTTGAAAATTGAAGTCAGTGCTGGAAAGTCCTTTAATTTTGGTGCTATAACTTTATCCAACCCAGATTCTCAAGTGCCTGAAAGAAGCAAACATAGAAAGACCTTCAGGATAGAATTGCTCATGTGAGGAAGAACTGGAAAAGACATAGATTCAGGGCTCTTTTTTGCACTGAATGGAATCCTTGAAAAAATGGGAAATGGGTCCCTCAAAGTCCTTGAAAAGTCCTTGAATTTTTTGTTCAAGAAAGGGTACAAACCCTGTTCAATTTTATTTTCAAAGATTACATCAAGCAAGTCTCTTTGTAAAGAGATTCAAAAAAGTCTGTTACTGTTGAACTTCAAAATTGTCATCTTTATAAAGAAATGTACACAAAATGTAATTTTTGGATTTTGTATTTTTGTTTAAATCAGATCTGCCATAGATTTTGATGACATGGCTGCAGGATTAAACAAGAGAAGAATGATTCAACATGCTGTGTTCCAGGAGCTTTGCAAGGTCAGTGTGGTGAAGATTCTTGGTTAGCTATCAACTACCATTTTATAATGGAATTAGACAGCCACAGGGATAAGAACGGCTAGCCTGGTATGCTGGCGTGTATATTCTGACTGTCCCTTCTCTTAGCAGAGAGAAACAACAGCCAACATATGCCAGTGCTTGCATATGAAGGCTAATAAAGGGCATCAGAAAGGGTCAAAAGCAAGACTTTTGATCGGTAACCAAAACATGTCTCTCATACTGTGTAAATTCTTTGACAGCAGTTTCAAATTTCTTGCGTGAAAGGTTTTATAGAGAACATGAACCAATGGTCGTAAATTTTTACCACGTGATTCTCTGTCTTAACTCCTTGCCATTTTCATGCTCATTTAAGCTCTTTTCTCCTGACTTGTTTAAATTTGGAGTGATGTTCATGAAAACACTTGTGGCATTTTCTTAAGCAAGCCACTCTTATTTGTATAATCAACTTGTTTAACAGCACTTCATTACTGATTTTTTTCCCATATACACAGCTTGTTGATCCTGGTGTGAAAGCTTGGAATCCCACTAAAGGAAAACAGAATGTTATCATGTTTGTTGGTCTGCAGGGAAGTGGAAAGACTACAACGTGTAGTAAGGTACACTCGTAACGTCTTATTTATCGTTATAACATCTGGCAAAATGTATATTTTCAAGAAGGGAGGATATTGTGAACTACACTGTATGGCTTTGATGAGTCAGCCAGAAGACAAATGACATTTAGCAACATCAAAGGACTTCAGTTACTGGCAGTCTCATATATCTTGTCCGATAAAAAAGCAGAAGGCAGTTTGGAATGAGGCTAAAGCAGTTCATATAACTTGAGGCTTTGTTTTAAAGCTATCACATCCCTTCAAATTTTCCACTTCAGCAGTTAGGTATCAAAGCCCTGCATAACTTAAACCTTGGTAATAGATAACATCAATGAATGGCCCAGAAGCCAAAATGGCCATTGAATTTGACTTATTTAGCCTCTTAAGCCATACAGAATGTATCTCCTTTGTTACATTTCAAGATAATACAGCCAACTGAAACATGCTCTGGGCCATCTTTATGTACTCTTGAAAAATGTAACTTTTGTAGTCACTTATGTCAGTTCTCAACTTTTTTTTTGCATTGCATTCATTTTAAAATAGTTTGTACTAGTTTTTGCTTGACAATATTTTTGTGCAAACATGATATTTTTTGTTTGTAATTATTGCAGTTAGCATACTTTTATCAGAGGAAAGGTTGGAAGACTTGTCTAATTTGTGCAGACACGTTCAGAGCAGGTCAGTAAAAACCCAGAACTACACATGTTAAGATGCTCATCCTTCATTATTCATAACTGTGGTGCCAGACCCATCCAGTCTCATCAGTCCAGTTTCATCATTATTAATCAGTACTGTCCTTCCAGATCAGTTTCCTAAAATTAATAGCATGCACTGCAGTGATAGGATTTTATCAAAAGCTCTTGAGAAAAGACCATTTCATTTTCAAGATGACACTGGTCCACCAGGCTATCTCTGACTTTTGCTGTACACCCAAACACTTTGAAGTTTGAGATATTGATTTCAGGAATAATTAATAATAATAATAATATGTACAATGCAATCTGTATTAAGCAGACAATACAAACTATGTTTGATTCTGTTTCATTTTCAGGTGCATTTGATCAGCTCAAACAGAATGCCACTAAAGCTAGAATACCATTTTATGGAAGGTAACAGCATAATCATTTTTTCCTCCTTTTTTGTTTGATTTATTCTTGCAAATCTATTCATGATCCAGCAAGGTATAGGTTCACTGTGGGCTAATGGAGCTCAAACAGCTGGTGATCATCCCAGTTTCTTTAGATTGAAGCACTTAAGAATTATTACTACACACTCTGGATGGGATGCTAGTTCACTGCAGGGCTTCCCCCATTAGTATATCACTAGTATCCATTAATTTTATACTCCTGGGCCGAGTTGTTCAAAGCTGAGTTAAGATAACCCAGGGTTAGTGCGAGATTTGAATTCAGATTTGAAAGCTTAAAAGCGTTTCAGTTTTAATTCTTTTTGTCTACAAGTTGATGATTGGAAGCTCTAAAAACAATGGAGAAAATTATCCGAGAAAAAGCTTTAGAACATAAGAAAAAGAAACCTGGGTTAAATCTAACCCCGAGTTAAGCGCTAATCGGCCTTTGAACAACTGGGCCCAGGATGAAGAGAGACAAAGTGGAGCAAAGTTTCTTGTCTAACCTGTCAACTGCTCAGTCACTGCGCCCATGAAAATATATTAATAGTATTTTTTATTTAGTCATACAACTACTGTACTTTACAACTTTGTCTGAACTTGAATCCAATATCGTTTTCAGTTACACTGAAATGGACCCTGTTGTCATAGCTCAAGAAGGTGTAGATAAGTTTAAACAAGAAAACTTTGAGATAATCATTGTAGATACCAGGTATGTTTGTAGTGTGTTCTTTTTCCTTGTTATTTTCTTGTTGTTTATAAACTCAAATAATTTGATTACCTTTTAGTGGTTAGAAATTTGAGAGGTTTTTGTTCAAGTTCATTCTTTAGTGAGGTAATTTAGTTACCTTCTAATAAAAGATGTAACTGTTCACAGTGGACGACATAAGCAAGAGGAGTCACTTTTTGAGGAAATGCTTCAAGTCTCTAATGCAGTTGTAAGTACAAAATCAGTATTGACTTGCCCAACATTTGTCAGCTGGGAGTCTTAACAGGGAAACTTTGGACTTTCTTATGACTTTTTGTCATGTAATAAACTCATCAATAAAACGTGAGCTTGGGATTAGTTGCCAACAGGTGGGGGATGGAGGGGGGTGTTGTAGGGTGGGTTAAGCAGTCAAACAAGCATCATTGAATCTGTGAATGTTTCCATGGCTACCCCGTGGTAGACCACCACCTAGGTGCATGTTACATTGACAGAGACAGACATGCTTCCCAGAAAAAATACCTTGCCTTTATGGGAGGTCTGGGATGATTTGTGACGGGCGAGATGAGAGATATCCACAAATATCAGAAATGCCAACAAAAGAGTGCTGATAGTCAGTTACCCGCAGTTGGGGCACCCTGCACGTCTATGCAGGCAGTAACTGCTGACCTACAACTGGGTTGAGTTTAACTTGACATCAATTGCATTTAGCCACAACAGCTTGTTCATTTTGTTTCACTATCTTTCAGAATCCAGACAATGTTATATTTGTGATGGATGCAACAATAGGTCAGGCATGTGAGTCACAGGTAAATTTCATGTTTCTAACAGCTTTGATTTAGTCTTATGTGTTATAAACATGTGTTACTTTTCCATTCAGATGATGGAGGGTACTTCTTGGTTCAAATTTAATAATATTCTAGTGTTAAAAATTGTCAGTAACATTATTTTTTGTCTTTGATTTTGTGCGTTGACTTCATTTATTTCATTTTGTAACTAAAAATTTCTTGTTAGGCCAAGGCCTTCAAAGACAAAGTGGATGTAGCATCAGTCATTGTTACTAAATTAGATGGACATGCGAAGGGTGGAGGTGCATTAAGTGCGTAAGTATATCCTCCACCCCACAATAAAAAATCCCAACTCAAAGTTTTACTAACAAAGTTGCAACATTGTAGCTACCTCATCAGTACCATTTTATCATCATCCCATCTTCAGGATCATCATCATCATCATTAATATCATCATCATCATCATTATCATCATCATCATCATTGAATCATCATCAATATCAATATAACATGAGTTAAGTATACATTCAATGCAACATCAACCCTTTTACCAAGCTCTTTATGAATACTTGCTGCCCCTGTTTCTCTCAGTTGTGCATCATTCATTGAAAGTAGTCATTGTTTAATTAGTTTATAGACATTGCTTTTTTTCCCAACACACTTCCTGTGGTTTTCTTGCAGAGTTGCAGCCACCAAAAGTCCTATTATCTTTATTGGTACTGGAGAGCACATCGATGACTTTGAACCTTTTAAAACCAGGCCTTTTATTAGTAAATTATTGGGTAAGTTGTGCAACAATAGAAATCTCTTCAGTGTATGTGTTCAGGGTTATACCTCCTTTTCACTAGTTAATAAACACTTTCTTTTTGACTAATATGTCTGCTCTGTAATTTTTCATTAGGAATGGGAGACATTGAAGGCTTGATTGACAAAGTTAATGAACTGAAGCTTGAGGACAATGAAGAACTTATTGACAAACTTAAACATGGTTAACAAATTTTAAGTTATATGATTTCAAGCAAGAGTTTATTTCCTGATTTTGTCACATATTTTTCTCATCATCGAATGGATGATAAAATTGAAAGCTGATATTGTTACTTTATTTATTTTAGGAGTCTTTAGTTTACGAGACATGTATGAACAGTTCCAGAACATCATGAAGATGGGACCATTTGGCCAGATCATGGTAAGGACTGGTTTCGTTGCTATATGTTTTAAGACTTTGTCAATAAACTCTTCCAACTGGTGGATGCTTTTGCATCGCAGTTCTATGGCTTATACCAAATGGAAAACGCAAGAAAGAAATGGGCAAAATATTGATGACATGGAAGCGCTTAAATCTAGGGGTAAGGGAACCTGGAGAGAAGCCCTCCTGGTGGAAGACAAGATCGAGTGGTACCGGAGGAAGGACAGGAGTCCTGATTAGTCTCAGGGGGGGGGGTTTGGGGGTGAGGCCCATATCCCCTAGTCACTAGGAACTAAAGGGAACCAGGAAACATGACGTTCTTTTTCTTTTTTCTATTTGTAGGGTATGATTCCAGGCTTTAGCAGTGACTTTTTGTCCAAAGGAAATGAGCAAGAGTCTATGGCAAGATTAAAGAAACTCATGACAATTATGGACAGCATGAATGATGAAGGTATGATTGACCCTACAGGAGGCTTGGCTTATTTTTTTATACGTTATTATTTTTAAAATGAGGAAGTTTAATTTGAAGTATATATCACTAGGTAAGCATTTCCCCAGAATCTTTTATTGTCCACTCATTCTATCCACCATGCTTACAAACTAAATTTATGAAATTTGGATACTCTTTACAGAGCTCGACAGTCCAAATGGTGCCAAACTGTTTTCACGCCAACCAGGAAGATGCACACGTGTTGCACGTGGGTGTGGTGTGTCAGTGCGTGAGGTGCAGGAACTTTTGTCTCAGTACACAAAATTCGCCGCGATGGTTAAAAAGATGGGAGGAATAAAGGGCTTATTTAAAGGTAGAGCGCTTGATTTTCTTTTTGTTCACAGTTCAGGGGATGGAGACAGCGGACATTTCATGCTTTGTGGTAGACATCCCCTTTAACTTTTTTTTACACCTCCTTGTTAGCAGCCAAAAAGCATTTTTGGTCATTTTATGTATCTTTTTAAAGTGAGGGTACAAAGGTAACCAATTATAGTGTAAAGGATTAGATATCAGTAACTTTAAAAAAATGTATTACAACAGCATTTATCTTAGGTAGGTTAGTGCTAGGCTTTGACATCATTTTACTTAATAAAGAAAGATTTAAAAAATTAAAGCCTATTTACTAATCTCCAATTTCTTATTTTCTTTCTCTTTCAGGTGGTGACATGAGTAAAAATGTAAATCCATCACAGATGGCCAAACTTAATCAACAGATGGCTAAAATGATGGATCCCAGAGTTCTTCAACAAATGGGTCAGTAAACTTGCGTATTTTTTCATGGTCAACCAGTGTCACGGTATTGGAATTTAAGGACAACTGGCTATTGTTTTGTTTTCTTGGCAGTGAGCTTTATTAAATGTTCTTTTTTTTGCCTAATCATGTTAGTTAGTGCTGCAAAAGGCTGTGAGTAACTTTCTGAATAAATTCCTCTAATCAACAACTAGCTCTTCACACCCTCTCAGTCGCTAATTTTACTGAAAATAGAGAAAGATAATTACAGTTACACTATGGTCCATTCACACATTAAACGATAAGAGAGTTTGCCTGTGATATATATTGAAAGTTGGAAACTGTTTATGTCCTTAAGCAGAAGATTCACCAAAGAGTGTGCAGGCCTAGTGACCGCAGGATGTTTGTAGCAAAATTATAACCCCATGCGTCACCACTGTTTTATTTTCAGGTGGAACTCAAGGCCTTCAGTCCATGATGCGGCAGTTTCAACAAGGAGCAGCTGCTCACTCCACAGGGAGCAGAAAATAACCAACAATAAAAACTTCCATAATAAATAAGACTACAACGACAAGAGTAACGAAAAATAAAAAGGACAGTTTAAGAACCAAAATTTTTAGAAGTAGGTCACAACTTGAGGGTGGTTTGTTTTGAATGTTTTTTTTTTTTTGCTCTTAACTCTCCACTTGAATTTGCAAGGCTTAACCCGGAAGTGAAGGTATAAAGCGGCAAATTATAGCGCTTAAGAGGAAACTGCTTTTTGGAGACGTAAAACAGTGCTTTTGCAACTGTGTTTTTTCACAAAATGCAAAAGTCTGTAAGCTACCCGTAAAGTAGACTGCTGTTGTGTTAAACTGGTCTTTGACCGTTCTTGGAAGTCTTACTCTCTTTAAACTGTGTTGGTTTTACTGATATTAATTTATAACAAAATGAATCCTGATTCAATTTCCACGAGAAATTATTTGTTCATGTTGAAAATCAGGATCAGGTTACAATAGGTATAATCTACTCCCTTATATTGCCTTTTATTTTCATTTCTTTGCAATGAAAATATCTTAGGTTAATTGGCACTCTCTACCATTTTTTCATTAATGTAAATTACCTAAAATTTAGTAGATATTAAAGTCAATAAAGTGATCAGAATATATTATTGTAGGCGTATTTTTATCTTTTAGTTACAGATGGTCAGTTCTTAATGGCGTTATGATTATTAAAACCTGCATAAAAAATTGGGAATAGCCTACTTTTGGTTTTTAAAAATCCCAAAACAACTTATCTCAGGAGACGTAATTGCCCATATGAGGTGGGGAGCAGAAAAGGTTAAAAAATGCAAAAGATTATTACTAATTAACTGAAAGACACAAAATACTGGTAGCGTTAATAATTGCTTTTGTAACGATTTGACTAAATTGAAGACCTGTTTAACAAAAAAGATTTGATTAAATGGAAAACCCGTTTTGGTCATAAAACTGAGTTCGAATACAAAACCTAATAAAAGCAGATAAAAAACATTGGTCTGAACTAGGGAAATAATTATAAGCCTCTGGTCCTGTCCCTTAGGGAAAACAATTTTGCATAAATAGGGTAAGGGTTTTGGGAGCGGGCACAATTTTTTTGAGACTAGCCTCTGGTCCTGCCCTTGATGTGATCTAAGATTATTTTCACAGGAGCAGCTTTAGATGACACATACTGACAAAAAACACATCTGCATTTTGTTTTAGCGTTTGAAATTTGTGTGAAATTTGTGGTATTGGGAAATTTTTGAGGCCTCCATCTTGAAAATGTCAATTTCCGCCAGGCGTTACTTGCGCTTACGTCATCTCCCATGAACCTTGTTGCGCCCTCTTTTGCTCTCGACAAGATGGCGGTAAGGACATAGATTCACGTGGCCGAAGAAAAACCTACTTCTGTCCTTTTTCTCTCCGCTTTTCCCCGATTTTCTCGCTATTTTTGTTGAGTTTTAATCTTCCTAGAAACGAATATGATTTTTATATTAAAACTGGGGTCATTATAGCGTGATCTGGAGTGAAATCGATGATAGTTGCAGTGGTCAATTTCCTTACTGCCCAACCTGTTTTCTTGATACATGGACTTATTTTAGTCGCCTTTTAGGACACCATTTTTTATCTGCAACTTGCTGTTAAAGCTTAGGGTTTTTTCCGACGAATTAAAACCTTTCCTCCTTATTGAAAGTGTCGTATCATGATAGTCACAAGAAAATCCATAGTTTGGGAGGTCCCGGCGAACAATTTCAAATCAGATTTTAACTTGAACTTCAAGGCATTGTTCTTTTTACGTACTTGTTGATTTCGACTTTCATCTCTTCAGATGTGGTTTTAAGTTTGAGGCTCTTGTTTTCTTGTACTTCGTGCAACAGCAGGAATATACTTTTTCGGGCTAGACATTTTAAGTCGCTTTCTTTTAATTTCCAAACTTGAGTGGCGAAGAATGATTTCTCGACTTAGAAATTCATTTTATAAGTGGTTGTATTTTGGTTATTGTTATTGAAGATTCTGGTAAAGCGTATTGTTACCCAATTACAGTACATTGTATGGGAAAAGCCCCTGTTAATACATCAAATACATTTTACTACTTCCTCTTGGCACCTTGTTATAGAGGTCCCAATGTCCATGTTTGTAAACGTTGTGTTTATAAAATTGTACCATTACAATGACTGTTTTTAATTGTAAGCCTGGAAAATGTGTTTGTTGTATTTTATCCGAGTCACTATACTGTAATAAATTGGGGGAAAATACCATTTAGAGTAACAAAGAACCCATAGTTTGATTATGATACTGGAATCTTTGTTATAAAGAGGTATGTGACTTACTGTCCTTGATTTAGTATGCTGTTGCATTCTTTCATGTTTGATTGCAAAATGATCAAGTCGCTTATTTCAGGGAATCTTATCGCCCTGACACCATTTTGTTGAACAAGTTAGGTATTTAAGGGAGGCTCAGACATGATTTTGTTGAACAAGTTTAACATGTCAGGGAATTTTATAGCTATGATACCATTTTGTTTTAGTCCGGGGAGAAATCCCAGAAACAGAATGTTATGAAAGAGCTCCGCATTAGGAAACTATGCTTGAACATCTGTGTTGGTGAGAGTGGAGATCGTCTGACGAGAGCTGCTAAAGTTTTGGAACAACTCACTGGACAGCAGCCAGTGTTTTCCAAAGGTATGTATTTTTATTTATGTTCAGAAAGAATGTTCAGCAAAGAAAATCATCTGCAAATAAATTCTAAAAAACTCTACTCTATGAAGAGTAAATTTAATGCTGTGATTTAATTATTACTCTTTTCAGCCCGTTACACTGTGCGGTCATTTGGCATTCGTCGTAATGAGAAGATTGCTGTTCATTGTACTGTACGAGGTGCTAAGGCTGAAGAAATCCTTGAGAAAGGTTTGAAGGTATGTCGTTTACTAGGTCATGATGTACAAATCTGTGATACTGGGTATCCGTAATGCTTAAAGAGAACACGGCCAATTTTCTGTGTTTACAGACAAGTAAAGTTTATTCCAACAGAATAAAAGTGTTCATTGGTTATGAAACTTTCACAATTATTCCGCCATTTCATTGGACACAGGGTTTTAGCTAAGGAAAAGCTAAGCAGGTTTTTTTTGTATCAGTGTCTTTGTTTTCAGTTTGGGTTGGTGCTGAGGTCTTTTTCACAGGTGAAATTAGCCGGCAGCCTGCTCCTTAGCAACATACCCAGGGTTGTCACTAAAATTTCAAGTTGCCGGGTAAATACAACAAGTAGGCGGGGAATCAAACAGCAAGGAATTTCTTTCAGTTCTATTTTTCTTCTATTTTCCAATAAAAGTAGCCGAGGACCACACTCATAGTAGCCGGGGGAAATCCCCGGCCCCCGGCTCTTAATGACAGCCCTGATACCTGTATACAGTTTACTGTAAATGGCCTAATAAACACCTGGGATGTCTATTTAGTTTTAGGGGTCCAAGTGGGTCCGTTTAATAGATAAGCAAGTGTTCTCATAACTGCAACAAGCTCAAGAAAACTAATATGCTTTTGGCAAAAACATCAAGATAGTTGGATGTAGTTTCTGATATTTCTCTAAGGACAATACAGTGAGATTTTTTTTGTTCCTTGTCTATCAAAAGGTTCGTGAATATGAGCTGTCAAAGGATAACTTCTCCCGCACTGGTAACTTTGGCTTTGGTATCCAGGAACACATTGATCTTGGAATCAAATATGACCCCAGTATTGGTATTTATGGTATGGATTTCTACGTTGTCTTGGGACGCCCTGGATTCAACGTTTCTAAACGAAAAAGGAAGCAAAGTAGAATTGGGTTTAAACACCTTATAACAAAGGAGGAGGCTATGAAGTGGTTCCAACAGAAGGTAAGGATGTTAAAAAAAACTGACTTTATAAGGGAAAAACGGTTGCTTTTGTACTGTTAAACCAATGGTTTTCATTGTGGGCACCAAGGCTGTGCTCTAGCAGTGCCTGGTGGCCTGTGGCACCTAACTTTTGTTCTCGGGCGACTAGAAGATCTTAGGTTTTGCATACAAATCCTCTGCTGGGCACCCTGGATTTCACAGGTCCAGACCACTGGGCTCCCTTCAATTTTTTGTAGAGCTCAACCTTGGGGCCACAGGGGTAATAATCCCAACTGGCTGAAGGCAAACTAGTTTGTTATTTACAGGGTTAATAGATGGAGGGGTTAAACTCGGGAGTACTGAGAACAATCCAGCTATTGATTAGGGCAGGTACTGAGCACACACTTTCTAGATTACAATTCCACTGCTCTTGGACACTCTTCCTCCATAGTTTCTTTACAGTACAAACTGTATCAGTATTTCTACTGGACAAAGTTTTCACCTTCTTTTTCACATGTTCTGAAGGTTGTCGATAATTATTTTGATGGTTTATATGATACCCAGTCAAAGTCAATGATGTTTTAGAGGTGGATTTGTGCTCTTTTGAGTAACCTGTGAATATAGCATCTTCTTTTCAGTCTCTGTCACACATTTGTTCATAAGATCTGCATTTTGGTCCCCAAAATTCCATACTAATGACGTAAATCATTGGTTACTATTATTACTTGTACGTAGTCATGCAGTTTTTAAATGTTTCTCTTGGGCAATAATAATAATTATTATTATTGTAATATTTTGAATCCTATTGAGAATTGACTTCTTCTTCTGCATTGTTAACCAAATTTTCCTCATCAATATCAATATCAATATCATCAAGATTTGTTAATATTTTCTTGTCTTTCAGTATGATGGTATACTGCTGTCTACCAAGAAGAAGTGATGGAGCCTTTTTTTTTTTGTAAATTCCTTGTCCTGAAATCTCATACTTTAATATCAATTAAATGCTGGAGCGAAAAATACTTCTTCTGACTGATCAATGTGTTGTCACATCAGTGGTCTTTTAGAACAGAGTTATTTTCTAATATGCCCACAATTTGATTAAAGACTTACTACAAGATGAAAAATTAAATTTGTAGCAGATCTTCACAGTTCTAGAGAGAACTTTTGCAGTTGTGAAAGGAAAGTCAAAAATCTAAAAAAATAATCCAAAAATACTGAATTTTTTCAAGTTTTTTTCTTTTTGCAACTACAAAAGTTGCATCTTTAATTAATATTTTGTTTACATTTAGATTTTATTACTATTTTACACTTATCCTTAGAAGCCATCAATTTATTATCTTCAACTGGCATCATGAGCTAATTTAACCTAAAGATTATAATGAAATATAAAAAAGAAAATTAAAAATTTTTGCTAAAAGAAAGGACTCACCCCTTTGCAAAATATCCAATTTGCAGACTATGTAAAATGTATATTTTTACACTCTAAAAATTCAAAATAGACCCCGAATTGATGTTTGGGGATCTTGTAGATAGAAAAACAAGCCCTTTTTTTTTTCAACTTTTCGACTTTTTAAACTTCTCGTTTTTATAGCCTAGAGAGGCGTTTTTTCGTTCTACAATATCGTAAAACACATTTTCCTGGCCTATATTGCCTAACAAAAAAGATGGAAAAACGCCAATTTTTGACCAAAACCATGGGTTAACCCCTTTGGAAAAATATCAATTTTTCGACTTTTTGAACTTGTTGTTTTTATAGCAAACAAAGGTGTTTTTTCCTTCTAGAATATCGTAAAACACATTTTCCTGGCCTATATTGCCTAAAAAAAAAAGATGGAAAAATGGTCAATTTTTGACCAAAACCATGGGTTAACCCCTTTGGAAAAATCTCAATTTTTCGACTTTTTGAACTTGTTGTTTTTATAGCCTAGAAAGGCGTTTTTTCGTTCTAGAATATCGTAAAACACATTTTCCTGGCCTATATTGCCTAAAAAAAAACGATGGGAAAATGGCCAATTTTTGACCAAAACCATGGGTTAACCCCTTTGGAAAAATGTCAATTTTTCGACTTTTTGAACTTGTTGTTTTTATAGCCTACAAAGGCGTTTTTTCGTTCCAGAATATCGTAAAACACATTTTCCTGGCCTATATTGCCTAAAAAAAAAGATGGAAAAACGGCCAATTTTTGACCAAAACCATGGGTTAACCCCTTTGGAAAAATATCAATTTTCCGACTTTTTGAACGTGTTGTTTTTAAAGCCTAGAAAGGTGTTTTTTCCTTCTAGAATATCGTAAAACACATTTTCCTCCCCTATATTGCCTAAAAAGAAAAAACAATGGGAAAATCGCCAATTTTTGACCAAAACCATGGGTTAACCACTTTGGAAAAATCTCAATTTTTCGACTTTTTCAACTTGTTGTTTTTATAGCCTAGAAAGGCGTTTTTGCGTTCTAGAATATCGTAAAACACATTTTCCTGGCCTATATTGCCTAAAAAAAAAACGATAGGAAAATGGCCAATTTTTGACCAAAACCATGGGTTAACCCCTTTGGAAAAATCTCAGTTTTTCGACTTTTTGAACTTGGTGTTTTTATAGCCTAAAAAGGTGTTTTTTCGTTCTACAAATATCGCAAAACACATTTTCCTGGCCTATATTGCCTAAAAAAAAAACCATGCGAAAATGGCCAATTTTTGACCAAAACAATGGGTTAACCCCTTTGAAAAAATCTCAATTTTTCGACTTTTTGAACTTGTTGTTTTTATAGCCTAGAAAGGTGTCTTTTTCGTTCTAGAATATCGCAAAACAGATTTTCCGGGCCTATATTGCCCAAAAAAAAAACGATCGGCAAATGGCCAATTTTTAACCAAAACCATGGGTTAGCCCCTTTGGAAAAATCTCAATTTTTCGACTGTTTGAACTTGTTGTTTTTATAGCCTAGAAAGGCGTTTTTTCGTTCTAGAATATCGTGAAACACATTTTCCCGGCCTATATTGCCTAAAAAAAAGCGATGGAAAAACGGCCAATTTTTGACCAAAACCATGGGTTAACCCCTTTGGAAAAATCTCAATTTTTCGACTGTTTGAACTTGTTGTTTTTATAGCCTAGAAAGGTGTTTTTTCGTTCTAGAATATCGTAAAACACATTTTCCTGGCCTATATTGCCTAAAAAAAAAACGATGGGAAAATGGGCAATTTTTCACCAAAACCATGGGTTAACCCCTTTGAAAAAATATCAATTTTTCGACTTTTTGAACTGGTTGTTTTTATAGCCTAAAAAGGTGTTTTTTCGTTTCAAAATATCGTAAAACACATTTTCCTGGCCTATATTGCCTAAAAAAAAAAAAAGATGGGAAAATGGCCAATTTTTAACCAAAACCATGGGTTAACCCCTTTGAAAAAATCTCAATTTTTCGACTTTTTGAACTGGTTGTTTTTATAGCCTAGAAAGGTGTTTTTTCGTTCTAGAATATCGTAAAACACATTTTCCTGGCCTATATTGCCTAAAAAAAAAGATGGAAAAACGACCAATTTTTGACCCAAACCATGGGTTAACCCCTTTGGAAAAATCTCAATTTTTCGACTGTTTGAACTTGTTGTTTTTATAGCCTAAAAAGGTGTTTTTTCGTTTTAAAATATCGTAAAACACATTTTGCTGGCCTATATTGCCTAAAAAAAAAACCATGGAAAAATCGCCAATTTTTGACCCAAACCATGGGTTAACCCCTTTGGAAAAATTTCAATTTTTCGAGTTTTTGAACTTGTTGTTTTTATAGCCTAGAAAGGCGTCTTTTCGTTTTAGAATATCGTAAAACACATTTTCCTGGCCTATAATGCCTAAAAAAAAGCGATGGAAAAATCGCCAATTTTTGACCAAAACCATGGGTTAACCACTTTGGAAAAATCTCAATTTTTTTTTACTGTTTTAACTTGTTGTTTTTATAGCCTATAAAAGGCGTTTTTTCCTTCTAGAATATCGTAAAACACATTTTCCTGGCCTATATTGCCTAAAAAAAAAGATGGAAAAACGGCCAATTTTTGACAAAAACCATGGGTTAACCCCTTTGGAAAAATCTCAATTTTTCGACTGTTTGAACTTGTTGTTTTTATAGCCTAAAAAGGTGTTTTTTCGTTTTAGAATATCGTAAAACACATTTTCCTGGCCTATATTGCCTAAAAAAAAAACGATGGGAAAATGGCTAATTTTTAACCAAAACCATGGGTTAACCACTTTGGAAAAATCTCAATTTTTCGACTTTTTGAACTTGTTGTTTTTCTAGCCTAGAAAGGTGTTTTTTCGTTCTAGAATATCGTAGAACAGATTTTCCTGGCCTATATTGCCTAAAAAAAAGGTGGAAAAATGGCCAATTTTTGACCAAAACCATGGGTTAACCGCTTTGGAAAAATCTCAATTTTTCGACTTTTTCAACTTGTTGTTTTTATAGCCTAAAAAGGTGTTTTTGCGTTCTAGAATATCGTAAAACACATTCTCCTGGCCTATATTGCCTAAAAAAAAAACCATGGAAAAATGGCCAATTTTTGACCCAAACCATGGGTTTAACCCCTTTGGAAAAATTTCAATTTTTCGACTTTTTGAACTTGTTGTTTTTATAGCCTAGAAAGGCGTCTTTTCGTTCTAGACTATCGTAAAACACAATTTCCTAGCCTATAATGCCTAAAAAAAAGCGATGCAAAAATGGCCAATTTTTGACCAAAACCATGGGTTAACCCCTTTGGAAAAATCTCAATTTTTCGACTTTTTGATTTTCTTGTTTTTATAGCCTAGAGAGGCGTTTTTTCGTTCTAGAATATCGTAAAACACATTTTCCTGGCCTATATTGCCTAAAAAAAAAAAGATGGAAAAATGGTCAATTTTTGACCAAAACCACCTTTGGAAAAATGTCAATTTTTCGACTTTTTGAACTTTTGGAAAGGTGTTTTTTCGTTTTTCGACTATATTGGCTAAAAAAAAAAGATGGAAAAATGGTCAATTTTTGACCAAAACCATAGGTTAACCGCTTTGGAAAAATATCAATTTTTCGACGTTTCGAACTTGTTGTTTTTAAAGCCTAGAAAGGTGTTTTTTCGTTCTAGAATATGGTACAACAGATTTTCCTGGCCTATATTGCCTAAAAAAAAACCATGGAAAAATGGCCAATTTTTGACCAAAACCATGGCTTAACCCCTTTGGAAAAATCTCAATTTATCGACTTTTTGAACTTGTTGTTTCTATAGCCTAAAAAGGTGTTTTTTCGTTCTACAAATATCGCTAAACACATTTTCCTGGCCTATATTGCCTAAAAAAAAACCCTGCGAAAATGGCCAATTTTTGACCAAAACCATGGGTTAACCCGTTTGGAAAAATCTTAATTTATCGACTTTTTGACGTTCTGGTTTTTATAGCCTAGAGAGGCGTTTGTTGGTTCTAGAATATCGTAAAACACATTTTTGTGGCTTCTATTGCCTAAAAATAAAAGATAGAAAAATGGCCAATTTTGACCAAAACCATAGGTTAACCCCTCTGGAAAAATCTCAATTTTTCCACTTTTTGAACTTTTTGTTTTTATAGCCTAGAAAGGCTTTTTTTCGTTCTAGAATATCGTAAAACACCCTTTCCTTGCCCATATTGCAAAAAAAAAGAAAACGATGGGAAAATGGTCAATTTTTGACGAAAACCATGGGTTAACCCGTTTGGAAAAACCTCAATTTTTCGACTTTTTTAACTTCTTGTTTTTATAGCTTAGAAAGGCGTTTTTTGTTCTAGAATATCGCAAAATACATTTTCCTGGCCTTTATTACCTAAAAAAAAAAGATGGAAAAACGGCCAATCTTTGACCAAAACCATGGGTTAACCCCTTCCGAAAAATCTTAATTTTTCGACTTTTTGAACTTTGTGTTTTTATGCCCTAGAAAGGCGTTTTTTCGTTCTGGAATATCGTAAAACA